TCTCTCTTCCGTGGATTAGGGGTGAGCCCCTGGCATCACGTCCATACGCATTTGAATATTAATTTTTTATACCTCGAGTGTGCCAAAAATTTAATACGTTGAATTCATATTTCAAGGATTCAAAAAAAAAATTTATCGGTATTTTACATACGAAAGAAGGACCACCCATTCAATTTATGAATCAGAGAATCAACTCGATGACAGTTGGATCACACCTTCACTCTTCACTCTTGAGATTTCTCCATGGATTTTTTTATATATTTTTTTTTGTCTCCGAATGGAAGCATTGCAATCGGTCAATTTTTATTTTTTCCAATTTCTCTCAAAAATGACCTAGAACGGTCAGAAACACAAACACCAAGTGTCCGCACTATACGTCAGCAGTAATGTCCAGTGGTAATGTCCAGTGAGCGGTCACTTATTCTTGAAATTATCAAATAAATGGGAGAAGTAATCCAAGAAAATCAAGTCTTCTATCACTTTAATCGATTTTGAAGGTTACTATCGAAGAAATTGATAGGAAAATGGAAGTTAAAACGACAAATAGCATTTAATTATTATGATTCACCGTCATATGTCCTCTACTGCTAGAAACTCCCAACTCCTTTTTTTAATACCTTTGGCACTGCTACTCTAAATCGAAGTTCAATGCCCTGGGCTGTGAATGTTATTTAAATTCCATAGAACGGTTATTTCCCAAAATATTTCCCCAGGTTTCCCCGCCCACTTCCAAAGAATCCCAACCCCAAAGTCTCTCATCAGTATCACCTCCGCAATCCTGGGTAATCGGAGTAGAGATGCCTTGAACAAAGGAAAAGAAACCTGTCGATCCAACCTGAAAAAAAAAAAACAAAAAAATCCAAGACGATACTCGAAATAACAATCTCGATCGAAACCTTTTGCGCAACTCGTGGATATTTCCAAGAAGAGCATCCTTTCGCAGACGTAGTGAGCGAAAAGAGCTGATGCTCAAGGCTAAATTTTGAAAAATATATTCCTCCTGATTTTGTCGGTAAAAGGACAAAGCGGGAAAAAAACCGCCGCCGGGACCAAAGTAGAAAGTATCCTGAAATGTAGAGGTTTTTTGAACCAATGAAACTACACGAGGTACTGTTAACTCTGGATCCCTATATTATTAGTTTGCCTTTGGTGGTGGGTTCCCGTAGATTCGGCAATAATTCAATTAGCCCACGGTAGAATTTAGTGCGGTGGACACCATTATTCAAGCTGTGATGTACAGCCACAAGTCTCTGTCCTAACCCGTACACAGTTCACCCATGGGGTATAAATTAATTCCTTGCCATCTTTCTCGCTGGCATAAATTATAAAAGAACAATGGCGTCAAGGAACTTTTGGCATTTTGTACATTACGCACAGCGCAATTCACTGGCCAGTGGTCGTTGCGAATTTCACGTATGTGATGTATGAAAATGTTTGTGAGGGCCTCCTGAACAATTAGAAAACGTGTGGCAATGGCAGCAGTTGGGGTTGTGGACACACCGGAGGGTTGTGTTTCAATTTTGCCAAGCAACCGTTATATTGCAACGTCTCGGGAAATTAAAACGCTCAAGTAGTTTTGACGCTCGCTCAAGCACAGGTAGACCTAGCAATTTAACGGTTTTTCATTTGAATAATATATATAAACCCTCATTTATTTACTATTCAATTACTATTTTGTTTTCAATCAAGTCCTCGGTTCGTTTAGTCGATTAACTGGGATCGCGGCGAGAGGCTGACGGTGAAAACTCGGAGAAAACATTTTTATTAAAATTTGCGTTCATTAAATTTCAAGTATATTTATGAACAACACTCAATTACATACTATATTTCTTATCGTAATCAAACATTGTCTATTAAATTATCTGCTTCCAATACTAATTCCCATTGGCAATATCCCCAATTTCTAAAATTAATGACGTATAATGAATAAGTTTAATTAAAAAAAAGTTATTCAAAATGATTTTTGATATGGCTAAAATTGAAGTGACAAGCTACAAGTTTATTTAGTAGCCCCGAAAAAAAAAATGACAGCGATCACGATGGCAATCGTAAGGTCGAAAAGGGCATGGCTTTTTTTTGTTCCATACCCAAAACGGGTGTGATTCCACAGTGAAAATGTGTGTATGAAAACGGGTGCGGCCCGTGCCCCGTAGGAAGTAAAACTGGATTGGTCAAGTAAAAAAAAAAAAATTGAAAGCCCGAAGGGTCACTCGTGCGTCCGACTTTATCCTTGATGACCAGGTCACCATCGGGGGTCAGTGATGTCCGACCGATGACCCATCCCCGCCCCCCGAATACAATTATAAATGCATTAAACCCACCCCTTTACAAGACACTATTTAAATCGAGAATAGTATGATGTGGAGCGGTATTTAAATGCCAGACCGGTTTGTCACTCGATTGCTTGGGGTTGTCCACTCGTACCAATTTTTATTGCGTGTATTTTCTCTCATAAATCTTGAGAGGGTTGGGGGAATCCCCCTCGTGGGTCACTCGAGAATTGCTCAAAAAGAAAACGGGATACTTTTTTTTTTCATTTCGTAGGTGAAAGGAACCTATGAAATCGGACAATGAGAAATTAGATACATGTTGCCGGGTTAGCCGGGCAACTTTTAGTACGTGTAAACCATGGTTACCCAGGTCGTACCTCAGCGCAATTGCCATTCCCTTGGCGCTGGGCTTTGACGCTCCTTTCCCCAAGCATTTTGTCTCAGAAATTATTTCCCAAAATGTTCAGACATATAAATGCACTTCGTTGATACCGAATCTCGTAGAATGAAACTTATACGATCTCGGACATACATCTGAATTAAGGTGGGTGTAATCGATTCCCCAAAATCACAAACTTGAAGAAGTTATTGCCAAGATTTTCTCGTTTTTCATGTTTCTCGTAAATTTCTTGGTAAGCCTGGCTCAGATTAATGAGAAAAAATATGCCGTTTTTAGATTTTATCATTATTCAATGACTCACAAATTTTATAGTCGTGAGTTTATTTTTCTAAATTTGTGGTAAAGTTTTGTAAATTTTTAAACACAAGTTCTTATTTGTTAAAATTTTTGCAGAATTAAATTGTCCAGTTCTCCAGAAATATTATATTATAAATAGTATTTCTCTTTTTGAGGGTAAATAAAATAATGGCATTAAATGCTACATTTCTTCACGTGCTCTGACATTTGAAAAGACTGTTTTAAAAGGAAATGAAGCTGTATAAATTATAAGAATAATTGTAATTTCACAGAGAGTCGGGAAGCCTCTTTGAAATTCAAATGGAAACTTTATAATAAGCTCTTGATTTTCTTTTTTCATTTTGAACTTCTTTTTCATTGGTTCGTTACAGGTTAATTCAGAGTTCAGTTGGGTAGAAGACGTTCCAAAGGCCACTTCTCATTTCATTTTTTTTTCCTTTATCCATTCTTCGCCTCCGCTTCCTATCGTTTCCCAGTGATTTTTTCATTCTTTTTTTTTTAGTTTGTCGATCGGACAACGGCGTTCATAGAAAGAGTGAATCGAGATGTGTCCTGGTTGACCGAGTTTGAAAAGGGTCGATTCTCTTTCGCGTTTGTCCCACCTCACTGTAACCACTGGCTTTTACCGCACTTCCGATATTTTGGGAGTAGGTATCCTGACACTGTTCCAGTTTTAGCAAACCAGAAGTTTCATTATGTTTTCAATAATTGGGAGTGGGGGACAAAGGTTAACGGTTTGTTTGACCTTATACCACCGAGTATTCATGTGGTTTTGATGGTTCAAACACGTGGAAACTAGTGGATTAAACAGCAAAGTCCAACTTACACCTTTTCAAATAGTTTGCATTACACAAACTCCTGAAAATTCAATGGAGGTGTTCCTCAGGTGAAGGATTATTTCGAAAGAGTAATGGATTAACTGCACCAACAATACAAATCCAACTACACCACTACAATTTCGCTACAATTTCGCACATCCCCAGCACAACCATTAAATTAACAATAAAAGGAATGGTGATGATATTGAAAATGGACTTTTTCGGTTGGAGAATGACATTGCCTCTCAATTCGAGAATAATAATTGAGCTCTCAGAAGTGAAATTATTCCAATCGATTTCTCGGAACAATTGTCATCAATTAATTCAATCGAGCAATTTGATGTTTTCCAATTTTAATTTATCACGCTAATAAGCGCCTGCCAAGTTTTATTTTTGGCTGAATGACCCTCCAAAATGCTTCGATTAAACTCATTTACTAAAGCAAGTGGCCTAACTCATGAATTAAATATGGGCCCCTAGAAAAATTACAAAAAATTCCGTGATTGTGATGTTTTGATCGACAAATTACTGTCCCTCATCATTCGTTTTTTATCACTTTTTTTTTGTGGTTCCTATGGTATATCGAGAATCAGGATCGCCGCATGATTACGGGTTATCATTAGACTCCGTGTAATCATGGAGATGCTTTCGTTAACACCCTCATGCCTGATTCATAGAACGTGATGTGAGGGAAAAAAATGAGATATAAAATTAATTTTTTTTTTCATACGTTTATCATTTTAGCTCTGCGAAATTCTTCAAGGATCACCCAATCATAAGAAACTGTGCAATATAATCACATGGAATTTGGTTCAAGTTATGGGACTAAAAAATACTTTAATCTATTTTCAGAGCTATCAACGAGAAATTATTGTTAAAGTTAAAGCAAAGGATATAAAAATTAATGTCCAAATTTTTTTTATCTTGTAAATTAAAAAACATGAATGCATTCAATGAATCAATTAAAATAAATGGATATTTGCGATTTGATTGTTTATATACTACAAAATTGTTATTAATAATATTTTTATTTTCAAAAATGAACGAAAAAATGAAATACTTGAAACAAAAAAAAAATCAAATCATTTAATACTGCCACCTTACCATGAAGTCGCAAAGTTCTGACGAAAATCAATCTTCTATTACCGATAAAAATCATTACCATTGGCTGGTTAAGATCTGTAATTTTGATGTTAAAATAAATATATAATTGCGATTGCCCGGTAAGCAAGGCCCTTCATTAGAGAAAAAAATATTCTAGTATTTTCTTTACTTCCTAACCATTGTCATTAGATAGTAAATTATATGACTAATTATAGACTATTATAGAATAATTGGTATGAAAAGAGCTTATTCAATGATGGACACTCCAGGAGAGACCTTCAATAAAGGTATGATTTAAACAATTGTTACTCTCACACTTAGTCTTGGAACAAGTTGCGGGTTTTTATTATTGACATGTATACAGATTATAGAAGGACTAAAGGATAATTTGATGATTGATTTCAGTTGCTCTAGTAGAAGGTAACCTATTCCCCCGAGGAGTAGAGCTTGTCAATTCTTACAGAGCCACAAGATCATCTCCACAAGATTTAGTTCAATTAGCAATGGAAATTCAAAAGGTACTGTTTTTTGTTTACTATAGAAATAATCTCGTAAACGACTAGTTTTTTTAGAAAACCGTAGGTAATCATCGAGATAAATAATCGATGAGCTCATGGCCTGATTTATGGACTTGAAAATGCAATTAAAAAAGTGATTCTACTTTTTATTTTCTAGGCGGATGATTGCATCAAGGCAAATGCTCATAATAAACTCCATGTGATTGCAGAGCAGATGAGATTTTTGCAGCAACAAGCACAGAAAGTACTGCAAGAAGCCAAAGAGGGACACATGCTGCATCATGCTGCTTGTAATTTTATCAAACACCCAGGGAAAATTTATCATTTGTATGAAAAATCATCAGGACAGACTTATTTTTCAATATTGAGTCCAGAGGTAATGAGAACATTATGCTCTAAGTAGAGAGTAATCAATGGGAAAATATTTGCTGACGGAAATTATTGAAACTTCTATTTCATTTTGCTTATTTATTGGAACACCATAATTTTCCAGGAATGGGGCAGTACGGGACCTTCACAAACATTCAGAGGATCCTATCGTCTGGAATATGACAACTCATGGACTCCACTGGCTAAAACTGAAGCAAAAGATGCTGAGTTGAATCTCTCCGAGAAATATTTCTCAAAGAATTCGATTCTACCAATACATCCAACTGACTTGATGAGTATTGATTCCTGATCGCTGTGGACAAGACCTTAATAGACATAGCGATCAATTTTCTTAATACATTTTCCTTTACTGTCATTATGTACTTAGATAAAATATAATTCTTCTAATTAATCTCGTCGATGAAGTTCATATTGAAATTTTTTCTACATGCACATCGCTGATCGGTTTTTGGTGGTCTGGGGAATTTGAAATATCTCGAAACCATTCCAAATAATCAAATTCACCATTTCATATTTCATTAATCAGCGAATTATATGAGAATTACACGCAAGGAAATTCCCAAATAATTCACTTGGTATTAAAGTATTTGCATTTTTTTACTCGATTTTACGATTTCGATACAGATTTTGAGAGGAAAATATTTGTCAACTCATGGACAATCTATAATTTCATCATCCACAAAAATACAATCAATCAACTTTTGTTAATCACAAGAAAGTGTCAACATTTTCCATTAAATTATTTCATCAATATTTTATATTGACATCAAAGCCATTTGTGATTTAGTAGCGAATTGAATCTCTCGAACATTATTTTTGCAGTTGCTTTGTTCTCGTCTGTCGCTTTTGTCATGTGGTATTTACACGGTGAGCTGTAAGAATAAATTTCTAATTAACAAGTCGTGCAGATAAATTTCGAAAATTCATCGAAATATCTCCTTATGACTAGAAAAGCAATAGAGTAATAAAAAATTTAATTTCACGTACATTGTACAGGTATTCTAAGGGGCTCAAGGTCCTTCACTAGACACTCGTGTGTCTGTCGGTGGAAGAGATACTGGAGGAGCATTTGTTTGTCTTCTCCAAAGCAAGGATCATAAAATCCAGGCAATTCACTCTAAGAACAAAGGAAAAAATGCATTTTTATTTCAATAAACACCTTGTGATGCATCTTTCTCTCTGAAAATAAAAAATATCCCTTATTTTGCATTAACCTTTGCAGCTTCATGGAGGACCAGCCTTGAATTAACAACGAGGCACTGGAGTGGCACAGTGACATCAATAACATCATCCTTGGACTCACTGTCAATTTCCTCGTCCCTGTTCCTCCTATCAGGATAAACAAATCTGCCATAAAGTGCCTTAGTGATGACGAGACCCCCTTTGGCCTCTTCTTCAGCCCGAATTCTGCTGAATGTAGCCATCATGAGATCAACAGCAGCCCTGGCTTCCCTCTGCTTCTCTAGCATCCTGGCCTTGTTCAACTCCTTCTGCTTCTCCCTCTCGCGTTCCTTCTGCTCCTTCACCACAGGATCAATGATTAATTTCTTGACAAACGTCCACGTAATAAGAGGTGCTACTGTTGCATAGAATACTGGAGCTGGTAGCACATCTTCACACAAACTGATGGGAAGCAGGTAAGTTTGAGATGCACGCATTAATTTTAACCTTAAGGAAACGCCTGATGGGACCCCAACACGCACCGCTGCTGAGAGAAAACTGTGCTTGGAAACCCGTTTCTCTGCCCCATATTCCACGAAATATCCAGAAGTGCCAACTCGCACAGCCCCCCGCAACTTCATCTTCTTCTCTGGCATTTTATAGGTGTAGCTAAGACTAGCATAAGAGTTAATGAATCCAAACTGAATTGAAAACGAAGTAAACGATCTCTCGCTGTTCGTGACAACTCTCATGGACATGGATCCATTGAATCCAGTCTTGTGAGTCAAGTACCCAACGGTATGTTTGTCCAATTGCATTCCAAGAGTTGATGCCATTCCTAGTTGAGCCTTTTCTGGAGAAAATTGGAGGGAAAGGGCTCCAGTAGTGAATACTCTGTCTGTAAGTGCGTGATACCCTTTGAGAGCTACATTGGGTCCATTTCCCCCGCCAACATCAAGCTCCAAATAATTTTTTGCAGACAATGCTCTTCTTGCTGCGACGTTAATGGTCCCCACCCCGACTCCATTCTGAATGTCCAGCAGTCCATACAGAATTAATTTATCCCGAAGAGTGAGAGGAGCCTCAATGGACTGTTCAAAAGTCATTCCTGTCGTCTCGATACCTCCGAATAAGGGACTTTGATAGTCGTCATCGTATTTATTGAAGAGATCGGTGGCGTTCACGTGAACTGTTATATTTCCAGTGAGATTCGTACGTTGCTCAAGCCTCTTCTGTTCCCTCTCCCTGGCTATCCTTTCGTATTCCTCACGAATTTCTTGAGGGGTCTGGGTCCTCTGGACGATTTCCCATCCCTTTGTCTCCAGACCTTTTACCCCCAAGGAATCGTAAATTGCTCTTTGGTGCGGATCCTTGAGAACTGAAGAGATATCGATTTTTTTATTCAGATGAATATTCATTAGAATTAGAAATAAAATAAATCAAGTGTCAATTTTTCCTTGCCCACTTGAGTCTTCTAATAAATGACATTTACCTTCATAAGCTTTATTCGTCCGACTGAATAATACCTCGGCTTTTTTCTTAAGTGCTGGGTCGATGTGTTTGTCTGGATGATAAAGTCTACTTTGTCTCCGAAAGGCCTGATGGATCTCATCAGGAGTTGCCTGCAATTACCACCAAATCGTTGACTCAAAATTCCACCAACGAAATTTAAAAAACACCCCAGTACTACCCCCACTAATCAACCAATTCAATCCTCACACTGACCTACAAAAATCTCTACTAATTTATAATTAAATGAACCATTAATTCCTTATTCATTGAGATCCAGGAGAATTGGAAAAAAATAAAAAAACCATTCGTCCATTCGGAAAGAGCTGTGAAATAAATTAATGAAGGAATTAATGGACGAGTTTTTCAATTGAAGACATTGATTTTTAATAACAATGAGAGTTACGTCAGCAGAGTGAAAGAAATCACGTGGAGAAAAAAAAAGAAAAGACGCTCCAAATTTCTGCTCTGACTTGAAAATGGGGCAATTAGTAATAGATTTAATAGTATTACGTTTCTTGAGACATTCAGGAATGCGTAATAATCCTCTTCGATAATACTGTCCTGATCACTTTCGTCGTCCATCCTAATATTCTCGGAAATTTTACAGCCTAACACACGGATAATTTTTCAGGGGCAAGTCTGACTTCAAGTTTTCCTAGGTTACGAAATTCTTGGGAGCCGGTGCAAGAGTTGAAATGAACCCACAACAGATGTCTCTAGAGGTTCTAAAATCTGCATTGCAGATTTCCTTGTCAAGCCCAAAGATGATTGACTAAAGATCCTCTTTGATCAAGCCTATAAAATTACTGAATCAATTATATATGTGGTGGGTGACATAGGCTCAAAGAAATATTGATTAAGTAATGACTGATTTCCAATAACAATATCCAATGAATGAAATATTACATTTTCAATGAGCAACTGATTCCATCAGAATAATTAATTAATGCTATTTCACAGATGATTAAAATTGAATTTAATAAAAAGGATGGGACATCCATTGGAAATTCATCGGCAATATTAGAAAATCGTCAACAATAATGTCAAACGATGATGGAAACAATCGGAAACAATCGGCATGAAAACAAATGTACTTTACAAAACACTGACCATTGTGCCGGAACAAACAATAGACCGTTATGTTCAACAACATAGCGGACAATTTAGCAAACAAATCGGTGTGTACGTGTACCGAGCCAATTAAAAATATTATTACCTCGATAAAAAGGAGGAGAAGGACGTTTTCAAAACGTTACGTATCCTGTTTATCATTGTAGCAACAGTTTTAATCCCTTGTTGTGGTTTCGTGACCTAGAGGAGAAGACCTCTGAGGTGTCTTTCATTCCTATTTTCACTCTTTTTTTTTCCTTTCGCGCTTACATTCTAAGGGACATTGTTTACATTCGAAGAAATGAATAGAACTGGGCAGCACCTTTTGTTCCATGTGATAATCCCTAAAATATTTCATCGTTTCCTTTTTTTTTAGTCTGCGTTTTTCATTGATATTTTTTTGTTATTTCTTTAGAGATTACAAAATATTCACCGAAAAGAGCGATAATCTCGATGTAATGATTTTATTCACTGCATGATTTCGAGAAAATATAGAAATTCATGTGATTTTTAAAATAAGAAATTTATGTGATTTTTATTTACATCAAATTATTTTAATGAAAATTATTTATCCCACTGAAATGAACTCGTATAATATTTAATGAAATATAAACAATGAAATGTCTTTAAATGGAAATTTCGACTGAATAAGAAGGTCAAGGCTTCTGCATTAATTTGAGGGATTAATTAAAGTCTTGTTGTTACATCGAAGGTAATAATGCAATTGTGATAATTTCTCCCGAGTTGAGAAACTTTGGTGGGGCTGGCACATGTATTTCCCCTCCACTTTTCCATCAACCAATGATATCGAGGGAATAGAATAGGACAACGCCCAATCATGGCGACCAGATCTGTAAATTTCAATGTGCACAGAGAGAAAAATCCATTAAAAGATTAAATAAATTTTTCACCAATCCAGGATACCACAATAAAAAACGAGGAGCTGCAAAATTTGATGATACCTAAAAAATCAGACTATAAGATCTCCATTTTTTTTTGTTGGAATGATGTCAAACCAATAAGTTCCTTGATTTTTAACTTTAATCTGATTATTGCATTAAATTTCACCGAATTCTTTATGAAATTGTAATTTCTATAAAAATTTTTACTCGAAGGATTTTATTGATTTGGATTGATATCTCGATGGATTAATAAGTTGATGAAAAAAAAAAGCGACACTTTAATTAAATCTTAATTATGAAATCGAGTTCATTAGTGACGTAATTTGCCGCGTCAGCTGTTGGCCACTTGAAAGAAGTGCCTGGACGATTAATGACCTTAATATTCTGCATCGAAATGCAATTGTTATCGAATAGTTGACTTGTTTCCCAAATATTTTCGTCGAATGCTGAGCAAGCGTCCCAATTACGTAATTCGGGTGAGGGACAATTCGTTACAAATCGCGGGGAATTATCAACTGGATCTTCATGACTTCATCATAACACGTGGGTAAAATCAATTCAGAATTCATAATGTTTATTTTTACCCAACGAGTGTCCAAAGAGGAGACTAACTGAATTTTCAACTATTCGGAGTCTGACCGGATCCAAAATTCATTCATTCATTATCACTTAGTAAATTTAATTTATGGCAATTAATCTGCTAACCGTTAAAAACATAAATGTTGCTTTCCCAAAATTTACTCAGAGTTAAGTTATAAATTATAGATTAAAAAATGTAGAAAAAACTATTTATTGTTGGATTTCAAGTATTTTTGTCGCATCATGTTTGAAAGATGCAATATCAAACATTGAAAAAATATGAAATTCCAATAGATAACGGTGATTTCAATGACGACGTAATCAAAGTCCTTGAGATTTTAAAGATATATGAAGAGAACTCCAATAAAAATTACCCGAAAATACAGGAAAGATTTATGAAATGAACGTAAAATTGACGTGGAAATTTCTGAATATAATGATTCGTGAAATTCCTGTTAGATTTCACAGTTTCCAGAAATATTACGTAAGTTTTCCGTACTTTTTTACTGACAGACCCGAAAATTTACCGAATGTTTCAGATTTTTCTTTAATATTTCAATAGAGGTTCACCTGAAACCGCTCTCCTTTGCAGATTAGATGAAATTTTGCATAATTTTTAGTTTCTGCATATATTTTTCACCAAAGATATTCCCAATTTTGTTTTCAGCATATTGTAAAATTTTTCGCAAGTATAAGTAACTGTGGAAGTACTTCAAAGCAGTTATTATCGATAACTTTTGATTGTTAATATTATTTGTAAATTTCTAAAAAACCTGACATCATATTAACAAAAAAATATAGCGTTGTTAGATTTTATCTCTATTTTTTTAAATTTCCCGTAAAGTGCCGTAAATTTTTGGAAAAGTCCCCATTACTAATCGCCTAGAAAAATCCTTGCCCTAGGATGAAAGTTGGTGAGACATTGAATGATAATAAAACTTAAAACCGGTATATTTTTCAACGTCAATTTTATGAAGCACTTTGGAAAAATTTGTAAAATCCTGGAAATTGAAAAATGACAAAATATTGGTGATTGGCGAGAGAATATTGATAAGTGTAAATGGATTAGAGTTTAGTTGTTGGAAAATGAGTAAAAAATGCATCAAATTGATTAGAGAGATGGAAAAAAGGAAAATATAATGATATGTGAAAAAGTTGGAGGGCGTTTAACGTATTGAATGTGACGTTAAACTCCGCCTCCACACGTCTCCTCCACATCCACCCGGTGGTCGTCGATGACGCGTTACACCCGGGCTGTGGCTCACGCTCACTTGCCGTTTAGTATCCTTCCTCGTCGGTCTATCGTCGTGTGTTTACGTCAAAAGCCCTTCCAATATCAATCCATCGATTGTGCCCTTCGATAGTGTGTCCAGTGCTGTGTTCCTAAAAAAAAACATCAAACAACAACCAATTGAAAATCCAATCAAGCCAAATGAAAACATATCACCTGTTCTAATCCAGGATAAGAACAAATTCCAAGGTGAAAACACCATTGAATAATTAAATAATAACTTCAGTAATAAATGTGTATCTTCCATGCTTCTTGTGGGAAAATGATAAATAATTTGTTGTGAAGATTGAGACAAATCAGAATTAAACAAAACATGGATTAAGTTTACAAACTTTGTCTCTATCTTTTCACAATTAATGGGATACCGTGGGTAAAAGCTTACTAAACACTTTACGATTTTACGTATCTCACCACTGCCAGTGATAACATGCAAATTATTGTGTAAACATGTTAACTACTTTATCTGAATTAATGCGAAGACAGAGGGAGGCGTGAGTGTTGGATAATGGAGGGACAAACTTGACTATTGAATTGATTGAAATTCGCAATTATTTTCTTATTTCTGATTTCTTCTCGAGGGTTTGCAGCAACGGAAAAATTCATTACAAAACACGATACGAGATAACGCGACATCTTGCACTGGACTTTTCAACACTTTCTTTTTTATTCATCGAAAATTTAAAACACAAGATTAGTTGTAGGAAGAATTCAGTTGGTTTACGTATTGGATGATAATTGGAGGATAATTATTCGATAAATGTATTGGCTGAAGGTGGGAGAAATCGAAATTGTTGATAAATCACGTTGATTGAACGCGGAATGCAATGATTGGAATTCGTTCGTTCCTGTTTAGAGGTATTGGAATAATAAAAGTTGGTGAATGTTTTTTTATGTGGAAAAATTTCTCAGCTGAAGAGCAAATTTAAAATTTATTCGTCTACCTAGAATTTTTCATCAATCGGGAACTGAATCTATCTGATTAATGGGCATTAATAAATACAAAAATAAAAGACTATAGTAATGAAAGGAAAAAACTCACATTTCTAATATTACATTGAGCTTCTAAAAATGATAGAGTCGAACTAATCTCAAGCCTAATCCCGACATTTAAACAGTCTTCAGCAATAATCCAAGTGGTGGCCCCACGATTAAATGTCGGTGATTGAGAACTGCAAGTCAGGAATTACTTTAAAAAAACGGTGCTGTCCAAAGCAAAGTATTTCTTGAGAATTTACGAGTGTCCAATCGGGTCAACGTGACCCACAAAAATCCTAGGGTGACAGAAACATCTTCTCTTACAAAAATATATATTTTATCTTCATTTATTGAAGATAATAGTTCAATCCTTCAATTCTTCGAAACGAATCCTCCAAAGAATCAATTAAATTCCTGGAACATGTCCGAATCTAAAAGAACTATTGAAATTTTTCATAGAACCTTTTTTCCAGCTTGCATTGCACTCTACAATTAAGCTTTTTTGAAAAAATTCGCTATTTCTGGTGGATTGAGGTTTTCCCTGAAAAGTGATGCATTGATTTTAAGAGATCGAATGTTAAAGTAATGGGTTTTAGTGGTAGTATTTTTTATTGCATGTCGAAAAAATGAATTGCAATCAATAATTTATTAGCACCAAGCTGACAGGATATCCCTGGATGGGGATTTCTGGTTGTTGTCATGTATCGGTAGCCGGCGGAAGCGTCAAATGACTCCCATGAGGGAAAACACTAAAGACAAGAAGATACAAGACGAGTATATGTGGCGCTAAATGCTCCACTGAAACTATAAGTGTTCAGCTGTCGCTGGCTTTTCATTTATTTCTTCTTGGTCTTTAACATCTACGTTTTATTATAGTATCACTGGTTTCGGGTGGGAATGGGTGAGGAAAATTGAGCGTCTGTCACTGTCATCACGACCCATGAGGATGTCTCATTTTATTTTTACTTCAACTTCATTTTTTTTTCAACGCCAAATTTTTTTTTCATTAAGAATGAATTTTTCCGTCATTGCAATTCCACATTTTTACAATTTCAATAAACAATTATTATAGATTCAAACATTTACGTAATTATTTTGGAAATTATTTTGTTACAGGTGGTGATAGCAGAACATTTGGATTAATGAATGTTTATGCATGAAGATGTAACATCATTTAAATTATTGAATTATTAAATATTTTGAGAATTGTGAGAGTGCGGAAGTCTAGTGCGACTTGAAGAACATTTTATTTGAATTTAAATTGAAGAAAAACGAATAGTGTAAATGCAGTATTTTTTTTCTTTATGAGTCTGTTCGCCCCTAATCGAGGGAGAATGGTGTCCCATTCATTAGCAGTTGCAGGGGTGAGTAAAAATAATAAATTTACATTCTGAATTTTGCCAATGATTTTTCCTACATTATTCGGGACTTACATGTCCTAACGCATAAATTATTCGTGTTCATGACTTATCACCGCGTTAAAAATTAACAATTCACCAATTAGAGTACTTAAAGACACGGAATTGAATAGAAGTCCAGAACAAAGTTATTTCAGCCATTCTTCATTTTTAATTAGTGAAGTTGTAATTCTCAATTATTCACACATCATCTATAGAAAGTACTGACACGGAATAATTCAAATTACGATTCACATAAGACGTGAATGAATGAAATATGGGTTATCGCTTGACACTATATCGATCGACGAGAATCCCAAGGTCGAATCATTTGAGTCGGTATTGCGTTACAAGCTTGAGAAATAAATCGATAGTAAATACAGTGCAATTATAATTAAAATAATCCTCTAAAATATTGAGAACAAATCGTAGATCAATTCCTTCCTGAGCATTTAAAATACTGATTTAATAGATATATTTCATCCAAATAAGAAAGCTTTAACCTTTAGCCTCACCTTTTTACCAATTGATCTAGGAAAAACTCCAAATATCATTCAATCATTTCAATTTCATGTCTCAATATCTTATCCATGATAATTTCGGGATCAAGCATTTTTTCAGTTGATCAACGTTTAAAAAATAAGACAAATATAAAATGCATTCATTATTCAATTGTTGGGTGATTCTTTTATTTTATGCAGTTAACAGTAATTTTTGCCTAATAATTTAAATAAATTACAGACTCGTAGATTTTAGGGTGCATTTCAATTGAATATATTTTGCCAGATGATTTGACCACTCACTGTGGCTTGTTAACTGGTAATGATTCTGGGGTGCATTAAAAGCTTCTTCTGCTATCGTTTCTCAGTGTCGACGGGTTGATGCACTTCGGTAGTACAACTGCACCAGCTGTAGATCTTTGTCGACTTAGCATTTGTGAACAAAAAGAGGGAAAAAAATGAGCAAAGTAGCTGGATCTGGAGTCAAAGTTCTCACTTAACAATCGCTCGGCGATTTTTTTTAAACTCAGGAGTTGATGGTCTTTTCGGTTACTCTTTCGGTTCAGAATGGCAAATGAAGTTTTCAGGGGGTGCCGAACGAAACTCAGAGTTACTCGTAAGTTTAGCTTTGTATAATGCGATGTCACAACAAGGGACTGGTGTTTGTAAGCTAGACCCGACGGCACTTCAAACATTGCGAGACAACTGTAGCCAAAATTCGGAGACACTTCACCCACTTTTCACTTTGGCTTTTGCTAATTTATATGGAGATCTGTTTATTGATAACAACGGCTTTGGCATTGAAAATATTTTCGCGATTTCAGCTTCACGCGATTTGTTTATATATTGTCAATGATTTTTTGATTTTGGAGTTGAAAATCTCGTGAAAGTGAATGGTTTTTTTTTTAATTTAAAAAAATGTAGGTTTAGAAAAAATGGCATATTTTTAATTAGTCTTTTATGATAATTGATGTATTATGTTGATTATTTCAGGATATGCAACAGGGAATCGGAAGTTCGAGTCTTGTTGGAATGCAGGATTCTCCTCACTCCTTGAAAATAAAGCAGGAACCCTTCCAATTATCTCCAACTTCGTCACTCCATCAAGGTAGAATGAATCATAAATGAATTTTAAACATAAATAATTGTTGAATGATAAGCGGTGTAGAGTTTCCTCATCGGGAGGTCCATCCTCTCTTTCAGCAAAAAATCACTTCGATACCTTTGGGGCAGTCTCGACTTTCCCCCTGGGCTGCTTATCATCCAGTCGGAAACAATTAAAAGGACGATAAGACGTTCATTCGCGCGTTACTTCTCGCATTACTCCCACCTATACATCATTTTTGTTTAATCTTGAGTATGTGAAGGAGATAAAGTCGAAGAAGTATGGAAAGATTTGATCGAACTTCACAATCATGTGTAATGTGAGAAGAAATGTCATATTAATACGTGTCGGATAAGAATTTAATCGGATGATGATTAGCTGTCTCACGTGCTCTTCCAACAGGAGAATGACTATTCTTTATTGGTACGCATCTGATTTTCCCAGAGATTTACCATTTCTAAAGAGAGACAATTTTATCAAGAATACCCTTTACCTAATGGAAATGATGAAAAATAGCAATGGGAAGTGGTTCCTTTGAAAAAACGACCTGGCTCTGTAGGAAATAGTGACTTTTTGATCTTATTAACGCGTGCCTTTTTCAAGTGTCTCCACTTCTCATGTGGCAATAACACTTGGGTTTGAATTATCGGGTCACAGGCGGTAGTCACAAGGCCGAGAGGCTCACAATAATTCAGAAAACCAGGGATTTGGTGTCATTACCCCTTTGGGGTTGAAGTGGATCTAAAAAAAAAGTCTCGGAAAAAGAAAATAGAAATTAGGAAACGAAGAGAGGGAAAGAGAGAGAGTAGGCGGTGGAATTTGAATTTTTTTTGGAGGGAGGACAAGGAATGAAGACGTTTGCTAATCTTGGAGAGGCTTTACTCTCCTTTGATATACGATTGCACACTGCGCCATGCATTTGGCAATTTTGGGGTTGTGGGAATGAAAATTTCCCGGACATGAGGAGAATTAGTCGATGGAGAGAGAGAGTAGTCAACAGCTGGTGCTTCTTGGGATCTTTATAGTGTCATAAACGGGTGAAGACCACTTGGATTAGGTGTTTTAAGGTCACTTGAATTATAATGAAAATTATTTTTATCATTTTTCAAAATTTTGCGTTTGATAAGCTGAAATTTCCGGAAGCGTTGTGCTATAGATTTGATGTTAATTATTCTTTTTCTCTGAGAAATCAGCCATTACGTAAACGGAATTAGCGCAGTATGATATCATTACTCATCACGGGATTATCTCTAAAACAACAACTTCCTAACTTTTGTTCTCTATGAGAAATGTTAAAACATTTTTTATTATAAATTATTGATTATTATTTATGGTTAACAGGTAGAGTGAGTAAGTAGAAAATCTTGTACTTGTAAATTGTTCTTGCAAAAAGCAACTTGTCGCGCTCTTTGTTTATTTATTTTTTAATCAAGTGGTGTATTCAAGCATTCCTACAGACAGTATATTTATAGTTCTTGTAGTAAACAAGGACATGGTTTTGGATCAATCACTCGCAGGAGATAACTGGGGTGTAGAGAGCGTCTTATCACTGATACTATTACGTATGACTGTATTACGTCTTCATCAGGCACTTATTTGGATGGACAAATCGCCTCGAGTGGAAATTGCATATTTTGTCTGAACTCTCTCTTTTGAAAATTACTTATCGCAATGATAACAGAAATTGCGGGGATAGGGCGAGCCCCCGTGCTATCACAAATTTCTATTTCACTACTTTTTAATTTTTAATTAAAATTCATACAGAGTATCATGCGCTCAATTGGCAATATTGTGCAAACTTGGGTATTGTTTTTGTAAACATGATAAGATTTAATTAGTGTAATTGAACTTCATGCAGATGACATTTGGAATAAGTTACATGCAAAATCATTCTCATGCGTCATTAACTGATTCGTTGATTGATTGAAATCACAAAATTTTGGGTTTTAATTCCATTCGAAAAAGTATTTATTAATGTAATGAGTTGAGTATAGAAAATTACTTTTCTTTTTTCTCTTTAACAAAGAATAACTAATGAAAAATGAGATGAATATTTATTTGGGATAAACAAATGAGTCTTTTCAAAGTGTTGATAAATTGTTGAAACTATTGAAATTACAAATTTTCAGCAAATCCTTGGTTTTCCAGACTTTGTGATAAGAAATCTCGACAAAAAAATGGTTAAAATGACGTTATCATGCAAAACGATGACCCCTGCTCTTCGGTCTAACAAACTTCGCGTTAACCCCTGATTTTTCATATTATATATTCACCAACGTATCGAATTCTCTTAAACTTTACAACCCAATTAATAATGCAAAACGTAAATAAACAAATTTTCCATAATTTAACGTAACGAGACATATTGTTTAGGGTATTTTGAAAATGGAGATTTAGGGTGTTATGTGAAAAAAGTCGTAAAAAGAGAGTGGAGAGAGTGAAATAATCGGTTGAATTATGAGGTTTGAGTGAGTTGTGCTAAAGTATTAGTGTTCTTGGTATTCTACGAGTATTTCTTCATGTATTTGCGTCGGTGGCCGTTGGTTGGTGTCCGATTTCTGAAAGGGGGCCCTCAGGCATTGAGACCAACAAAATGTGTTCTCTCCTTTGTCTTTTCGTCGTTCTTTTCCCTCCGAGACCTGAAGATTTCATTTTTTCAACTTTTGCTTTGTACCTGCCAAGATGTTCGAAGTCAGGCTGCACATTGACAAACTAAAATATTACATAATTTTCCAACTTCTTTAGCATAGAAATTTTTAGTGGCAATAATTTTCCAATTGAGATTGCCATTCCTACTCAGGTTGTGATAATAATTTTCTAAGAGTTACCTTCAATGATTTCATGAAATTGATTCGAAAGAATAGCTTAATGTGAAGTATATATAATTGATGAAAGGGCTACAGGTCAAGTTTCGTAGCCTAGGGTAATTCGGCTAATTGTATCAGTCGCCAGCACGTGCCCACGAAAAACCCATGGGATAAAAAGGGAGTGATTTGTTTTTTTTTCCCTTGCTTTCTCATTCCGCTTCTCGGCTACATGAGCTACATCTGATTAACTCGGATGCCTCATTGCAGTCGTGTACGTGTCCTGAGACAAATGTTTGATAAGACACAAATCATATGCGCAACACACCTGACTGCAATTGGAGTCGATATGCGACACTTTGTCATGTTCTTTGGTTGAATATGTTAGAACATCAACATTATTAAATTAGTGATGACTAATCGGCTCAACGAAATCTTTCAAGTAAATTTAACAATCCATTTTTTTTATTGTATATTAGATAAATTTCCAGGACTTGTTGATGTGATTGCAATGAGGATTCATTGATTGTAATCAGCAAGTCAATTGAATGACAATGTTTTCCGGTTAATTTGATCGAATTTTCACGGAGTTGGTGAGCATTGAAATAATTACAACAATGAATTTTTCTCGGCTCCTGACTCGACTCCGTGAACCTCATGGTGACATCACGCTGGTGTTGTATTTCGCTTATCGGGGCTGAATACCGTGATTCTGATTGTGGAAGCCGCAGCATTTCAGGAATGCACGTCGAAGAGTTTTGCCAGACCTTCGACCCGGCCTCTAGGTCCGCTGGTATTTTCTCCCTTTTTTTTTAAATCAATGAGGAACAGAAAATCCTCCGGAAATTCGCAGTCTACCGATTATTTCACATCAAAACACTGGAGGTATGTTTTGACAGAAAACGGGCTCCACTGCTTATCCGTGTTTTGAAAACACTTGAGACTGTACTCCAGTCCTCCGAGTAAATCGTTAGTAGTTTTTTTATCAACTTCATTTCTTCCCGGTGAATGTAATAAAAGAGGTTGTTCTTGGATTTCATTCCAATCTATTTTATTTCATCCGTTTTCTTCGAATTTTTTCGGGACATCAAACATTATTCCAGAATAATTATCCTCTATTTTTTCAATTAGTCTCTTTCAGCGTTAACTATTATTGCTGCAATCACTGGAAGTTACTGAAAATTATATATTTTTAGTATTATTTTTCTTTTTAAATAAGGATTAAAAATAGGAAATGAATTATCCAATTATTGCTAATAATTTTTATGCACGGAGAGAGGAGTACAATAAAAATTACATAACTTTTCTGCAGTTTTTCAATGGCAGATGCGAAAATTTACTGGGCGTTCCACAATTTTCCCTTATATTGAACTCACTCTTGCTTAGGGATTAGGTGAAATGTTCCGTAATTTTTCTCTTTCCGTGTAGCGGAATGTGAAATGCTGAATTTTCATTCGGAATCTCAGACAATTAATTGAAGATTATTAGGAGTGGAAGAGGTAAAATTTGGAGTGTGTTAAAATGAAAAAGTATGGAAGTACGAAGTATCGAATGTTCACCTAAAATTGGAGTGACGGTAAATACAGTGAGTGAAGCACGTTCAAGATACATTTCCCCTTGGGTATTGGTACAGAAATATGGAGTCTCAACAAGGCTCGATTTTCTGTCCAACTGTACGTGACTCTGCAGCCGCGTGCCATGAAGGACTGTTACTAAAATAACCATATTTGTTTATCATTTCGTGCCACCACCCATGCTCAACCCATTCGTTAAATCAGTGAATTTATAGACTCTCAATTCGTAAAGTCCCAATAATAAAAATATTGGAAAATAATGGAGAGTTCCTTCCCAGCCTTCATTTTGCCCTTTTGGAAATCCATTGAAATCCTCAAATGGGAATCAATCGCTATTACTAATTCCTCACCTTCGTACAGAGAATTCCCTTCAACTTAATTGAATTCTTGAGTTTACAAGTGTCGATGACACGAGTTTGTAAGATAATTCTTATCACAATCATTAACAATCGCAAGCCACTTCTTATGAACTGTCCAATTGTTCCCTGGACTTCTCAGAAGTTTCCAGCGGAATTCCCTCCACTGATCTATTGATTTTCATTGTTTGCATTTCCTTTGAATATGATTTACTACAATTTTTTTTTTTTCAAATCCAGACTTTTTTCTGTTATTGTGTTCTAAACAATTTTTCTCATATTAATCTGTTCTAGTGAGTAATTTTGCATCGGAGATGTCTCCAAGTATAATGCCAACGTCTTCATCGAAGGAGTTGGACGTAAATTTTGCAAGATCTCTGACAGCCCACCACCTGTCGGCTACCCATCATCACCACGAGCATCACAGCCCCAGATCAGGGATTTCCATCCACTCATCCACATCTACACACCTCAGCCATCATTTGGACAAGGGATCATCGCCCCCAGGACTTCATAACTCAACAAACAGTAATTCCTCGACACCAAGTGCATCCTCAACACCGACAGCATCCACCGAGACAGGGAACATAACTCCCAATGGCAACGAGGCGTCATCAACAACTGTTAAGCCACCGTTTAGTTACGTTGCTCTCATTGCAATGGCTATTAATCATAGTCCACACAAAAGAGCTACTCTCAGTGAAATTTACTCTTACATCACCACCAAGTTCCCTTATTATGAGAAGAACAAGAAGGGTTGGCAAAACTCAATTAGACATAATTTGTCCCTTAATGAGTGCTTCCTCAAGGTACCCAGGGAAGGCGGTGGCGAGAGGAAGGGCAACTTCTGGACATTAGGTAAGTTTTTCCTATATCATCGTATCAATCATTTATTTCGTTCCATTCTCTCAAATTTCATTAGTCAATCCTATGTAAATAATGATAACATAACATAACAATAAAACCCGCAAACACTGAAAAAAAATATAAAAATAAATAGGGCCTGATCTGTAGGAGTTTTGAAAGAGGAAAGTCCCTTCTTATAAAAACAAATTTTTCAATCAACTGAAGGTTCATGTTTCACATGTATTCCCCCGAAATTATAATAATCCTTTAGATCCCGGAAAAATATGAAAACAAATTTAAGTAACCATTGAGTAAATTTACATTAAGTTTTTAGCCCCAATCCTAGGTCAAAATTTCCGCGAAAATCAATCGAGGTTATTTACGCTGCCTTTGTTTTTGCCTCCGTGGATTTCTATTGGGCCCAAGATTAAAGGGAATATGCACCCCGTAGATGATGATGGAAGGCCAAGACAGAGGAAAAATATGAAAGCAAACGAAAAATTGAATTCTGGGTGATTCAGGAACGAGCTAACATTTTTCTAGGACTAACATAAAATTTGTGCTATGACTTCCACTCACTATCAATTATTAATTACCTCAAGACCCCCAGTATGACGACATGTTCGAAAATGGCAACTACAGGAGACGAAAGAGGATGAAGCGACCGTACAGAAGTGCATCGTATCATAAGTCAATATTTGGTGAAACATATCCCTCGACTCATGTGCATCTCGGTGCAACCAGGAATTTATTCGGCCACTCTCCACCTTCTTACACACCCACTGCCTACAGTAGATACGATACAAGGTAAACGAATAAATAAATAGGAAAAATTTCGCCTAAGCTCCCATTATTCACAATAAAAAATGTATCACGTATTATTCTCTCAAGAAAATACTGAAATCAGAAAAACTAAATGAACATTAGAAACAACATTGAAACAAATAATTCGTTTCAACTCGTTATTAGTTGTAACAATGGCAATGACTTTTTTCTGTCACAGCACATGGGGTCTCCAGCAACCTCAGCTGTCTTACAGCCACTGCCAAGCGGTAATAACAATTTTCTTTTAAAAATCTAACTCTAAATGCGATTACAGAGTCATAAAATGGAGGAGGGAAACGTGCAATAATAAGTCCATTTTTCGCGTTCTATTAAACATAAAATTGTCGGCGTGATAATTTTATGTGAAATTTTGGAAAGACTCGAAAAAGGGGTTTTTTAAGAATTAGTTGTTGTCGAATTTGAAAAATCGAGAGAAAGAGGCAAGATTTAAATTGCTACGTTTCGCCGATTCCCCGAATTACTTTGGTTCATTAAAGGGTTGATGGTTCCTTTGCAGCTTCAACCTCAACTACAACCGATGCAATCAATGCAAATACCAACGATGAATGGCTATGGCCAATTCAACACCTTGAGTGAGTATTAAAATCTCCGAATTAATAGACGCTATTGTATTCATCTGAGATACGAGAGAGACGACTAACTGTAGGGTTTCAAGGCAATTACCTTGACGTTTCAGGCGGGAGTTCTGGATCACCAGGTGGAATGGCCGGTGGAACTTTTGCTAGTAACTTTGGGGCGTGTGCGAGACGACATGACGGCTATTGGGGAGACAGTGAGTAAAATATTTACTTTATTCCTACCGAATGGAAGCATTCTAATACTAATCAATTGATTTTAAGTTTCTCATTATTTATTGAACTTTAGTCCTCAATATTAATTCGAATTGAATCGATTTTAAAAATTATTGGGTCATACTTGAATTTTCGCGGATTTAATTTCTAGTGGTACCTGTTAAAGAAGAGCCAGGCACCTCGACAGTGACTTCGGCTGGTGTAGGGTCTCTAGGAGTCGGCGGATCTGTCATGAGTCCAGGCATGTCCTCCACAGTTTCATCGTCTGGTTTTTCCACCGTCGACTTTCAGGCTCGATCAAAGTGTTACATGTAAATCTCTCTAAGAAAAAAGCTCTATTGAAAATTCAGTTTTTCAATTCTTTTCAATAAAAACCGTCGCATCCGGTATCCGACGGCCAATGCAGTCCCAAGACATCCAAAGACTTCTCCAAATCAAAATGAAAATACTGAAATAACCAGAATAGACGTAAACTTCGTGATTGAGTTGATTCTCATTTGGGATAAATCTATCGTAGCGAAAATAAAAACGTAAGAGCTGTAATCGAAAATGTGATGTCAGTAAAGCTCTTGTAAATGTGTATGTTCGGTACAACCGAGTTCTCTTCATGTAGTGAATGTAAGTTTTATTTAAGATTAGGGATAATTATCTAGATGAGAATTTCGATTTTTCTTTTTTTTTCTTTTTCTTTTCGAAGATCTCCTAGTTATTTCGTATTTTTTATTATGATTAATTATCATATTAATATTTCAAGAGATTAGAAATGGAGAGAACCTGTAAGAATCTCATAATGTATCAGTGTAATCTATTGGAATAAATATGATTTATTTATCACTCACAGGTGCATTCGCCAATTTATTCTTTCACTTCCCCAAATTGGTCTGAGAAAGTTAAGTTAATGGAGAATGGAGAGTTTTATTAATTCTGCAAATATTTGAAAGGCAAAGAAAGTTCAATATATATTATCGAGGATTTGTTCATCGGTAAAAAAGTTCTTTTGTTATCTTCCCCCTAGCATTACTCATTATCGAGATAATTTCAGGGCCAGAGAGATTAAATAATTTAAACGGATTTCGTCCGGAGGCCAGTTTACCATTCTATCTCGAAGTTCCGAAGAAACATCTCACTTTCTCTCATAAATAATCTGTGAACAAGATTTCATAAAAAACATTTTTTTTTATTTAATGAAAATTGTTTTGTAAATATCTCAGCAAAAACAAGGTTCCTTCTGGTCACAGACAAATTAGAATACTGACACGAGAATTTTGGAAATAAGAAATGGAGGATAAGCTATTTCATCCAGATAATTAATAGCGACCCATAAATCCGCCGATTATCAACAAATTTGGCTTGTCATAAAAAAAAAATTACACAATGCATTAAACCCATTACACATATCCACCCACAGCCATTGGCGAAAACAAACTGATCCTCCCCAAGAAATCATCAAACAGAAATAACGAGATTAATCCCCCCACACAAATCATCCCAAGATTATAAAATACATTGAGAAATTTTGTTTACTACAACTTGGAAAATGAGAATGTACCGGTGATTTCGCACGTGAGACAGATAAATTAATGCGCAGATCTATCACTGAGTTATTACGAAACATTACGCGGATGATCCAAAGGAGCTTTGTTTATTTACGTCGCACAGAGCGTAAATAAATGATAAGGAAAGATGGAGTGGAATTAAAAAAATGGTGAATTAAATGAAATAATAAAGTTTATAAGGGCGATGGAGTCCTGGAACGTCTGGGGGTGCATTCAGGGATAGGATCAGGTGGTTTTTCATGCGAGGGGTGTGGAAAACCTTTTTCGACTCCACCCACACCCGTGGTGCTCAAACCTAACCGAGACTTTCTCCAAATCAGCCAAACTCGCTCATTTTCTCATTTTCCCTTCGCCAATTTATAAAATTCCGTAGCGAAGAAGTAGCTTCCCTAAATATCTTGAAATATAAAAGAGATATCGAAATTTTTGTAGATGTCTTTTTTTAAACTCTCATTTCACTCTGCAAAAGCGGTCCCGAAGCAAATTTCGATATCTCCCAATTTCATAATTTGATTAATATTCGTGGAAAATTGGAGTAGGGAACAGGTCGACTATTTGGGGTTTTTTTTATGGGATTCTGCGGATTGATAGGGAAACGTTTGAAGGATGGAAGAGTGGGTCGATGGGGTATAGAGGAACAGAATTAGAAACGCGGACTCAAGAAGTGGCTCGAACGAGAGGAAAGTGCGTAAAACATATGCTACAGAGAAGTTTAAATGATGTGGGACAGCTGAGGACTCACACGTCCCCGGATATCTGATGACAATTCTTTAATTTTCTAAGTTTTTAGGATTGCCATTATTGAGATCATCTGGTTCTCGAGGATTTGCAGAATCACAGGTAAAAACCAAAAAACAGATTTACTAAAATATGAATGGCCAAATCATAGTTTATTATCTAGAAATTAAGATAAAACCTTTTAAATATTTCCTTGTCTTGACAAAAGCATAATCGATCAGGGAGCAGAAAGGAATGTTTCGGAGTAATATATCTTGAAAGCCACCTTCAAAGCAAGTATTCCACTGTTCGATGTTCACATCAACTCTTGGTGGACTTATGGATACAGGGCACTCACTGTTCTCCACTTTTTTTCTCATATTTTATTTTCTTTTGTGGTCCAACTCGCGCGGGACGTAAAATCGGACATAAATAACTGGGACCGAGCTAAATAACGCGTACAAGAGTCAGGGATATTTTATAATCCACGTCTATACCTATAAGAATAAAATAAATGACTTTATTTTTCCCTACGAATCTCTACGAATTTCGTACTGACACTTCCTCCACTGTGAGAATTTACTAAGAATGAATAGAAATCATTATTATCAAATTATCAGCGAAATTGAAAATGGAGTTGAAAGAGTAAATAAATAAATATTTACGTAAAAGAAGAAACAGCGATTATCCGCGATATGCCATTCATTCACTCGAAATGAGATGACGTGAAGGGAGAATTATTTTTATTCGTTATTATTTATTTCTCACGATGAAACAGAGATTAACATAAAAGTTAAATGTTAGTGACTTGTCCAGCGGCCACAAATTGTTGCCGAACATCAAAGTAACACATTCGCGTTGAAAAATAATAAATTATATCGCCCTGAAACATCGTCACCGGAATCATTTACACGCTCGACTATTCGTTCGTCGTCGTATTACCCCATTTCACAGTGTCACCAGGAATTAAGTTAAGTTAATGACGAGATTTCCTAACTCTAAACGCTCCACATAGCTATCATTTTTATTTTCACCCGAGATTTTTGTTTCCCTAGGGGAAGGAGAGGAATTGTGCATTTTGTGCGTCGGGTTCGAGCGCAATGACGCGGGTAATTTGTAGTCGAGTGTCAACGCATCTATTTCTGGATTTTTCGAAGCGGGCGGACACCAACCCAACATTACGGCTTTTATTCTCCCTACAGACATTTCTTCCCTACCATTTTTTATCTCATTTGTCATTTATTTTTATGGCTATTGACATTGAAATTGCGTGGGCGTTAAACAATGCCATGATAAACCTTTGGCTTTTGAAATTAGAGAGAAATATTTGGTTTTTTTCTCCTTACTGAAAAATCACTGGAAATATATTTCCAGTAATCAATTGACTGATTAATTAAGTATATGGTGCAATTACGCTGTGTATTTATTTATACTACGAATGAGAGGAGGAAGCTAATGAAGATGTCAAACAAAAAACCTTTGTAACATCGGAGAAATAAAATTATCTATCTATCTATCTTTCCAACCACTCACGCCAATTCCTGAAAAAGTAATATAAGCTATCCATTAATCAATTATGAAAATAACAGCACGATCTCAGGTTTGTATATTCGCCTGCGTAACTTGAAATAACAAAATTAATGGAATTTATTGAAATTTTTAACTCTACAAGTCCATAATTAACTCAAGGAAATGTTAACTCGGGTATTGAATTACCGGCGTTCATCAAAATCTCGGATAAATGACCTAAAGTCATTTGAATCGTTGTGACTCACCGTCAGAACTCGGAACTTCTCTATAATAATGTGTGCAGTAGATTCGATGATTAATGTACACGTGCCACAGAGCAGAATCTCCAACTGCTGAGTGAGCCACAAAACCATCTTATCTTTTTTTTTATTTTTTAATTGTTTTATTCATTTTCTCGTTCTTTCTTTTTCTTCTTTACTCACCACTTTCATGGATATATTTATGTATCCACTGTGCGGTCTATTACTCCTGGTCTCGCTCAATGACTCTTCAGGGATTCACACATGTAAACGGTTGATAGTGAAACACTTTTCAAACCTCCCGAAAATTATCCTAATCCAAAAATACACATATATTTTTATATTATGGATAAATGAAGTGAAGAAGGAGTAAAGGGCGCCAAGGGGATTTAATCCCTAGAATAGTTTTCGAGGAATATCTCTGATTAGTGTTGAACGATTTTTTTTGTTAACAGATCGTTGATTAGATCGATTTATTCTTTCAATCAGCTCCAATGGCTCTTGGGGATTGTTTGTAGCGGAAATTGGTGCATGTAAGGTGTCACATTGCATACCTACAGCTACAAATGTGTGTGAACCACTTCAGCAGCTGGTAAGGAAGCGCGGGAAAAACGGATTTTGACATTTTGACGAAAGCCAGATCCCCGGAAAATATTTGGAAGTATCATTTACATATGTATCACTCCTGAGTTACATAACTTGGAAAAAATAAATCGTCAACATGTGCTTTTTTCTGCGACCTTTACGACATTTATCATCATAAAAATAATAATCACTGAATATCAAATAAAAAATAAAAATACTGAATTATAATTCATTTGGAATTCAACTAATTTTCTATGTTTATAATAACTTGTTTAGAAATTGAAATGTCAACATGTCAATTATTTCAAAACAATGAAAAAATTTAATGAAGAAATAAACTAAAAAGAAATTTTGGACATTGCACGCGTCCACATTTATTTATATTAACAATATATTTAATTTTTATTGATGTTTCCATGTGAATTGAAATCATATGAAATCAAGGTATCAATTGAAAAAGTCTCCCTCCTCATCACTTTTAATACTCAAATCGATGGAAAATATATAATAGTGTTGGGGAATGGCTGGCGACCGACCGAACAATAAATCCACTTTATTTTCAATCGTTCTAATCTTCGGCCAGTAGATCATCATCCAGATTAACATCCTGTAATCACAATTAAATCATAATTATTACTCTCTTTCTGACAATTAATTTTGTTTATTGAGCTTATCTAGAAATATTAATTAGAAAAATTCTTAAAATCAATTTCTTTTCCTTTTTGGAATCAATGGGTAATGAATACAATATGGAATGAAGTATGGATCATTAGCAGGAGACTGTGTAATCGATACAAATGGACTGTACCAGAAATACTGCGATGGCCTTTTCGAGTGCTTTTGCAAATCCCCCCTGGGGATATTTACTCGACAGTAGTCACGGTGTATTTTGTTTACAGCCTTGTTTTCATAACATATCCCGTCGGTTCATGGGCGACTCAAAATTCTACTTTTATGTATTTTGTCGATAAGATTTTTTCTTCTTTCCTTTCATACTGGAGAAGAAAGTGAACGTTATTATTTCTTTTGATTTAATTTTCCAAATCTTCTCTGACAATTCCACATTAAACAGATAATCAAGATATAAATAATATAAATTGTTCAAATAAAGCCGCCAATGGAAAGCACTTTGATCTTCTTGAGATTTAGAAAATCGAGCCAGAACTGTTAATAAAGCCCAAATATTAAGTAGTAATTTTATTTCGCTGGGGTATCACTTGCTGAGTGCATAAGTCATAACGAAAAAAAAAGTGATTCCACTCATATTGCACTGTTTCGATCTCCCCAGGACAAGGGGAAAATACATGCTCAGTACCGCCTCCCGTTTATTTTGGAAACACAATAGCCAGTCTAGAATTACATTGTGGACGAGCTAATCACTAATTAGCTTCCTCTAATGCGCTTTATTGATTCAAGGGATCGAATGCTGTACGACCTATTATTTGCATATTTTTCAAACTCACAGTTGTGTCGATGTTTTCATCGAGATCCAGATCTAAATCGAGATCGTCGTCGTCCAGGAGCCCTGATTGACTGGTTTTTGGTACAATCAAGATCTGGGCTTTGTGGGACTCGGGTGCAAGTGATTTTCCAAGCCCAAGGTCTTGTAATCTGTTGGCTAATTTGTCTGATTCATCCTGCTCTGCAAAATTCTCACTGTCACTTGGATGGAACTGTCCGGCTTGCTCTGCCGCTAGCATTTCTTCCAGAGGTTTTCTCTCGATATTTGGCTATAATCCAAGATTTTTCTCAAAATTATTATTCATTGGTAAAGTGATAAAACATAATTGCATTGAACGTCTCAAGTTTTTTGTCAAATGAAAAAGCCATCATTTAGAAAAATGAGTGACTGAGCCTCATAAAAATACAAATGAATGATGAGAAGGCCCATAAGAACGTGGACCAGTCCGATAGCACTGAGCAATCGATTAGTCATGGCTTGACGATTCAAGCAACATAAATATCGCGGTCTAAGTCTCAAACGATCACTATAATAAACGACAGCTCTAGATCATAAACCCTGTGTAATATGACGACCATAAAAGCAATCATAAAAAGAACGACCAAGAAAAAATTTTTTCATCTGATGATTGAGTGAAAATCAATTGTTAAATTATTCATTGATCTACACACCTATTAACTATTATAATTTACGAATTAATCACATTAATCAAAATGATGGTCTCATTTGGTTAACACGAAATAGTGAATTACCTTAACAGCTGAAAATTCCGCAGCTGGTATTCTTCTCTTGCCCTCGGCCCTCAGGAACTGCTCGACCTTGAGGGATTCCCTGTACCCAGGAAACAAGTTCTCATACTGTTCAGGATCAGCAAGACTTTGTCCTGCCTTCTCACTGACAGCAGAGAGTTTTTCCTTCCACAGTTTGACAACATAAGAGATTTTGCTGGGGGCATACGCTCTGGCAAAGAATGCGGCCTCCGGTATCCTGTCAGTGTTCACGAGGATATCCAGACACTTGTCCACATCTCCCAATAAGAAATTGGAAAGAAATGAAATATTGTTCTTTCCCCCATCGTCAGCAGCCTCTCCCAGCTTCTCAATCATCCCAGCATTGCCAGTGCTAGTAGCCAACAGAAGGAGTCCACCAAAATCTTGTGCCTGATGCAGACACTCTTGTGCAAGGGTGAGCTTTCCCTTCTGAGTAGCCAAAGAGGCCAACTGCCTCCATTTCTGTTGACTATTGGCTTCCTTTGCCAAACTGTGCGCAATCTCGAGATTTCCAAGGGCAAGTGCGAGCTCAAATCTGTGCTCAGGGTCTGTGGATACATCGAGCGCCTGTTTTTTAAAGCCTTGTTTCTCCAGGAAATGAGCAACACGAGTTCTGTGCTCTTTTGGAACTGTGGGGAGGACCCTGTCTGCTGTCTCAAAGTCCTTCCTCATGACGGCTGTCTGGTACTCCAGGACAGATAGGAGGAGTGAGTACGAGACGATTGCCAGTTCCTTGTCGCAGAGGTACAGTCGGTTGTCCCTGGGGACGTATCCCAGAAGGTACATTGGTCTGTCGAGGTGGGATATTGTCACGACCTCACCACCCACGAAATAATTGATCCTGTTGACGCTATTCGTGTAGATAAAGCAATCGCCCACCCACAAGCCTGTCTTGACAACCTCAGACATATCTGCGACCATTTCAAATGCATCCTCAATGTCCTCAGCATTCTCAGGAGCATTAGCAACGACTTCAGCGTGATATTTCAGGATAAAGTACTGATCAGCTGTTGCCAGGGCTATCAAAGAAGCATTTTCTGCCCAGTAGACGTGAGTAGATTGGATATCGATCCTCCTGACCAGTTTCAACGTATCCCAGTCAAAGAAGGAGAGACCAGAGACTGAGGAGACGCCCAGGAGAAATCCACCAAAGATACCGTCGACTCCGAAATCAGGTTTTAAGACTTTCTTCTCCTTGAAGTTCTTAAAGACTTTAACGACTGAGGAACTCTCTCGGACAGCGTATTGAGAGGAATCAGAGGCCCAGACGAATTCGAGAGCTTGACCGAAGGCCTTATTGCGGAGCGCCATTGAGGTGTAAATTATGTACTCTCCGTCACCGCACACCACGAGAAAACGACCATTAGGATTGTGCTGAATTGTCTGGGGGTAGATTTCACAGGCGCCCATGTCTTTGACAGCTAACGGAAGGCGTTCGCCATCCTGTGCCTCTTCTCCAAGGGCTTTAAGGTTTACCTGTTGAATTTCACTGTGCTTAGCCCAAACAATCTTTCCACCCATGGAGTCCATGGATACTGCTGGTTCCTCCCTTCCTACTTTAATCATAACGCTTCCCTCGTCATATCCAATGGCCACATTATTCGAGCCCTTCATGCTCGCAATGGTCCATACACGTTCGAATCCATAATTCAACGAAGACTCCAATCTGTACGTTCCTGCGTGCCAGATTCTCACAGTTCCATCCTCTGAGCCAGTGAGGACGATTGGAAGTTCAGGATGGAAACACACAGCTGAGATATTCTGCGTGTGCCCCTCCAGGGTCTGAACACACGTTTTATTCTGATAATCCCAGATCTTAACGTACCTATCGTCAGCTCCAGATATCAAGTACGGTTTATCTCCTCCGTGATAGTAGTCCACACAGTTAACTCCCTTCTCGTGACCCTCGAGAGTGAAATTTGCAGTGGATGAGCCCAACTGCCAAACTTTAACTGTTCTGTCCAGGGAGGCACTTGCGAATGTGTTGTTGTCCTTTGGGTTGAAAACAATCTGCATAACGTAGTGGGTGTGACCTTCAAAGACCTGCTGTCCTCGCCAAGATTTTTCCCAGTTCCATAGCTTAATTAACATGTCGTCTAGAAAAATGATGAAAATTTGGATTTGAATAATCTGCAGTGGTTCTACGATTTTATTGATTCTAACCACCAAATTTAGGAGATTAGAGGGAATAAATTTAAAGAATCTTACCACTGCTGGTTAGTATGAAAGGCTGAGTAGGATGTACTGCGATACATCTGACGTAATCACTGTGAGCCTCAAAGGAGTGCACCCTTTCCAGAGTATTATAATTAAAAACTCGTACATGCATATCATCAGATCCAGTCACGACCCAATTTTTCCGGGGTACGAATTTGGCAGCTCTCACTGGCAAATCGCATACCTCGAATGTCTTCACGAGGGTCTGACTCTCGTGATTCCAGATGTTGACATTTCCCTGATATAAGGAGCAGAGCATCCATGGTTCTGTTGGGTGGAGGTCCACACTTTTCACTCTGTCAGACCTTGCGGTCAGTCTACGCTTTATATCCAAACGTAGAGGCTGAAATAATTCCATTGATTAACCTTTCATCTCAATAGACGGGAACCAATTATTGGGGATTAATGGGATGGTAATGTTAATTAAGGATGATTAATTGGTGATCAGATGTTGATGCAATTTTGACGTGTGGTGTGGGTTGGTATGCTCCGCCTGTGAACGTCATCAGACTTAACCCAACCAAGTGTTTTTTGTTTATACTGTCAAGAATAATTACCAAGTTTATTGTCGACTTATACGAGTGTTCGTAAAACTAGTCACTCACCATTTTAAAATTCCGTGCTCGTGTAGATCTTGTTGTTAATTATTAATATAAATTCGTATAAAATCCAGCTTCCAGATCCAAACAAGAAACCGCTGCCATGAAGTTAGGACGTGGACGTGGCTGATGAGCTTGAGGGAGACAGTGTCAGAGGCGCGCGCATCCAATAATAAATTCAAAAAGGAAAAAAACATTTCCACTTACCACATGAGTTTTCTCGGTTGATCAAACGAACTTCTAACCAACATCTGCCGGTGTAAACAATGAGACGTGCTCCAAAATCATTTGTTTGTAAATAAAAAGAGTGCAAGTATTCTAAATTAGATTCACAATGGAGGAAACAGCATCTACGATCTCCGATCCAATAAAGAACCATCAAGAACATGAAGAAAACCGTGCAGAAGAGATAGATCCAATAATCCCTGAATCTGCTTCAATGGTCGGTGAGATTGCCATAAAAGAATCAACAGTTACACAACAAATGAATGAATTGACATTAGATCAAAAGGAAATGCAGATAGAAACACGGGAAACGAATGAGATATCCCAAGAAGTCGATAAGAATTCTTTAGAGGATGACACCCAGAATTTGAGCTCAAAGACTGAGGAGAATGAAGATCAGATTTTCAAATATAATTGGAGTATTTCTCCTATCCTTTTGTGCTCAGCTACTGAAGAGTATGAACCTAATGCTAACTGTGAGAATTTCACGAAAGGTTGTTTGTGGTCGCCAGATGGTACTTGCCTTCTGGTACCTGCTGAGGATTTCAGACTCAGGGTTTATGAACTGCCCACAATTTTGTACTCTGGAAAATTTCCGCAGGATTCACTATCTTCACTGAAGCCAGTCTTTAGTATTAAAGAGGGTGGAATTGTTTATGACTGCTCGTGGTACCCATTGATGAACTCCTGGCAGCCAGAAACCTGTTGTTTTATTAGCACCAGCAAAGAGACTCCCATTCATCTTTGGGATGCCTTCACTGGACAGTTGAGAGCTACTTATCGAGCTTATAATCAGTAAGAACGTCTGAAAATTAATTTATTCCAACACGTTATGTATCTCTCTTATACATAATAGATACTATTGAAGAAATTTCATTGATTTCATCATCTCATTCTCCAGAGTTGACGAGGTGGAAGCAGCAATTAGTGTTCAATTCTCTGATCACGGCCAGACGGTTTGGGCTGGCTTTAAAGGCGCCCTCCGATCATTTGACACTAATCGTCCTGGAAGACAAATTGAAGACATTTTTCTCAAACATGACTTTCCAAATGTCACTGGCATCGTCTCCTGTATTAGAGAAAATCCTAAGATGCCGGGACTCCTCGCGTTTGGAACGTACTCCAAATGCATAGGTGAATATAATAAACAAATAAATACGTGAAAAGCGACAAGTCAGCTGTCTCATACGGAAATTTGCATTTTGTATAATTGTCTTAGGTCTGTACAACAATGGGCCACTTTGTTCCTTCAAAGCAAGCAGTGGAGTGACTCAAGTGGAATTCAGTCCCTGTGGTACGAAATTATATGCAGCAGTTCGTCGTAATGATGAATTTGTTTGTTGGGATCTTCGAAATCCGGGGATTATTCTCTATTCGTTGGAGGGACGTCGGTCAAATACAAATCAGAGAATTCAATTTTCCTCTTCGCCGGATGGCAATGACGTTATCTCAGGTCAATACTAACTTTCTTAATTATCTTAGCAATCAGTTTCCCAGAAAAATAAAAAAAATTATTTTGCAGGTGGAACCAATGGTGTCGTAAACGTCTGGAAAACGTCGGAAATTAATTGCAGCGAAATTCAACCCTCCTGGAGAATTTCACTCTCCGGTGATTGTGTAAATGGTGTCAATGTACATAAATGCCTGCCAATAATGGCAACGAGCTCGGGACAAAGATTGTGTGAAGAAGATCTTGTGATTAGAGACAATAGCGTTCGATTGTGGTATTGTGGATTTGGAATAGACAAATCGTGACTGATTAATGACACTGACTGCAGCGTTGATGTCGGTCCAATCTCGGCACAATATTGAGTCAAGGTTGGCAAGAATTAAATTAATTTACAGATTCCACTAAATTACTCGAATAATATTCATTTGAATATCCAAAAAAAGAAAGAATTCGGCTAAATAAACAGAGTATTTTCTTTGGAATGTGAAAATTGTGGGCTTGAAATATTTTTCCGTAAGAAAAATACTTAACGTAATCCATTCGCTCTTAATCGAGTAGTCCTTTTTATTAAAAAAAATGATTTTTTTGATGTTACATGAAATGCATGGTCATTTATTAGCAAAAATGACCATATCATTTAAAATCATAGACAATATCTCACATTTTTAAAATCAACTATTCGCGAGCAAACCCCTCAGTTATGTGAATAGCCATTCATTCGCTCCGATCGAATGAAAAGCACCAGATTTACTCGATCCAAGACTAAAAATTCTATCATTATCTAGAGCTATAATTAGCCCATTTAAATGAACCGCTAGAGATTTGGAGGCCTAACCCTTTTCCCCCAGGATGATTCACTGACCACAATTGTTACCAACCAAAAAGCGCCACAGAGTCTATGGGGTTTTTTGTCATCGCGGGGGTGGGGGTAACCTGATCTGGCATTCTAGCATCAGTACACAGTCGAGGTTAGCTTGGCAACGCAGTCGGAGGCATAGTTGGCATAACTATTAGCTATTGAAATTCGTACCTCCGTCGGACAATTTATATCTAAAAAACATTGAATGAATAAGTGCACAATGAGTTCAAAAGAAAACGTAACGCCTGGAACAAAATCTCAAACGACAAATGCCAAAGCTTACGGTAAAATCGTTCTCACCCTTCAGAATTGTCTCCTACCAGAGGAAAAACTCAAGTCTACCCCGTCACACTTGGACGGTCTTGACGCTGAAACCGAGACAGATTTGAGAATTCTGGGTTGTGAGCTCATACAAACCGCCGGCATTCTCTTGAAATTACCTCAGGTGAGATATAAAAATGATTACAAGTTAATCGAGATAATTGGCGATGTTCTGAGTACGTCGTTTACGTCTCAGTCGATGACATAACCTCCAATGTATTTGTGTTTTGGTTTTCACTTATTTTTTGCGACCATCTTCTTCTATTATAGTTTGAATAAAATATTTTCAGGTGGCAATGGCTACGGGCCAAGTGATATTCCAAAGATTTTACTACAGCAAATCTTTAGTGAGGCATAACATGGAGACAACAGCTATGGGATGCGTCTGTCTCGCCAGTAAAATCGAGGAAGCACCACGAAGGATACGAGATGTGATCAACGTTTTCAATCACATAAAACAGATGTCCAGTCAAAAATCTATAACTCCAGTAATCCTGGACCAGAACTACGTAGCTTTGAAGAATCAAGTGATTAAAGCAGAGCGTCGCGTTCTAAAGGAACTGGGCTTCTGCGTACACGTCAAGCATCCCCACAAGATAATTGTTATGTATCTGCAGGTCCTCGGTTACGAGAAGAACCAGGATCTCATGCAGAAGTGCTGGAACTACATGAACGATTCTCTACGTTCTGATGTATTCCTTCGACATCATCCTGAAACGGTGGCGTGTGCTTGTGTCTATCTTGGAGCTAGGCAGCTTAGGCTGCCCCTCCCAACGTCACCTCCTTGGTTTTCCCTGTTCAAAGTTGATGAGACCTCCATCAGGGACGTCTGCCGAAAAATCCTGAGGCTTTATACTCGCCCGAGAGTTCGGCCCGAGGAGCTCGAGAAGAAAGTCGAGGAGCTGAGGCGACAGTATGAAGAGGCGAGATCCAAGGCTAGGGGTACTGAGGCTGATGGACATACGCCCAGTCCTCCCTTACCCAAACATCATAACGCATGGGGGGGATTCATCAGCCGAAGTGGAACTCATGCAGTCCCTGAAAGAGCTAAATCACCTAGGAAATCCAAGTCATCGGTGGTTACATCATCATCTACAACACGAGAAGAATCCAGTACAAAGCACTCGAAGAAGAAGAGGTATTCTAGTCGCAGCCGATCGAGAAGTAACAGCCGAGGAAGATCCAGAAAACCAAAGAAGACCTCACGACGTACTTCTGGCAGTCGTAAATACAGACGAAGATCTCGCAGTTGATTGCACGAACGAATCATGCTTTACGATCATTTAATCTGTACAAGAGACTTTTTGGCTTTTTGCAAGTCTTCTCTTTTTTGTAAATAAATATGAATATCCATTTGTCTAAAAAATAATTTGTTTTTCTTCATTAATTTCCATTCAAACACCACAGCTACGAAATTTATTGAATATTTATTGCCAGAAAAACTTACATTTAAAAAATGGCAAAACTTCAATCTTCACTGCCTATTCAAATCATGAAATTCCTTAAGAGCCTCAGAATCTTACTTCTAAAATACAAAAACATGAATTACTCTATATTTATCAATTAATTAAAATTATCTAAACGATTCACTGAATATCGATGACTCTCTCGAGATGGCCCATGAGTGTCTGGAGTTGGCGAACAGTTTCAGGATCTAGAGCAGGAATTAAAGAGTTGCGAAGTCCACCAGCAGTGGGCAGGAGGGAAATAATTTTACCATCTCCGAGAGGCACGTTAATATTAGCTGTTTGATCTTTGACGATAGAGGAGACCAGGATGGGGCTGCCCTGCATGCTCAGTACCATCTCGCCCTGTCGGGGATGTCTCAGAATACTCATGGGAGTGTTGGGCTTGACCTTGGGTGTGACAGGTGTGAAATCAGTGGCTGATTTCTGGCTGCTTTCTGGTTCTATAAATTTATTAATGACTCGAGAAGCTGAAGCTGCTCGTTTGTCTGTAGATGTACTGACTTTGGGGCTCCTATCAGTAGTCGTTCTCGACGTACTCCTCGCCTTCCTGGAGCTTCGGCCGACATTGCCAGTCTTGGAAACTCTCGTCCGACGACTATTGCCACTCTCTGTGATGTAACCATCGTCTGTTGAGACAGCAGTCTGCCTCTTTGCAGATTGAGGCTTTGATTTAACTGTTGAAGGGGGCGCGTAGCGAATCGAAGCGTGTTCTGAGCTCGACGAGACGTCCTCGTAGTCCTGCTCATCCGTCTTATTTAGAAATTTTGATAAGTCTCCCAGGGTCATTTCACGGACCTCTGGGGGAATCTTCGAGAGAAGTAGATCGAAGTCATTATCGAAATTGTTGAACATTGTCTCAAAGTCAAACTGCACCTTGCGCCAACGAAGGTCTGCCTGCATCTGAAAGTCTTTCACCATCATGTCACTCTCCTCCTGGAGGGACAGCGATGAATTACGTTTACGAGGCTGCTTAGTACGAGGCATTTTATGATATTGAAGGTCCTGTAGTTGTTAGTAGATTCCTCATGTGTTTCTGAAATATTTGGTACGATTATTAAAAAAGTGCTGAAGAATATTTACATGTTTTCATTCAATTTGGCGCAATAGCAATTAACATTGTTCTTCTTCGATTACAGAATGACTATCTAAAATGATAAACACCACGTTACAAATCATTTAATTATTATCAGATTAGTATAAAAAAAATCGTTGAAGCACAGCTAATCCGAATTGTAAGCCCAGTCGATGATGTGCATTACTCTTAGCCTTTTGTTTTTAATTTTAAACGTTTTTTATTAATTTTTGGAGAATTTCATTTGACAGTTGATCAATCGACAAATGACTAAATACTTCATCTATCTATTAACCTTGTTTAAAAATAGAACAATGTTGAAAATTAATGATAGAATTATTTTTAATGGGTGTCCGTTTTACCTCAAGTGTCCGTATTAACAGATTATCACACAACTTATTCCTCTAAATTCATTTGATACCGACTCCATTATTCTTCTATTAGATTTCTGTCAATTTTCTGTTCAACTGACGTGATTTTAAGGTATCAACTAAGAATTTGTGATTTTTTAGCAATTTACCTCGGCGTCAGCATGGGGAGGCGTCCATACTAGGCTAATGGTTTTCCTTCGTATTCTCACTCTTTATAGCTCAGTCACTCCTTGTTTCTTTAGATTGAAAAGGTCAGTCTGGAACTATTAATGAGTTCTTTGTGCTTTGGTTTGCTAATTATTTTAAGAAGTCACAATAAATACTGAATTATATTTTCCGAGACGAGGGCAGGACTCAACCTGTTGTAAGAGATCTCGGACAGATCTGTAACGGTACGGTGGTACAACGAAACGACTTTGAAAGAACGCTGTCCGGCTGTTTTGTATCGAAGTTGTTCATTGGTATAGGGTATCTTAGGTTGCAGAAAGGAGGACCAATAGAATTTGATTTTTAATGACAAGTCGGGAGGTGCTGCCCTCTTTTCAACATTTATGAAGTCTCTTTTTTGGATTTATTTAATATATAAAACTTAATTCCAACTATTTTTAATTGAACCAATCAACATTGATGAAATCCTTATCAGAGATTTAGTGGCTAACGAATTACACATTTTTAAAAGCTTGGCGCTAATGATATTCAATGGCGCCACTGTCCTTCTAGTAACATCATTAGGGAACATGCCAGATAATAATTTTCAAGGAGAATATTCCTGGAATCAACAAAAAAAAAACTATTTGATCATTTGAACATCACGTGTCCTGTTCATGTGGTTTATACAATCCAGGAATAACCGAATCTCGCGGAAATCCTCAGGATCGTGGTTTCTTTTCAATAACATATCAATAACGTTTTTACCTCATCCTTTATTCTATTTTTATCACTTAAGGCCATGCGGTTTTTATTTCCTTTCCTTCATGAATCCTAACAATAAAATAAGCTGACAATTGATGAAAAAAATGAACCAAAAAAACATTCATTTAAAAAATAATTCTATCATTATATTTACATATACACAAGAAAAAAGAAATCGAAAAATTATGTCTACAAAACTGTAAGATACAAATTATTTATCAGCATTGTTGTAGGACGGTCTACCAGCTAGTTCCAATAAATAGCGATCGGGATGATCGAGCCAGTCAGCTGCACTGAGTTTAACCACACGCTGTCTTTCAGCTTCCTTCACTTGCCATTTCTTAATTTCCAACTGTCTTTCTCTGTAGAATGAAAAACAAATGTTTACAATGATTCACACTTCATCTGTTTACTTGATTACACACTCGCAGCACAAGATATATGCGTGATAAGGTAGTGTGATGTTATCTAATAATGAAAAGAACAATGGAATTATCATTATTTATGAGTGATAACAGATGATTAAGAAAAATTGCGTGAAGAATTCCATTTAACTTATAAATAAAGAATAAATGTCAAAATCTCTCGTAGAGTTGATAATTATTTTATCATTACCGTGATTTACGATCCCCACATCCCCAGGCATCGATACTCTTGATTCTGTGGGGTGCACCGCCAAAACTAACTGAAGCAAAGCTTTGGTCTATATTGATGTAGGGATTACGTGGATCCTTGCCAGCTCTAAGGCCATGGGGATATCCCCTGATGCTGGTATTCAAGTACAGGAGCTTGGGGCCTTTCTCCACGAGCCTGTAGCAGGGCTGGAGCTCGATTATCATACAGTCTTCGTCGCCCCAGTACAGATGGGACTCTCGCCATTCAATTGACGAACATATGCAGTAAGTAACTCCGTCTGCGTTGCCATTTTCTCCACGAATAAATATAACCGTAGGCCCCCTGTAACCCAATATATGATGCAGGAGACGATTTGCACCAGCTCCGTGTTCATCACTCGTGTAAAGAAGTGTCCAGTGGCTCGGGCAAGGATAGCTGGAGAGTTTTGCTGATAAAACTGCTGAGCTTTCCTTGCTGGGCGACTCCTCCGTCTGAAAATGTCATGAATTAATTAATTCAAATATTTTGTATCAAGTATTAGTCACAGTGAAATTTCAAGAAGAAAAAAAATCGAGCATAATTGAATAGTTATCTCATACCTGAATGAAACAAAAAGGCAAACTTGTAGACAACAGCCAGACTTGACTCAGTGGTAACATATTATCAGCCTGTTCAAATGAAAGTACTTTTTCAAGAACAGGGGTAACTGGGCCAATGTGCGGTTGCAGCTCCTCAGTAGACAAAAGTGCCTGTCCATTACGATATGCTGTTGTCAGCACGTGAACAATGTAACGATGTACTCCATACACGACTCTTGGACAATGCTGCCAGAGCCAATTGCTTACGAAACAGACGGAAAGAACATCTTTCCCATGAAACTGGAAAAAAAAACCATTAGTTAAAAATTCATCGATTGAAAAGTCATTTCGCTCGAATAATTTTCTTTCCTTGAGGAGGACACTCATTTATTGTAATGAATTTCCTCGAACTTACACAGGACGTAACAGCTGCACCAATGGTTTTGTGCACATAAGGACAGGTAGATCCTTCATTATCCATCGCCAAACGATAAGAAATCATGAGTAAGTCCCTTAGGCCCTGAGGTGTTACCTCACCACTTTCATCCATCGTGTTAGAGTACATTTTCACGTAAATATCCAATACCGTTCTGTCATTCATGATACCGAGGAGTTTCTCAATTTGTTGTTTAAAGGCAGAAGTACCCAAGTGCTTGGTCGTGGCCTTGGATGATTTATGAAGGTATCGGTACAACCTCGAAGCAAACTCCGAGTAATGAGGGAACAAGTATTTAACGAATATTTCTTCTGAGACACCGTGGCCGTCATTATCGTGGTGATTGCGTTCAGATAAGATCTGCCAATTCAAAAGTACATGGTAGAATAATTAAAAATTCCGAGATTGTTAAAGGAGACTGTAAATTAGTAAAACGTATTATCCTTAACGTTCACCCATTGTCAGGAGAATTTAACTTAATTTCATTGCGCATCTAACATATTATCAATGCCACAAAGAAAACAATAATTTTTTCTCCATAAAAATTATCCAAAAATTTGAAAACTCTCGGAAACAATCCATTAAATGGTCTCACAACAATTTGGAATGAAAGAAAATAGTATTTTTTCATCATTAGGGTTTTATTAATTTGTCATTATGTAAAGAGTGACAAATACGTATGACAAATGACTTACCTTGCTGAGTTTATCAACGGGTCTGAAATGCGTGACAAAATTGTGCTCAATATCAGAGCCCGATGGGCTCCGTGACATTGACTTGATATTATTTGTATTATTTGTCATTGCTGCACTCTTTTTGCTTGTTTTATCGGCACTCCGTCCCACATGGTTACCCATTGTAACGTATGCGTTGGTAATTTCATATGGTTTATCGACTATTTTGTGGAATTATTTTTTTTTAGCAAGGAGTAACAATACTGAACAGCACTGTGCAACTGTGTCACAAGCCCGAATGAGTGGTGAAATGATATATACAACTCTCTGACACATGTGCCACCCAAATGGTGAATTTCGTGACGCTGTCGCTGGCTGTGACACCCACGCACAATAGGGACTTTTCACTGTTTTTGTTTTCATAATCTATAATTTTATACTCTCTCCACCAGCCACGTCCACCACCTCTAATGCTATCAATTTTCGCTATTGACTAACAATTTTATGAAAGAAATATTGTTGCGCAAGATCATACTTCTGAATGATCATTATTTTAAATCGCAAGACTCGAATTCATCGATTTCTGCACGTTCGACGCAAACTCTCTAGGGACCCTAGACGTCGCCCTCTGGGTACAACGACCTGTAATCGTTCAGGATTTTTACCCAGGACTACACTATCGCGCCCTCCCTGCCTTGACACCAGTACTAGAATTCCTGGAGTCATCCTAACTCGTCGTCCCGAGGGTCTAGGTCTACCCCAGGTCTATCTTCGGTGAAAACGATGACTTTTGGGGACAGTGCCATACAGCAACTGTTCCAATCGATAATTTATACGGTTTCAGGAAATTTTCGGGATAAATAAGTGGAGATGGTTTAATTTTTTTCGTTGTTTATTGATTTGCGAGGGACGTTCTGGGGTTTTTGTTATACATAAAATGAAAATTGTGGCGACCTGATTGTCCAGGAGTTCTTCCATTTGCTGCTGGAAGTAGGAAGTCGTCGACAATGGTCCTGGGAAGGAATGATAAGAGAAAGAGGAAGGAAGGAGACCTAGTGGATCTCATGGATCCTGCCTCTACAGCTCCGAAAAGGTAATCCTTGTGTTCTCTTTATTCCATTCTTCTCGACATTACTCAAAAATTTCTTACTCCATCTCTTCAGACCTTTCATTTCTGGTAGTTGCTCTTTAAGGATATCCAAGTTTTTAAATTGATGTTCATTATTTTTTTTTGTTAAAACATCTTTTTACCTCGAGGCTGAACATAAAAGCGTTTGTCTTTTTTATTCTGAATTTGATTTTGCATCCGTCGCGAGAACTACCGCAAGCTCTTCCTGCATGTAAACCGATTCCCCTAAAAAATCTGAAGATTTCCATCGGGGTCTTCCTTTCCAGGGCAAAGGTCCATGCCCAGAGGAAATTCGCGCAGGGGGTGGCGACGATCTTTAGTCCAGTACCCACCCTGGTAAAAGAGAAGGAAAGGCCAAAGCCCATTCTAGTAACCGAGCTCATCACCCACAAGCGCCCGAATACAGAGGACTTCCTGACATTCCTCTGCTTCCGAGGCACATCAATTTTACCACCAAGTCTCAATTTTTTCAATCAGGGCACAAAAAAAGATAAACAGGAGAACAAACAACCGCGTAGATCTACCCCACAACAGACGCCCTCGTCCCCCCACACACCTCCACCCACAGTGTCATCCAAAACCCATGGAGAAGACTCCAAACCCCCCAGCCCCCCAAAACCTATCCCCTCAGTATCGATTCCAAGCACAACGAAAAAGAAATTCCCCGTTATCCACAAAACAGTGACAGTAAATAAATATAAGACAGCCACGTCGACAGTCCAGGCCTTGAAGAAAAAATATAAAGAGCAGAGACTTGCTAAACAGAGAATCGAACAGAAGTTTAAGACGACAGTCATGAGGACACGTTCAGCAGCCAATCGACCTCTCCTCAAGTCCACCAAAATATCATCGAATGTTTTCTTGAAGCACATCGAGAAGAAGAGCATCTGCCTGAGGAGTAGTGGATCCCTGGACAAGGGTATCCCAAAAACTAATAAAATACTGCCCAAAGGGAAGAAGAAGCCCCTGAAGAAGAAGCTGGACGAGAAGAGTGAGTCAAGTGGGGATTCCGAGGACCACTCCATTCAGAAGAGAATTCCTAAATCAAAGAATCCGCCTGTCAAAATACCTCTGAAGGACCTAAACAAGCTGAAGAGCACTGGCAAGATGAAATTGGACTCAGTGAGAAGAGTGACTCGATCCCATCGAGAGGCCCCCGCACCGCCCTCCAACCAGCGACCCTCGAGGAAGACGAAGGAGGCAGCTGCAGTGTACATGGAGATCCTCAGTCGAAAGCTGGTGAGCCCTGACCTGGACAACGACGATAATATGTCCCTGGAGAGCTTTCCCGAGATTCCAAATGCTCGACGTGATTCAGCGAAAAAGGTTCTGAGTGAGAAGAAAAAGACTCTTCAGTCGGGGAAAAAAATCCTCGACGAGGACAAGAGCTCCCAGAGAACACTCAAGACGAAGAGGCCTGTGAAGAACTCAAAATACTCTGACAGTGAGGATAACTTCTCTGTTCACTCCGATAAAAGCAATCAGACAAGTGTGAAAACTCGTGCAATCACAAGGAGAACTTCTTTGGTGATTAAATCCTCGGTGATTCGAACACTCAGATCGGCTGCCAAAAGTCCAGACCAAAAATTTGATAAATCCTTGAGACCAACTGCTAAACAATCCCTTAATCCAGCGAAGGACAGGAAGAAGATGAGAACAAGACGAAAGAGTGACGATGAGTCACCCAGTACTTCCCCGAGACGAGGGAATAGTCCCTTGAAATCCAATCCCGAGAAGCAGAAGAAGCTCGTAAAGAAAAAATCTGAGGTTCACTCTGCAGAGTCTGACGAGGACCTGGGGACAGTCCTCAATCGAATGAATAAATCGACAAAATCCTCGAAACCCCCAGCCAAACGTTCTGTCAAGTCGACGGAGGTGACAAGAAAATTTCCCCCAGAGCCTGTGATAATGATTAAGAAAATGAATAAGATCCTGACCCCAAAGGGCTCCGATGACGAGGGATCGTTTCGTGGATTCAGCAAGAAATCAACGAGGAACGTGTCTAGTCCTTGTTCACTCAAAATGAACAATGACGCCCCAAAAGCTGGAAAAAACGAGACTGACGATAAAATAGAGGCAACAGAGGGCTGTCATAAGGAAAAACCCGAGGAAATTCCCCAGGTCCCCGAGAAACAAAGTTCAGTACCCCTGAAAAGCGGAATGACTCAAGATTTGGCAGCTGCCCCTCAGTTTATCTCGAAGAAGACGTCGATCAGTTCGGTCACTCCACCCCAGGCCCTCGAGAAGAGTTTCATCGACGTGCCAACACTGCAATCAATGGGTCGTAAGGAACGAGTCAACATGTCGACAGAGCAGATCGAGAAGTGGCTGAATGAGAGCTCGATGGTGAAAGAGGAGAGCAAAGCTGAGATGGAGACTGTGATAAATTTTCCCTTTGGCCTCGACACAGAGAAACCGAAATTAAATATACCCAAGTCAAATGTCTCCAGCATCCCCAGTGCAACTACCCCCTCGAGCTGTCACCTCTCGATTCCCACAAAGATTCAGCACCTCGTAAGACCAGTCAACGTAGCCATCGCCAAGATCGCGGAGAAGCAGCTCAACACCATCGACCTGAGCCACAATCACCACAAACTCAAAACCGAGAGCATCGTCCTCTCGAGCACTGGTATAGCCACCGCCAAGGCCTCCAGCATCCCAACGAACAGAAATAAAATAAACGCTGACATCAAAGAAATCATCAAAGGGAGAACCGGAAAAGCTCTTGATGTCGTCACTGAAAAAACAAGTCAACAGGTCCCAGACACTGACAACGAGTCTGACATTAATAGTTTGAAAGTCGTCAGTGATAATGAGACTGCGACAACACCATCCCCAAACGACAAGAAAAAAACTCAGTCACAAGTGCGAAGACCCTTCGTGTCGAGGATAAAGGAGCGAAAGCTGTCCACTCCAAATTCAAATGCCTTCTCCCCAGAGGATGAAAGCAGTGTCTATGCTTTCAAGAGTGAGACAGAGACGCCTATCAGCACGCCCTTTAGGCGAAGAGTGAGAGATAATAAAGTGGAGAGCGTCCAGGAGGGCAAGAAGTCTTCAGAAACTCACAAGAGTAATAAAAATTCTCCATTGGAAGGCAATAAGTCTGATAGAGACATTGCAAACTCTATTCCTTTGAAGAATATCCCCATCTGGACCAACGACGGCTGCTCCACATCAATCGCAGTGCAAATAAACTTCAACGATAACGATCCTCAGGGTCTGAACTCCTTCTATCCAGTTCAGAATCGTCAAAACTCCACGAAGAACCCTGAGAATACGAGCAACGAGATTTCTACTCAGACGGAGAATACGAATTCAAACGACGATGATAATAACACCCAGGTGTTCTACATTCCCCTCGAGAACGTTGGGAGAAATATGTCTCAGTTCACAAGTCTTCAGGGTCAGCCATTGATCCAGGGAGTGGCTGTCAAACTGGGAACAGAGGGCCCCAACGGTCCCAACCAGCGAGTCCTACTGCGAGCACAGCTGGTAACAAAACCTCCGTTGACAGTGACCAGATGTCCGCCAATCGGAACAGTTCAGCCCACGACGAGAGCACCTCAAGGCTCGACGGAGCCAGTCCCATCGACGTCTACCTCAAGTCCTCCCACCACACCAGTTAAAACCGATGGAACTCTACGTGGAGCACAACACGACGGTGAAAACGACGTTGCCACACCAGAGAAGATGAAGAAACCCTCGGGAAAATCGTCATCAACTCGTGATACCAAGAAGAAGCCTTCAGAGGCCTTGAAGACGTCACGCCAGGAGAAACGATTGAAGAAGAACTCAACGAGTCTGAATGACACCGAATCCCTCTCGTCGAATCAGAGTGCAAGCCTGGGGGCGTCGACATCAATTGATAAAGCAGAGGCTCGACTAGCTGATGCCCCCACGTTCCATCCAACAGAGAAGGATTTCCAGGACCCTCTGGAATACATCGAGAAGATTCGTCCACTTGCTGAGAAGTATGGCATCTGCAAGGTTGTACCACCCTCGAATTTTAAACCCGAGTGCAAGGTCTCCGATGACATGAGGTTCACAGCATACAATCAGTACGTTCACAGGATGCTGCACCGTTGGGGGCCCAACGTGAAGGAGATGATGGCGATAAAGAAGTACTTGGCTACCCAATCGATTACATTATCCCAGCCTCCCTGGATCGGTGGAATGGAGGTCGATCTTCCTCATCTCTATCAGACTGTGCAGAGTCTCGGGGGCCTCAAGGAGGTAATCGAGAAGAAGAAGTGGCAGAAGGTCGCTGATGGCATGAAGATCCCCAAGTCCGCCCAGGACAGAGTCACCAAATTGGACGACATCTACTGCAAGTATCTCCTGCCCTATGATACCCTTAGCACTGAAGAGAGAGAGAAGCTCTTCGAGGACGTGGAGACAGAGTGGCGGAGAAGGGAGACCAAAGCCCTCGAGAGGCTCAACGATTCCACGACATCGTTATCCTCCGTCGACAGCACTAATGACGAGGAAGAGGAGGAGGACAGTTCAGACGAGACCGAGGAGTGCATCGTGAAAGGAAGAAACATGCCTCTTAACGCATTCTATAGGATTGCTAGGAATACGCAGAGGATGTGGTTTGGGGAGAATAATACTAGGAATCAGGGAAACGAGAGTGAGGCTTCCTCTGGAGATGTAGAGACTGCATTTTGGAGGCATGTCTCAGAGAGGAAACGACATGTTTGTGTTCATGCTGCTAGTATTGACTCCAGTGGTCGAGGGTTTGGCTTCTCCGTGGCGAAGAATAGCCCCTTTGCCAGGCATCCCTGGAATCTAAAAGTGTTGACCAATAATTCTGGATCAGTTTTGAGGGCCCTGGGGCCTTTGATGGGTGTCACCATCCCTACAATCCACGTGGGAATGCTCTTCAGTGCGTGTTGTTGGTACAGGGATCCCCATGGCCTGCCCTGGATCGAGTACCTTCACACTGGAGCCAAGAAGATTTGGTATGGCATCCCTAATGAATTTAACGACAACTTCCGGGAGGCACTCTCGAAGATGGTCCCCAGATTCTGCAAGAATAAAAAAATCTGGCTGCCAAGTGACACTGCCATGGTACCACCTGAGATGCTAGTCTCCAATGGGGTGCCACTCTGCAGAACTGTGCAGGAACCTGGACAATTTATCATAGTCTTTCCCAAAGCCTTCACCTCCAGTATCTGCACTGGGTACGTCGTCTCGGAGAGTGTTTACTTTGCCCAGACAACGTGGCTGGGAAATGCCGAGGAGATCTTCAAGGATTTACAGGACAGCTGCGAGCCTTCCATGTTCTCGTTCGAGAGACTCATGTTCAGTATTATCAACGACTCCAGGTCGCACATTGATATTTTGAAACAGGTGAGTTGTTGAAGAAATTTTTACGACCTATTGCAATATTATTTATTCGATGTGTCATTGTTTTTTTCATTTTTCTTCAATAAATCTAGATACTGCCAGTTATGATGAAGATAAGGGAGAAAGAGTTGCATTATCGTCAGCAGTTGGAGTACTATGGGCTGTCGAAGAAGGAGAAATTGCCACTCCCAGACAATGGAAAACGAAAGAAAGCTGTCAAGGTGAAGGAGGATGATGGGGATTTCGAGTGCGAAACCTGTCGTATGAATCTCTTCGTTTCACTGATGAATAATTCACAGGATGACAGCACCTACTGTCTCCCTCATGCTCTACAGTTGCTTTCACATAAAAAACAGGTGCTGAAATACTGCACGTTGAAGTATACGTATAGTGAGGACGAATTGGATGATCTCATTCACAAATTGGAGGACAGAATCGAGGCGAAATCAAAGAAAAAATCCGCAAAACAGTCGGACTAAGGTCTCTCAATTTGCAGTTATCATTTGTAGATATAGGGGCACTATTTCTATTTCTAAAGAGGATAATTGTAATACTCCAAATTTCCACATCACGCAAATTGCTCGAGTGCCAAATGTAATTCCATTTTAACATTCAGTCTTAGTTTTATATTCGATAATAGCTTAAATGTATCGATTAATGTATAATAATGAACATAGAAGAATCTACTTACATTATTTATCCGCAATTAGTGATCGTGTGTTGAGAGCAGTTAATGCTCTAATTTAAATGAATAATAATTTAAGTAGTCAGTGGCATAAGAGATGTATTTCGTTTATTTAATTACACATTTTACATGGAATGATGCATTGACCAATGAATTAAATAAAAATTATGGACACTGGGGTTTCGAAAAAAATGGAAAATCTTCTTCGATGACTAATTCGAAAGAATCGACTGTTATTGTGCGTGAATCAGAAATAAAAATGAAGAAAATAGGAATTAATGACTCTGGATGATTTTTTTTTTGCATTAAAACATGAACTGGAAGGCTTTTATAGATCATTTCCGACGGAATACGATAGTACGTAAATTAGAAGAAGCAATTACATACGTATGCACATTATTCAATCAAAACAAAATAAATATTTGTTAGTGGAATGTTGAAACCATCTTTACAATTGCTCTCTTCGTTGCAATATGTCAAAAAGTACATCACTGTTATTGTCTTTATCCTTAAAATCGTCCTCATCGTCAGTACTGAAGTTGGAGCTCAACAGATTCGTTAACGATGTGGATTTTTCCGTCAATAATGGCACATTCGTTCCACCCGTATCTTCTAAGGTAGAGCTGTTACTTATGACTGAGTTAGAATGCAACTCTAGATTCTCACCCATCTGCTTTTTGTGGAGTAATATTTTTTGTATCACGTGCAGCGTTATGCCACCGAGGCACACCAACAAACCTATTGCATTCAGGCCGCTCATTTCGTCGCCTTTGAATTCAACAGCTAATACGACGGTACACAATTCCTGTATTAAAAAAAAGAAGCAACCAATTTTGGAAAAATGTCACATTCCTCCCCCAAAGATTCTCGACCAATTCCCGGGGCTGTGAGATTTTTTTCTCTTTCAATCTCCCCTTATTTCTATTTTTGATTATTTCATAATAAAATATTACCTTAACAATATTGGAGATCGAGAGAGTGAGACTAGATGTATACGTAACAACCATATACTCTGCAATTTCCATAAAAAAAGCTAGTATGGCACCAGCCAACACAGCCGTTACTGTCCAGGTCACAACTCCAGACTGACTCCAGTCAACATCCTGGAGCTCTACATACAATTTTCCACACTCGAACCACACAACGAGAGGAAATATGGCGATCAGCATCCAAGGCTGCATGTAGTAGATCATGTCAATGGGATTGTTCAGCCCGAGCTTGGACTTTTGCATGATCACCTGTGCCAAGGTCCACCGAATTCCACTGAGAAATGAGGCAGCGAGACACAGGAGGAACCCCAGGAGATGGAATTGAGTGGATTTGTACGTAAACATTATCAAACCCGTGGATATCATGGCAACAACACCCACAAGTGACCAGGACTTTCTCTCCAGATGAAAGAGCAGAGAGAATCCAAGGATGAATATAATCGCTGTGGACTTGGTCATTGTGTACAAGGACACAGTGATCATGGATATCGCCCAATTGGAGAACCCAATATCCAATCCACTGGCTATTCCTGGTGGAGCAATTGTTGAAACAATACTGGGCCACGTTGGACGCATTTGTTGATGCGTCCTGGAGTTCATGCATCTCAAAAAATTTTTTATAACTCCAGAGAGAGTCCACTTGATTACCAAGTGGCATAACACAGTCGAAAGAGGGTAATGATATTTCTGAAAAACCAAATTATGTCCATCCAAATTGCATTCGAAATAACAGTCTACGAGAGCCTAATTGTTTTATGAATTCCACGACCGTCAGTAAATTAATAATCGTTATTAACGTCATTATAACTCACGTGATTAAACCATTGCTGAAAAAACGTAAGTCCTACGGATAGAACGAAGTAGAATGCAATTAATACAATAGAAACAGCAAGTGTTCGTCCAAGTGTTTTTCCTCCCTTCGTCGAGGGCTGAAAGTCCTCCGTATGTTGGAGATAATAGTCCGTCGTATCCGGATCGTTTCTCGCGATTTCATATTTGATATCCGACCTGGGCATATTTGATTTCTATTTATTCGGATTCTTTACAAAAATCATCACATTCTCTTCATTCTGGAATATTTCTCCTGCACCATCGTTGCCCCGTGGCCTAGAACACGTCAGATTGTTTCAACACAATTTTTATTACAAAAAATAATGAAAATAATTAAATAATCAATTGCTGTACGCTGTTTACCTTTATTATTTCACTTGTCCCAGGGCCCAGTGTTAGTTAGTGTGAATTTTATGGGGAAATTAGGAGATTCTGATTGTAAATATAACCTCAAACTACTCGTCACATATTTTCTCAGGAATAACGAACAACCGATCACCAGTTGCACGATTTATTCCCTCAAACCTTGAGATATTATTTACAGGCATCGGCTGAGGAGTAGCACGCGATTTACTCTCATTATCAATCATGAATCACACTGGAATATACAAAAATATGGATATTTGTGGTACACCACACACTTGTCGACAAAACGTCAACGTCAGTGAGCTGATAGCAGCTTGAGGGGTTCGTGAAACGACTCCGTGTCTCGTGGCATTATTCACGTCATAAAAGATAAATAATTGACATATCGATGAGATAATTAAATTCAGGAATTTCAGAGATAAGTCGAGTTTTCCATTATTTATAATATCGATCTTCGGAGGAAATCTCAAAACACATTTTTTGGGACCGCTAATAATGTGTAAAAAAAAAATTTGCAATGTTTATTCATGAAATTAATAATTACCTAGAAATATTGATTAACTATAGATTTTAGAAAGAAGGAAATAAATTTAAATTGACGAATGAAAATTGCGTAGAAAGTGTCATGTACAAATATGATACAAGTATTATTCCAAATAATTTTACATGATTCAATCGAATAAATCACTACATCTAAAGTAATTCTTAGGTGAAATTACAAAATTACAATGATCAATAGCACTTGGATCAGCTCCGATCGATAGTTCCAGTGGATGCACCACTCGTTGAATGAGTCATTGAGTCGTTTGAGGAAAATAAATGTAAAGTATTATCTGCGCTCACTGCGACCTCCATTTCTGTATCCACCTTTGCCCCTCACATTTGTTTTGCCAGTTGTTTTCGTGGCTATCGTATCACCGCTAAATCTAGCCGAGCCTCCAGGAAGTCCTGACGTCGTGCTCCCGGAATTATTTCCCGTTTTTGTTGAGTTTCCAGCTGGTGCTGTTGAGGAGGTGGAGGCAGTGGACGAGGTCGTATTAGTTGCCTAAAAAAATTCAGAAAAGAAATTGATAATTCAATTCAGTCTGAATTATTGAACTGATAACGGGAAATGAAGGAATTAATTACCAAAGGCTGTCTGGATGAATTGGATACGTTATTGGCATTCCCATTATTAACAATATTGCTATTAATATTGCTGCCAGGGGGGCCTGAACCCCCTTGATTCACCAGCTGTTGTGCCAACGCTGGGTTGGGCTCGCTCATGTTCATTTGCTCATTGATAACCATACAGAACTCCCCGATCTTCTGAATATCTCCATTTTTCCCTGAGTACAGTGTCAGACACTGCCTCCAGACCGAGGCATAGCCTTTCGTCAACCTGACGATGTCTCCAGGTACCAGCAGTTGTCCAGGTTCGTCCCAAATCGAGACATTCATACACGCTGTACTGTCAGCCACTTTGAAAGTTCTCACTTCACGATTTTCTTTAGTTATCGTAGGATGACCCACCTCTAACACTATGAACATCACATTTATGTTCTTCTGTCCAGGTCGAATGTCTTTTATACATACGAAATCCATTATACTTTATTTTTTATACGAAATTTGACTCGTCACCGTTTTTTTTTCTATCTCATTATTGACACCTGGAACAAATCAGCTGGTGGAACTCTGGAAAATACAAAAAAAAACAGAGTTCTATTTCTAAATCACGAATACTTTTCCAACAAATGATTGATGATAATTACCCCGGAGACCTTCTGCATTCAGAAAAAATAATTATCAAGTGAAAACCACGAAACAAAATGTAGAAAAAATAGGAATTGTTCTCGATGAATCATGAATAAGTGATCGTCGAATGAACATACATCATTGGAGTGATTTTTTTTTGGCTCCTAATTTTTGGTAGAACCGATTGACTAAAACTCTGCGAATTCGTATATAAAAATGAATTGTTAATTAATGGGTGTTAATTGTTGATTACACAAGTGACTGTGTCAATTCTCGTGATTGAGGTTAGAAGTCCACAACAATTCAGTCAGAAACAGTCAGAAGCTCATAATGATGACAGGTTATTGGTCCTGACCAATCCCAGGGGTGCAATGTGAAGAATTTTCTCTACAATGCACGTAAATTCTCGCTACAGTCAAACAATTTCTCTGCCAACAGTGAACACGTGGTCACGAGGTCTCCAGAGTGTTTTTGTTTGTGATTTTTAAGAATAAAAAATTATATTCATTCATTACCGTGAATAATGAAGTCCAAGGATGATTTCGATTTGTTCGTTGGAGGCAAATCCGGAGTTTTTAAAGGCACGTAACTACCACTTAGAAGGATAAATTAAATTATAACCACGAACAATAGTTGATTTAATACGTATGACATTTTTTCACTTTGTACATTGCAGGAATAAAATATGATAAGAGTCTGTGTAAAATGAAGAATCTACAGAATTTAGTTTCGATAACAAGTGATCACGAGGTCACAGCCATGTCCTGGAGCGATGAGAATGAGGACGAGGTTCTGATTGGATATGGCACAAAGGATAAGAAGGGTATCAAAATTTATGAATGTGGAATAGCCTCGTTTGCTTCGACCTTCATATGCGAAGCTGGAGATGGATCTATCAGGGGTATTTCACGTTATGATGATGCAATATTAACAGCAGTAGAGTCTGGTGATGTGAAGCTCTGGAGGAACGAGGATATGGGGGAATTATTGGTGGAGGCTGGAAAAAATTTACACAGAATGAGACCCTCGAGTGTCGACAAAAACGTAATTGCCACAGGGGGAAACGAGCACAAGTTGCAATTATTCGATTTAGAGAAGCAAACAAGGATATTTGAGGAGAAGAACGTTCGTCACGACTGGCTAGAGCTAAAAGTTCCCCTCTGGATATCAGATATTGGATTTCTATCAGAGTCTTCCCAAATTGCCACGTGCAGCAGATATGGACACGTTCGATTGTACGATCCCAGTGCCCAGAGACGTCCAGTTATTAATTTAGAAGTAAAGGACGAAGCCTTAACGACTCTAGCTGTAGCCCCAAAGGAGAAACATATTATTATTGGTTCTGGAAAAGGAATAATGAATTTGATAGACTTGCGAAGTCCAGGAAGAATCCTCAACACCTACAAGGACTCTGCTGGAAGCATAACATCAATCGCCTGCACGAGGAATAATCCCTACGTAGTGAGTGTTGGTCTGGACAGGCATTTGCGTGTGCACCACATCGATACAAAGAAACTTTTGCACAAGACCTACCTCACCTCGAGATTAAGCTGCATGGTCCTGAGGTCGAACGCCGACCTCGACATAGATCCTTCGGGGAAGAAGAAACGAGAAGGGGATAAGGCTGACGGAGTCATCGAAGTGATCGAAGCGACTGACGAACAGGAAGAAAAGACTATTGTTGACGAGTGCGACGAAATATTCGATAAAATGCCAGTGATAGAGGATGAAATTCATGAATGTCGGCTTCCTGGTATCAAGAAGAGGGTTCTGTCTTCCAGCACACGAAGAAATCCAGCGTACAAGAAAAATCGCGTCAAGTAAAGGAGAGATTAATATTTTTAAAGGATTTTTGTGTTAGGCTTGAGGATTAGAGTAGATTATTTTTAAATCTTTCTCGTCCGCGTTGAAAATGTCAAAAGCTCTTTACAGATGTTGTGAATACATTTATATTTGTATTCAGAACGGGAATAAAGCTATAGATCAAGTTTTACTGCAATTCTCTTCAATCTACGATGCAGTCCATTATATTGGGGGAAAAAATCGTCAGTGGGAAATCATTAATTCTCCTACGTTAATGTAGAAACGAAAAAAATTAGTTTTTCGTACTCAAGAGGAAGACATCGTGTGACAAAATTAGTGCCTTACTTTATTAATCGTTCTTTACACATTCACAATTACAATAAATCAAGTATCTTTTCCCCCATCCTCTTCAATTTTCTCTACATCGCACAATGTCTAGTATTCATAATACCTAAAATATATCCTGAATATAATCGTTAAATAGTTCGCATTTATATGTGAATTAATAATCATAATTGCATTGTGTTGTAGATCGAAGGCTTTGGGCGTGAAATCACTGACTTTAAGTAGATAAAATTGATGGTTTGGACCTTCTAGAGTGGCAAATAATCAGCTGCAGATAATATATCAGGAACAACGATGTGAAACAGTTCATGTTTTTGAGTTGTTTCGCGAATGATTTTTGTAGGCCTTCGACAGAATCTTTCAGACTCCTCTATTATACATTTTCCAACATCTCTCAATATCTAGTATCTGCAATTGCTGATAAAAAATTCATAAAATCGTGGTAATTACAGAAATAAGATCATCAATAATAATAACGACGCTCAAAGTGCTAATGAGTCATGATTCATATGTTTTCATCGCATTGTAACATGTGCACTTGCCACTGAGGCAGCAATGAAAATTCCTACGATCCTTTGATAATAATTCAATGAATATTTACAATTTTCGCCAATAACTTCACCACTCATGATTAATCCAGACTTTAATCAAAATTTATTAATTTCCAATCGTTTATTCTATTTTTACAGTCATAGACCAGGGCACTATCACAAATCAATACAGCTTACTTCTTATTGCATAATATTATTGCTATCAGTATGACACGTGGTTTATTTTACAAAAAAAATTATTTCATTTTCAGTAATTGTTCCTCAATTCTCAATCACTGAAGCTTCATAAATTGATTACATAACGGGGAAACCTATGAACATTCTATTTTGCAATCACTCTACAAGCGAAGACTAGGACAAATGATCCTGGAGAAACGGGAGAAACGAAAATTTACATAAATTCATTGAACCATTCGTAATTATTCTTAGAAACTCAAACTTCTCACCTATTTGAGACGATAAAAAATCCGGAGATTGTTGGGGAGGATTTTCAATTTTTTTTTTCAATGGAAAAGCGAAAATTTAATGTACAAAATAGATAACGGTGAGGTACGATGGAAAATTTCTCCAAGTTGAAAGCTATTTTCATCACTTTATGGCAACTCTAGTCGCGTTTAGACGTTATTGAATACAATTGTCTCATTGTCAACAGAATGAAAATTACGGGTTTTCTAAAATTATTGTTGACTAATGAGCGACGAAATTTAAGGCAAATCTACGGATCAGTTGATCGATCGATGGCCCGAGGATTACTCGATAGTCGAGTTATCCCGGGAAGTGAAGCTATCTCTTGCAATCGTTTTTTAATGAGTCCTTGATGACTGGAGGTGTGTTCACTCACCCCCGGAGACAGCGACCTCTCGCCAGGATGTCTCTTGGGAGGAGTTCACCAGAGATGGCTGTAATTCTGAAGTGTCTGATGCCGCTGGACTCAGTGGTGGACTCGGGCTCGCATCTGGCTGCTCCTCGTCAGCCAATGAAGCCTCTGATTGTGCTGAGCTCAGTACTTTTGTCGAGCTCAAGGAATCTTGAGCGCGTAGGGATATTGAACTACCTTTGGTGCTCGTAGTGTCTTCACCTGGCAATTTAATCAACTTCTATTTAAAAAATCTTCCATTATTACTAACTCTCAAAAAAAATTACACCCTCAATGCCCCCAGAAAATCACTACAACTAAATTGTAGTGCTTATAATTACCGCAAGGCCTGAGGACCAGATAAAACAGCAAATCCGACAGAGAAATGATGCCAATCGCTTTTTCGTCTTCATCCACTACAACTAATCTGTGAACCTGAGGAAAAGGTGAACAATCCATTGAATTATATAAACATTCCCCTCAAAGTTCAATGCTATAATGTTTTGACAACTCACCTCAGCCCTAACAATTTTCTCCATAACAGTAAAAAGTGTTTCATCTAATTTACAACTTTGTACGCCCTCGAACCACTCATTCCTGTGCTCATTAGCCTCCCTCAATGACACATCCAGATTATTGTAAGTTTTCTCAGCTGCCAGATTAATAACGTCAAACTTGGAATAAATATTAACTAATTTTCCCTCGGAATCAACAACCGGCAGAGCTGACACTCGCCTCTCGACAAATTTTTTAAGTGCTAGAATTATACTAGTCTCCTCAGTTGCCGTCTCTATATTTTCAAATGTTCCTATTCTCAGTTCTCGAAGTGTTTTATTGGTGAACGATGGCTTTGGTAGCTCATGAATGTAGAGAAATAGAAACCTAAGTATCCTCTTATGTGTCAAAATGTACAATACATTTCCGGTATCCGGGTCTATCACAGGCAATCGATGAATTCTATTTTGTATTAGTGTTTTTATCGCATCATAGAGAGAAGCATCGGGAGCAATGCTCACAAGAGGATGAACCTGGTCCTTGAGAACTTCTGCAAATGCCAGATAAATTATTGTAAAATTTTCAATAATCAATAACTTCATCTTTTGGGGTAAAATAATACTGACTGCGCCAAGTGTCCAACTCGTGCTCTTCCAGCTCGTCCATGGTGACGGTGGGACTTGTATAATACATTTGAAGAATTTTTATAAAATCTGTGATAGTCAGCATACCAACAAACTCCTGTCTAGAGCTATCCCATAGTGGTGCTGCTCTAACTCCTGAATTCCCAACACATAAAATAACAGTAAAGTGACAAATTGTACAAGTTACAATCTAACATCTAACCACATTATCCCTCACCATTATAAACAAGCGCGAAAAATGCCTTTTTCACGAGCAAGTGTGTGTCGAACACAACGAGTTTGGCACTCGTAGGTATCAAGTCATAGCACTTGTGGAACTTGAAGAACTTCACGAAAATCTGGGACTCGTCCTCCTCTGCAAGATTATCAGAATTCCATCACTGCGCCATTACAGAATCAATATATATATCGTAAATCACATGATCCAAATAGAAATACATGATTATAAAAATGATTCCCCGGGGGAAAATATCGGGTTACCAAACCAGTCGAACATTAAAAGTCATGTACAGTGGCCACAGCCATCATATCGAATATCAATCATTGAAACAAGATATCGGTATTAAATGAGACCTGGAAACTAATTAAATTGGATCGAGGTGAATACCTCTCGAGAGTATCCAAGCGAGTTCGTTCTCCAGTGGTGGATTTTCCTTGTCGAATTCTTTAATCAGATCCTTCGAGTAAACTGGATCATCGTCCTGACTCCACCAGGCCGATGCTGTGTGCTTTATAGCTGCTCGTACACATTGTGCATCCGAGTAATAATGTAACGTCAGCATTTTCAGTAGAAACCATCTCATAAATCAATTCTGGTTCTATCAATTGCAAATGCTCGTGACTCCCTCCTTCAATCCAGTACCGAAGATCCGGAGCGGGTTAAAAATTATTCAATGAAAAAAATCCCCTTCCAAAAAACCAAGTGAAACTCCAATGCAAAAAAAAAAAATGGGAAATCCAAAAAAAATTTTAATCAAATTATAAACAATTCAAAACCCCGAAAACCGTTTTCAAAACGAAAAAAAAAAAACCTCCCAACGGGAAAAAAAATTGAAAACAACAAAGGCCCTAAACCCCTCCAAAAAAAAACAAGTTAAATCTTTTCTCAAACAAAAGTGTTGACACTAATGAATTTAATTGGTATAAATAATATTTTTCCTCAGTGCAGCTCTCATTAAGCAGCGGGAAATGGGTCGACTTCGCTTGACTTCCACTTTTTTACCTCTTCGCTACAGAATTCAGTTACTCCCTCTAATTTTCGTTAATTATTTGGTACTCTAGTCTCTGATTCGTTGGGAGAAATCTCGTCGTTCCTCTCGAATCGTCCGACTGGAAATAATTCCTGTCACTCGACCACTGTTTCTACTGAATCTTTAGCAGTAGTTGTTTCAGAAATCGTAGCTAATTATAAAGGAAAACAAACTGCCAAACATCGGAGACTTCAAGGCTGTCGACCGATGTCTCCACCCGCATTCATATCGATATAACTCGATTGAATATCCTGTCGATTGTTTATTGCAAACTCCATTCACTTGAATGCAACTATTTCCCTTTTGTTCGACGAATTACAAGTACTGGGTACTTGGATGGATTGATATTGCAGGCAAGTCACTTCGAAACTGAACGTCTGCTCAGGCTCAACGGTCGAGCAAACTCTCCATTCGATGGCCAAGAATAACGCCAATGAACATTTTCGGCGTCTTTGCCAAGAAAAAGAGAGCAATTACCCATTGGTAAAGACTGTCCGTTGTCTCATAAAAAAAAATTGACAATTGCTCATATATTAACTATTTTCAATCACGGACTCGGATTGCCTAGTGGAGGAAGAATTTCGGACACTTGCAGAGACACTCCCGATGGGTTACATAAATGGAACGGATGAGTTTTGATTTCCATGTTTATCATTTTTTTTATGAGCAGAATTTTTGCTCCAAGTCTGTTTACGATAATAGAACTATAACGAGCAATTAATGTACAATCAGTGCATCAACAAGGGATTTATTAATTCCGAATGAAGTCAAAGTGCCGACCGTGAATTTAAAAATAGATAATACTTTGTGTGTCAGTTGCTCTCTAGAAATGTATCTCCATTGATTTACGATAGAGACCATGTGATTTTCCGATATTATCGGGCTTTGCAACCCTCAGATTATAGGATAATTGAATAATTCTTTCTTACCAAGATCTGAGAGCGAAACCTTCTCCAGGAAAGGGTCGACAACGGGTAGCTGTAGAAACAAAACAATTGCAATTATATTGCTCCAGCAATTATCCACAAGTCAATCTCCTTTAATTTTATCAATCAATCGGTATTTTTAGATGTTAGTGTTTTTATTCGCTGAGCTCTGAGCCTCGGTGAGTGCCAGTACAATCACATAGCGTAAATTATCGACATACCACTCTCGTGGAAAAAGGTCGGGGAAAATTCATTTACACTCAAGGGAAATTCCACTTGAAAAAGCCGGAGAAATCCAGGGAAAATAGCAAAATAACGCTTTATATCGCGTTATCTACTCGTTAATTGAATAACTAGTACTAATAATTACTACCAAAATTCCATTTGTTTATTTTTAGTGGACTTATTATCTATGCTACAGACGCGTTTCTACGAATACTGTGCAGATGTTCTAGCGACAAAAATACCAGATCCGGATGGAATTCCAACGAAATCATAAAAGTGAAAAAACATATCGGACCATTTAGTATTACCAGTAAATGAAATGAGTTAATTAGAAAAAAAATGAGTACAGTAGGAATAATGAGGAAATGACGCAAGAGGTATAATAATGAAGAAAAATACCAGTGCCTTCTTCCCTCCCGATTTCCCAAAAGCCTGTCGTTTCTTAACATTCGTTGCGATTTTCGCGCACCAGTGAGCAATTAAATTAGACGAGTTAGAACCAGATGTTGGAGATAGATTTCTGGTGCCGCTTGGTCCACCAGTGGGTTCACTTATTTGTCGTCGGTACACCATAGTGTTAGATATGAACGTGCAAACCAGAGAACTACGCTTTCCCTTATCATATTAGAAAGAAATTGCAGGAGAATGCGAAGCCATCAGTTGCGTCATTATCATTATCGGTGTTATGGTTATTGTAATATTTAGTGATCTCAATTATTTCATTTCCACAATCAGAGGGTACTACTTCGGTATCAGAATCAATTAAATTCATCTTGAGCTCAATGTCGGGGTACTCAACGGACTCAACGAATCGCGAACAACTGGATCGAGCGATAGGTACTCTCTCTTGGTCTCATGTATTGGTGAAGTACAGTTGTGTTGCATTTAGCGCAGAAGCAAAGCGCGATGTACCACCCTCAGGCGGGAAAAGAGACCAAGGGAAAGGGGTCAATAAATAGGTCAATTGATGGAGTGAAAATATTGTAATCACACTGACATTTTTCCATGAATCGCGTATTAAAAAAATCACAAAAGCTCTTTCCAGTAGAACTCTAACCACTTCTTCCAATTTCGTCATATTTTTATGGTAATTTAAACAAAAATCATTCCACAATGGGAGGTACATTGAATAAAAAATAGTGAACCTATTTGTTAGCGACAAAAAATTATTGTTCTCATCACATTAGATTTAAAACAATAAAAAAAAATAATTAGGGCATATGTTTTCATGAATACCAATTTTCTATCTGAATTTTTATGAACAATTGAAATTACAGTTAAAATCAAAATTTCAATTAGTTGTTTTGCGCGAATTTATTCAATTCGATATTTACCACTCGCAATCAAAACAATTTCCTTTTTCAATTCACTACATTTTTCTCTCAATGCGCAGGATAAATTTTGATTTATCTTTTCGAGGCTTTCACTAATGTTTTTGGAGTGATTCCTCCTGGTTTGTATTACGTGCATGATATCGAGTGTTCAACAACCATAAAATGACGGAATGGATGAAACTCTCATGGCACGCAGTTGGCGATAAAATGTGCTGTCACGATAAGAAAGCAGTGAGAAGCAGAAAGAGAGAAGAGATAAATTGACTTACGCCTCGGGCATCGCGGAATAAAATAGCAGCGTGCACTGGATCCAAGCAGGCATCCGATGCTCTGTGAGGTATTGCTGGTGTCCCAAGTGACAATCGCCTCTGTCCAGGTTCCAAAGAGTTTCTCCGAAGTGCACCTGAAAAAATTTATGAGCTCCTCTTTAATATTTTTCAATGCTAATGAATACCCAAGGGAGCGGTGGACGTGTGCTATTGAAATCTTCCAATGACAGCGGAATAAAACAGCTATTTATGGATGCAGTGTTTTATGCCGATTGCACTCGTTCTTCTCATATGGAAGACCTTGGGCTTTGGGTTTTTTTATTCACGGAGGGAAGAATCGGAGAGTAATACTCAATCGCAGAATATTTCGAATCAAATTAATTATTGATTTGACTTCTTCGCTATCGAATTCATTCACCACAAAAATATCGTACCATCTCTTGCAAATTCCATCGACCTCCACACGTGGCAAATAAATACAAAATTCACAGCTGCCTCAGCACGTGATTTTCTTTCAGTCCCAATCCCACATACTTCCTCTTGCCTCGCAATATTCTGCTCTAGCAACTTTACACTCTGAGTAAGACGAGCCCATGCTTACGTGACATATGATTCAACAGGACTTCTGAATGAACACCAAATTTATCAAGAAAGTAACTAATATCATGGGAATCCGATACCCCCAACCCAATGATCACAATCTTTTTGGCTTCAACCCTTGGTGTGGAATTTCTTTTGATACAGGAAAACGCCCTGATTTAATTAATCCTCTTTTTCCATTACTTTTCCCCTCTGAGCCTCTCCCCCTTATTACCTTGCCGAAGAATGCTCTCATAAATCCTGTAAGTGGTTTCGCAATCAGAATCGATCTTAGGAAGTGGCATCCGCATTCCACCATCCAAACTTTGACTCCTATTCCTGAATTCATCCTCTTTCTTCATCTTGGCTGTGTCCTGGCACTCACTCTGACGCCTGATGTGGCCCAGTCTCCTGCCAAAGTGCCTGATCATTTCCTGAATGCTGTGATGATGATGATGCTTCTCAGTTTCTCCAGTGGGACTGAGAGAGGGTGGTGACTCGGCGCTGCTCTCGGAGTGGCGATTCCTTTGATGTCTGTATCCGTGGTGAATTGGATTGTTATGCCCACAGGTCCCATGAATGGTGTGATAAACCGAGTGAGGATTTTGATAGTTCGAGCCGGAGGAACCATGACTGGAGTACGAATTTGTGGAGCCATAGGAGTAGGTCGAGCTTACAGAGCCCCTTGACACGTGTCGATGATATCCAAGCCGTCCAGAATTTTCCTGGTGACTCACAAGATCCCCGAGAATTCTCGAGTTCTCCTGCTGATAGCACTGCCTCTTTATGTCACTCACTGGTGATACCTTGTCCTGACTACTTTTTGAATCACTGCTCGAGCTAGAGCTGTGCTGAGACAGCAGATGCGTCAGGCCATGCATGTTTTCATAAAAAAATTCCACCACTCAAGAAGAGACCGTCCACTAACAGATCGCCCTAGATAAGAGTCTGGGTTATTATTCTATTTGATTTTCAAGGGGATAATCTGCTGGATAAAATCACTTGACTGATGACAGTTATAAAACTGCGTTGAGCTCGAATTATCGGGGCATTATGCAATCCTGGGGTGATCGCGACGGAGAATTGAAAAAAAAGGTCATTTGAGTTTTTGATAAACAGATATCAATGGGAACAGGTGACCAGTGGAATACGAAAAACATTCATTCTCAATCATTATTCATGTCTCACGTGACACGGGGGCATAAATATCCATTAATCTGCATTTTCATTGGTAATCACATTGTTGTTGTGAGGTTTCCAATCAATGTGGTTTTACGATCTCCCGCAGATGAAGGAGGGAATATCTAGAGACAGCCAAGGGAACTAACTTTGGAAGTCATGTAAATCATGAGAAAAAACATTTTAAAACCTTCTCATTTGCAAGATAATGCATAATTAATGAATTTCGAAAGGCGCTTCGAAGTTATTCGTATTGGATTTGATGAATCAGTGAGTCTTGATGAATCAATACTGGGGGTGAAGTTTTTTGAGGAAAAAATTGAAATAATTCATTTTCGTAACAGGAAATCTTTGGAAATCACCGACAATCATTGCGTCATTAAGACGCAAGTTACAGGTTCTTTGAATGTAAATGAGAGAATAATCCCTCCAAAATGCCCAACAAATGGAGCAAAATTGCAATGTCCTTGACTCGGAAAACGGACGAGAGATAAAAATAAGAGAATGGAAAAAAAGAACAGCATTTAATGTGTTTTTCCCAACGAAAGAATGTGGGGGTAGAAGCCAAAGTACATCCTCAGGTGGACAGACACTTTTTACGATCAAGTAAAGTTTATAAATATCAATGCTTACGCCAAGTGCATCCACGAGACGTGGGATTAATTAAAGAAAAATCCGTTGAGCACTCTTATCACAAGGGCCTCGAACCCACCTCCCCCTCGACACCGTTCAACTAATCCCTGAGAAAATATAATTTTTCACTGATAACAATTGAATCATGCACCAACTGAATTTAGAATCACCGTAAGAATTCACTCCAGAGTGCAAAATTATTTCTGGATTATTGACTCTGATAACAACACTGAAATCCCATGAGTGACTGTGTTTACACTCGATATTTCCAGGCTGTTACAGAATTAGAATTATCACCTGACATAATCGCATCGTCTTTTATTCATGAAATAAAAATTCACCGGGTTCTCTTCTTCGCCGAATATCACAAAAAATTTAACATTTAAAGTGAGGATTTAATAGAAAAAAAAAAGGAAACTGGAGCAATGGAAGAACCACAGACACAGTCACTACTTTTTTTCGACGATTTGAAATATTAAAAATGTCTTGTACACAGCGATGCACGACACCTGAATTGAAGATCAGTAGCAGTGCTACTGAATAAATTGCTCGCTTGCAATTCTAACCACAATTGAATGTATTCTCAATGCTTCATCGTGAGAAAAGCCACGAGCGACGAATGTCAACGATGTGCGCACAGAGTGGCGCAATGTTTACGATGAAAACGCGCGCCATTGGTCCACCACTCAAATAAAATGAGATTCTCTCGTAACCCAAAAACTCGTTTTCCATGCGCATTCATCCGGCACAATAGGTTCTAACTGTAATATTGAATTTTTATCACTGCACCGAGATTACAGCCATATCTCACATCTCGTCCTTTCACCTTTCACTCAGTTAAATTTATTGAATTTCTGAATTTTCCTCCTATTTTCCAATTTAAAGTCCTTCTTTTTTATTTATGCATCTATTTATATTCATTTGTATGTATTTATATTCACTGGGGAACGAGAATTTTAAAATAGCGTGGGGTAAGCTTTGCCGAAAGAGCCGATCCCCTTTGGTCGCAGCTTTATGACGAATTATCTGGCACTTTTTCAGGGAATCATTGTCCGGAGTTTTTGGGAGGTTTGGAGAAATTTTTTGGGGAGATTGGAGGAATTAATTTGGGGGTTTACTTAGGCGTTCACTGGAGAACGGGTGCAACCACGAGGTGAACTACACGCAGTACTTTTTATTCTGTGCGCAGGTCCGTCCTATGTGAGGGCCATCAGCAGAGGTGGGGAATTCATCGAAGGTCCGATCAAAGGTGCACAATGGGTCAGTTATTAGAAAGGAGCGTTGGGTCTTTGAAGGGCAGAACCGGTGGGAACCAGCCGTTTTGGGGATGTTGTTTTTTCATTCGAATTAAAATTGTTAGTCTTCAGTATTTGTGGGGATTCTTAGAAGCTCCTTGTGACCTCACATGATAAAACTGCCGATTGTGCAGAACTCTGCTCATTCATTTTTTGCAAATTGGGATTTTTGAAAATTTCAGAAAAATCAGCGATTTGATTTCTCCATTTTTTTTTCGTTTTGCATTCGTTTTTAATATGAGATTTATGAGTTTATTTGAAATTAGTGGCTTGCATTGGAAGATTTCGGGTCATTAGAAACATTGAGATACATCCACCGGACCTAATGTTTAGACTAGAGTGAAAATGGCAAAATGGAATGTTTGAGATCTTGTCAATTAATTTGAGAAAGGAGAACTTGAGACAGTTGCATAGGATATATTTTTTATTTGTCAACGTTTAGAGAAAGTATCCAGAAAATATTTTAGCCAGAAGTAATGAGGATTTTAATATAATCCTGTAATTAACTCACTACAATTCTTTTACTACTTTTACTGCACGTGCGTTTAACGTAATACATACTCATTTATTGCTCAATTAGTACGAAAAAATATTCATTAGACAATTAAAGATATCCCAGCAGATTTCTATTTGCGTATAAAAATATTCAAAGCAATCACTTCTTATAGACACTAAAACTAAAGACGCAGAACGATTTTTTTCGACTTTATTGTCCATGCAACTGCCTCGAAAAAAAATCTGAGAATTTCTTACATAAACGATAATACATTAAAACATGTGAAATACTCACTATTGGACGCTCCATGTGACTGATGTTGTGCAGCAGCTCTCTGTAGAAAAAACGAATTAAAATCACCAATCAGACAATCCAAAATACAAGATATTAACAAAACTAATTAATGCACATTTTGTAAAATCAGCCGTATACCAGACGTTTCAAGGCTCTTAGAATCTAAAGATCTACTCCGAGGTTTAGCTCCGAAATAATCATCCTTTTTCCCACTCTTCATCCACCGAAAATATGAGGACATTTTTCACATTAATCGAACACCACTGGAAAAAAAAAACGCGACTCGTTCCTCAGTCCTCAACTGCTCACCGAAAAACTATTAATCACCTATTTATTTCATTACAAAAAACTACCAGTTTTGAAAAATTATTAGCTGAGAGAAAATTTTTAATAATGCAAATATTTGAATAAAGGGTGAATATCCATCAATTTGGAATGACAACGACCGATTCTCACCGAATAAACCACTCGATATGTCTAATGATATGGGACATTGCGCTTCCAACGATACCGACGAGACTGAGAGCTCCTTTTACGAATTCGGTAGATCAAAGAAACGTAAATATGTACAACGACTCAATAAAAACCGTACATATGTGGCAGGTGCGTAACACAACCGTAATCGTCACTCCAGTGTCACATGATAAAACACGCGTTCCGTAATTTACATAAACCCAAAGAAATTACTTATCTAGTAGATTTCACATCGACTTATCCAAGATTTTTCTATTCTCACTGATAAAACTCTCCTGGCCAGTCAGCTATTGACCTTCATCCAAAGAATCGCGTGAGTTGTATTTCCAGTTATTGTCGTTCAATCTACTTAATGAGATTGTTGTAGACTTTTCAACACTAATAACAATTCTGCTTGTGCCATGTACATGGAAAAATGATACGTCAATTGAAATAATTCCTGTTTATAATCCGTTTGCTTTGATTCCGAGATATTTTTTATTGGAAATTGGGAAGTGCCTAGAATTGATTTGAATCGTTTCAGCGGTGTCCAACTGTATTTTTTGAATGATAAAATGAAGAAACATGAATGCACTGATCGCGAGTGGTGATATCGAGAGTCACTACGAGTCGGATATATTTCCATTGTAAATGCCACATTGTTAGTAACCTCGTGTGACATTTCTGTATGACAATGATGCGTCAGAGGTGATCTTTATTGGAGTGACGAAATTTGAGGAATGAAACCAAAACGCGGAGATATTCCCTCCAAAAGGTGGAGACTATTCCAGATGATAAGAGGAAAAATAGATGATACGATTTTACTCTCGCAGACGTACACAGGGACTATATTCGGGCAATTTTATCTGGGATAGATAGCAGATACCAAACGAATGATGTGTTGCAAGGCCGAGTTCAGATGATTCTTCGTGGCTTATGGAATGAGAGAATTTATCGGTGATTATCGGTGATTATCGTAGGTTATCGAGGATGGCGACAGACTGGGGGGTTAAAAATATATCTTTGAAGTTTTGTACACGGAAGTGAAGTGTCTTACGTATGCCGAGTCACTGAGGAATGGATAACTGTCTTGGGTATTCCAGTTCTTCCCTTCCACCTCTCTTTGAACGTATGCACACTTGTACTAATGTCATACAATACGCTGCGGTGTGTATCTTTTTTATTTCTAGTGTTTATTGGTTGTTTATTCGCTCTCAGCTAGTGGAAATATTGAGTTTTGTTTGTGGCCGGAGAGGAATAGATCGCGTCATTTGGAGTTTTGTGGACTTAGAATTGTCTTGGGGAATTGTAGACGATTTGCAAAAAAATCGAATAGATGATAATACTCACCCTGCGTTTGTCATCGGAACTGATAGCACTATGACTGCGATGCCTAATGAGATCCATAACTTTACTGACGGGATTTCTACTGGATTCGGAGCTAGATCGAGACCTTGAAATCTGCTCCTTGCTGTCTTTGTGGTCTTTGTGATCTTTCTCAGTGTGGACGTCGTTCGATGAACTCCCGTGTGATCCTCTATGTAACGAATTCTGTGGAGCAAAATAAAATCCGAGTCGTTCTTTAGAGACTGTAATTGGCATATATCAGTCCCGTAGATGAGAATAAAGCTCTCACAACTGGGGAAAAAAAAAATTTGAATGCAAACTGGAAAATGTCATTTATGAGCACTCACTTGGACTGCAGTCTTCATATTAGCAATAATACTGGGTTTCCTGGTCTTGCTGGCATCAGACTTACTCCTGGGACGGAAAGCATCAAAGAGAGCATTTTTTCTCGTTGGACTAACTGTATCATCGCCACTTTTCCTACGTTCTACGCTGTTGCTACGACTATTACTTCGACTATTTGAACTAGATCGTACTCCGGATGTTTTTCTCCCAGTGACTCTGGTGGAGGTGGAGGCGCCTGAGGGCTCTGATTGTTGAGGGAGTGGTGTTGATTTGCCTGAGCCTGGGGCACTACCTGACGCCGGCTTTCTGATAGGCCTGGAGTGGGAGCCCCATGTGCCTGAGGCCAATAATCATGAGTATTTCATTTGTATTTCATATTGTGTTGTGTATTCATAACTCTTTACAAATGTCAGGGACTTACCAGCACGTGGTCTTGTGCTCTGATCATCTGACTTTTGACCAGAATTATCTGCATCCTCGGTGACGATTGTTGGGAGTGGCTGGGATCCGAGTTCCTGAGGATTATATTTTCCAAATTAAAATACACCCAACGATACCCATCAATAGGAATCCATTTCAAACTCAAAAAAATATCCATCAATTCAGTAATAGTATATTTCGTTGCTAGGCCGTTAGGAATTTTTCTGGCGAGTTTAACGCCCGAGGCGAAGCCGAGAAATTTAAACACAAATCGTCAGAAAATTTTTTTTCGACGGAGTGACGAATAATATTTATTGTCATTCAGTTCATAGGCAGGGTTTTACGACCTGAAACGTTGCCTCACGCAGTGAGGGATAACATTTTACCACAGCAATTCAATTATTTTCTTTCTCATGATCGTTTTATGGAATGTACTATTTTGATAATCTTTACTCTGTATTGGGCAAAGGAATTTGTGAGATATAGTCGAGACACTCCCATTTCTGAAAAACTCACCTTATAAGTCCCATGAAATTCTGGACAACAATCCAAGTACGGGGTCAACGAGTACTTCCTAACTTTACCAGTGTATCGTTCAACAACCGGTGTAAATAAAGAATACTTCCTACCCTTCATTTCACTTTAAAAAAATATCACTATCGTGACGAATGAATGATGGAGACAAAAAGACCTGTCGAAGGTCCGTTGAAACGTTAACTCAATCGGTGACTAAACGTGGACTGATAGTAGCAGCAGGGCATATCTCCCTGAATCTCGTCAAAGATTAGAACTTGTTGATAAATCAACTCGTGGATATTATGGAGATAATACCGCAATTGCATCGTACTTTTTTTGTTGGGAATACACGATTTAAAATAATTGAAAACTCCATTCTATCGCGCTTGTTGATTGTTGTGAATAGCATTGCTCGATTAATCAATTTATTATAAAGCGAAAGTCCGTTGTTTGCGAGTGCGAGTGGGAGATACAACTATGGCTCTGCCTCGAATATAAACTCGACATTTTTGTCACCTGACCCGAATAAGAAAATAATAGCTCCACGTGCGAGATTTTTAATTCGATTTCCATGAGATTCACCAGTGATAATAATCAATTGGTCGAAGTTGAAAAAATGACACGTTTGAAGTGAGAAAAAAGGCATAAAGGAAGAATTCATCGAATTGTTGATTGCTCTCGAAATTCAGGAAATAAAATTTTATAAATACTGAATAAATGGAGATTTAGTATTTGCATTGACTCTCAAGTAACAACAATAATTATCTTCTGTCATAATATTGATGAATTACCTTCCGTTTGCGTTCTTGCACGAAATCAATCCGTCGAACCCAAATATCTTCTGTCGATGAGTAATCTAAGGTACTGGAGCTGCTGGCCTGGCTCTTCATCTCGATGAGACTAGAGTCAAAGAATCTCTTATCAAGATGAGGACTCGGCAGAGGACTAGTTCTAGAGAACACCATGCTACTGGAGTAGCTCGGTGGATCAGTGGCTGGAAAAGTCATTCCACCACCAGCAGTGTGTCTCCTCCTCAATGGAGGTTTACTAGATGTTGGTGATGTGACAGTAGTTGTGGTAAATCGAGAGCCAGTTGAGGCAGTTGGTGGAGGTCTCGAGTCCGAAACACTCGATGTGGCATTAGATTTCTGATCGATTTTTTCAGAGCTCGATTTGGCCGATGAAGAGAGACTAGATGTCTTGGATGGCAGACTTTCAGATTTCTCTTGGGAATCTTGAGTTGTTACTGGGGCTTTGTCATCTTCGTGGCTACGCTTCGAGTTTGTCTCACCAGTTTTATCTGAAAGTTATAAAAAATAGATGATTTATTATAAATTATTATTTATTATATTATTTATTATTATAAATTTATTATAAAAAATAGATGATTAATTGACAATCAATGGAGAAGCAGATTCAACTCACTTTCTTCAGTCTCATATTCATCCTCCTCTCGACATTCTGACAGTCGCCTCCCCCAGGGATAAGGACTATGAGTTTGATTCCTCGATGGCAATCTATTGACATGTGAGAGAAAATAGTGATGAAAAAAGCTATCTACACCATCGGACTCTTCCCCAGAGCACTGCAGCATGTCCTTGAGTGCTGCAAGCGACGTAATGGTATTATAATTAATAGTCGATACGAGATCATCATCGATATCACTGTCATCAGTGGTGTCATCGTTTTTAGCTTGCTCCTCTGTCTTCTGAGTTGGTGTTACCAGTGTTGGATCGGCCTCTGGTTTTATCGATGACTCGGTCTTGTCCTCCGAACTCGTCTCGGATTCGTCATCAGAGGACGATGTTGATGTACCCGAGGACTCATCCTCGCGCTTCTCCTTGGTCTTCTCTCTAGATTCCTTGTCGGAGCCCTTAATATCATCTTCCACATCATTCGTCGCTTCGTTCATTGTCACTGCTGCTGTTACATCGTCGGACTCTTTATTATTCTCCAGATCCGGACTGATTCTCGTCTCTCCATTCAGTTCTTTCTCGATTATTCCGTTGCTTCGTTTGTCATGTATTTCCGTTGCTTCTTGTTTATCGTCACTCGGGCCTTCCATCTATGAATCTTTAATGAAAACTTTATCGTTCATGAGATTGATATTTTACCAGTGAAAAATTATTGGAATTTTATCTTCAATACAGCTGAAAGAACAAATGGAGTGAAAATACGAAGGCATTCACATTAATGGGCCAGGTGCCAACACCCCTAGCTCCAAGTTGTTTACCGCGAAATAGCAATGCTGATTGATGCCAGCAATGTTCAGTCGTCAATCACTCACTGATTTATATCACACTTGATAATGGGTTTTCTAGATATATTTAGGATGACCAGTTGTGTCATTATATTTAATAGTTCTCAGCTGACAGTAACTGCCACAATCAAAGATTTATCTCCTGCCACTTACCTGGAGGGGGGTTTTCGAGACTGTACAAAATGTTGGAATTCTGGGTGAGTGCCTTTACTCCCTTAGCTTCTCCTCAGGTGTATTGTTTCATGAGATTTTAGCTGAGAGATTTTTGAAGGAATAGGCCGGAAGAACAACGACATCGAGGCGAGCAGATTGGCCTAGAGATTCTCCCCTGTAACATAGAAAAGTACAATGAACGTGAATTTCCTACTCATTAGCTCTTCTCGTCTATGAACATAAATTTCGAGATGAGGAAACCCCTCGATTCCATTGCCTGATTAATCCTCCTCCATCGATTAAAATCGACAAACAGCCAGCTCCATCAATTAGTCCGATCCCATTACGAACTAAAATGACTGGCAACACGAGACCGCAAATAAACTCTACAATCGTTATCTCCCTCTCTTCCAACTGGACAAACATTTAGATAATCCTCTTTCCTCAACAATATCGCCAAACAATTAACATCAATAAATTAAAACATCTAAATGAATTTCCACCATCAGAAAAATTGTTCTCTCAATATTGAAACAAACAGCTTGCAGCGAAATTATTCCCAGTGATGACGAATAATACTCAAATAGTAGATCACTATTCTCACATGTAGTCAAACAACACTTCAATTGGCTCTCATTCCCATTCGAAAGAGCACACACGAACATAATTGCATTAAGATAAGAATGCGGTATTTATCGCAGATTGATGTTGCACTCTCGAACGGAAAAAAGGCCCCTTCCACCATTCTAACAACTGCCAACGAATCCTCAGTATCTTCATGAATTTAAAATGCGGAAAAATTCCTACAACCTGAAATAGCTCCCTGGAATACCTGTCTCCCAACGAGTGGTGCAAATATTTTCTCACTTGTTGTACGACACTTTTAAGTTATCCTCGTCACCAATAAAATTTCTCGCAACAATTCTCAGGCTTCCCAAATGCCCCACGTGAAGCAACAACACGCGTAGCAACTAAATACCTGGAATTACTGGGGATAATCAATTATTGCAACACTCTGACTAATATTCTGAGGCTCTTGCACTCATTTCTGTGTTATTCTCTCGCGATAACTTACTCAGATATAAATAACACGTCTGAATTAGGAGAACGGTAATACAGGAGACTTGATCAGCCTTGATGTCGTTGGAGCAAGAGACTAATGCAAACGATAATGAGAGAATATCATAACCTTCATAATCATTTGCTCGTATTCTTTATTATGGCACTCCTGTTGTACTCGCGTATTTGTCAGCGACTGATTCAGACTGATTGTTAGAACCGGTGTAACCTTGCACATGTCTCTCGGGTGAATTTTAATTGGTGAATAATTACCGATAGCCTTTCGAATCGGTTGCAACCCAATCACTGAATTTCGAGGGCTCCAACAACCCCCACGATTGAGGGGAAAACTCGGCTCGCCGTTGGGGTAATTAACTTCAATAAAACTTCCGTATATCGGAGTTATTTTCACGGATTGTGGGTGAATGGCGTGCAATCATTGCTGGGGTTTGTGGCCCTGCAGAACAACACAAAGGCGAATCCGCAAATCCGTTGGACTGACTGATATGGCATGGTCAGCTCCACGGTAAGACTGAACAGCTGACCGCAACAGACGTCTTGGTCCGCGCTTGCGCATTCCTCCAAGGGTGCACCACTTCCTTGTCTATTGAACTCTATAATTCCCTTGGATTTGTGAATCTCCCGGAAGGACCTGTCAAGTACATATAAAGGGATTCTCTATTATCTTTCTAGTTTTCCCGGCAATTTTTTCTCACGACGGGATTTTGAGAGAAAATTTTGTAAAAAACCTAGTCGAAGGTCCATTCAACGTTTTCGTAATTTATAAATTAATTGAATTTAAGAGGGAATTTCGTAGACAGAAATGTCAAGAGGGGAAAACACAGTAGGTGAGGGTAGAAAGAACTGGAATGCTTACCTATTTTTTTATTGTAATTTCAAATTCATGATATTGTCGACCAATAGAGGCGCATTGTCTTGACTGGGTACGTCTGATTGGTGGGTTTAAATGCTTGGAATTCGGAAGGAGGGGATGAACGAGAGTTAAAGGGTCCATAGCATCGAGGCGTATTGTTTGTGTATTTTTCAGCGGTTAAATCCCCAAAATCATTAATTAATCCAAGAATCATTCGCTACAGAAAACCGAGACAAAAGGATCAATGGGGATTTACTTCACAGTCTGATAAATAAGTCTCGTGTACTGTTCTGTGGCTGAAAATAGAGTAAAGCGATACAAATACAGTGAATCTGGTGTAACGGCCGTTAGGGTTTTCGGTTTTGGAGTAGAATCTTCTGTTTGTGTATTTTTTTTTCCATTTCGGCATAATGGGTAACTTCTCGAGCAAGATATTCCCGGAAATGGAGAACGAGAGCAAGGCCAACGTTCAGACAGAGATGAAGATGAGTGCTATTGAGAAAAACCAGATGTGTACGCCTGTGATGTCGAGGAAGGTGTCAATTGATCCTAGGTCGGCCACTGTTGGCATCACCAGGACTCCAATCGAGGTAAAAAATAGATAAAAATTAATCAGTTGAAGAAGGGGCGATTTGTATTTTATGGTTTGATTTGCAGGTCGCTTCGACGCCTGTGGCAGGCACGAAGAAAGTCGCCAGTGCCATTCCCAAGTATCTTCGAACCAAACCCTATTTGGAAACCAATTTGGATCTTATCATGCCCGCTATTACCCCTGAGAAGAGAATCCCCGATCCGAGGTCTCCAAATGTCACTCAAGAACGTACTCCAATTATGGTAATTATAATTTTCTAATTAATTATTGAAAATGCAACATTGAGTTTCGAATTCCTATTAATTTCCAGGTGAAAGCGAAAGCAGGATACATCAGTCCAATTGTGACTGTCCAGGAAGGTCCAGATATGGCGACACCAGATACCATGGACCCCCGTTCCCCAGCCACAACATTCGACAGAACCCCGGTTTGTCGGTCGAATCCCTCGAACCTCACAGAAGACTCCACAGAGATAATCACCAGAATGTCATACTGTGAAACAACAGGAACATTCAACTTGCCAGAGATCCAAGCGATCTCGAAGATCCCCACGATCGTCATCACAGCATCGAAGAATCTGGAGGAACGCCTCAAAGCATGTACCCTGGCGACACCAGAAGAGAATGTCGACGAGTCCCTCGATGACGACGTCTTCCACTCAGAGGAAAGCGAGTCTGAGGACCAGATCACAGTGATTCCTAACCTCAGGGCAATTGCAGAAGTTGGGGAAACAGATGTGAACGAAGAGCCACGAGAGAACTCAAAAATCAGTGTGGGCACTTCGCAGATGCCCTTGAAACTTCAGAATTCAGAGGAGAAGGGGCGGATCCGAGTCTGGAGGGATTCAGTGTCCCCCCTGCCCCCTGCAGAGCCCCTGGACATCCCCAGGGAGGACTCCACTCGTCCAGAGGAGATAATGATCGAGTTCGATGATGAAACGAACGTGAAAGCGTCTCAACCTGATGTTCAAAAGGCAAATGTCAAAGTGGAGGACAAGTCCAGGATTCAGATCGTCAATAAACAAATCAAAAAGGTTCAGGGTAAGGTGGAGGTGAAAGGAGTCTTCGAGGACGTCAGTAGCGATTCTGCGAAGAGCAGGACTCCCCTGGGCTGTAGATCAAATCACAAATCAGGAATTTCCAGTAAATCTCCACAGCAGGTGTTGAGGTCCAAGGGACTATCCACCAAGCCTGGGCAGCAGGAAAATACCCCTCCTAACACTAAACGGTTCAGGTCCAAGATCAAGGGCAATGGCACCCAATGGGACCCTGATATGTCGGTTATCATTTAAATATAGGGCTCGAGTGGAAGGAATATATCCTGCAGCTTAAATTAGGATATTTAGAATTAATTCGTGGCATTTTTCAGATTTCTTTTTAGAAATCAGCCAGTGCCATTGTGTGACTGAATTTATTTTCGTAAATTGTAATGAATTTAATGTATTTTTAATACAAATAACATAATTCATAGTTTTTTTATTCATTCTCTACTGTTTAGAAGAGAATATTTTCTGCAGTCGTGTACAATTTTCATATTTTCGAATAAATCATTATAAAAATCATTCAGTTATTTATTTTTGGATGGATGATGATTCATTTCTCTGCATAGCTTTACGAATTGATGATTTTACTGAATTAATTGAAGCTTGAAGCTCTTCACTGGCGTTTATTAACTTCGTGGCACTGCAGAATAAGCAATATTTCATTGAAATGAACGACTTATATAATAAAATTGATGAACAAAACAGAATAAAAATCAAGCAATGATTATTACCCAGGGTTTTTAATAATAATTCGTTTTTTGTTGGGGTCCGGATGAGATAATAATTTAATTTTTATTCCACTGTCCACTTTTTTCACCACTGGAACGACTTTCGCATCCTCTCGCAGAGCCTTGAAATGAGGGAGACTCTTTGTGTCAATTATTTTTGGTCGGACCAGCTTATTATTTGCCCTGACAACGTGCCCTTTGTAATTAACATGTTTATTGTGTTTTAGTCGCTTGCTAGGGGGTAGACTGGGCTCTGAAACTGGACGGGGGTCTATAGACTTTGGGATCCCATCGTTTATGGAGGTGAATGACTCGTTAGGGTACTGATGGGACAGTCTCTCCTCTGTGAGGGGAAGAGTCGGGTATTTCTTTTGCCTGTGGTACTGTGCTCTGTGAAAAAACACGAATTTGTAACAAATTGAGAGCTACAAAAAAAGATCAAAATGACTTTTTACTCCTCTTTTTCATACTTGGGAATAAACTCATCCTTTTCCACGTTCGTGGGATCGTCCCTGTGTCTTTTGATCCTGAAGATAATATCTTTCTGCCTCTGAATTAATTTCCTGCGTGTCTCTGCGAGACTTTCCAGTTCGGGAGCGTAACACACGTGCAAAATTCCCCCGAAAAAATTTTTGTTGTCAACCAGTCGTTTTGCAATTCTATAGAAAAATCCATTGATAGGTAAAGAAAATATTGGATTTATTTCATTGTATACCTGGCGCTCTGGATTCTCTCGAACTGAACATGAAAACTCTCAGTAAACTCTTCGCATGGATATTCAACGAGTAATTCACAAGTTTTAATATCGCCATAGGGTGCGAATAACTTCTTGATTTCTTCACCTAGATTTATTTTTGGTACTCCACATACTATCAAATGTACAGATTCATCGTTGACGGTATAAACCTGTTAATGAAATCTATATTGTCAAGGAAATGTGAAATTCAAGTGCAGCATAAAATCAATAGAGGATTAATTAAATAAATTGAATAAATTAAATGAATTCCATCATGTCGCAAACTGTCTTTCCATTCTTAAATTTCAAATTAGGATACGATTCTACCTTGACCGCGGTGAGTTTCCTTCCCTGCCTGTACAGTGGTCTAGTCCTACAGAGTTCCTGCTGCACATGATGCGGCATCATCCTGACCCTTTCAGAAAATACTCCTGATTGTTTACAACTACAGTGAACCTCTGGACATGAATTTCAATGTTACGAGAGTGGACGCTAGTTGGAGGTTATTTTCAAAAGTGGCTGATTATTATTGAGCCGTGTTTCAGTAACGGATCAGCTGTTCATGGGCCCTCACAAATTATTGACATACGAGACAACGTAGCCGGACAAACGACAAAATAACAATTCTGCAAAAATACGAAAGGACGATGACGCAATTTTCGCATATTTTTAATTCCTTCCAAGATCACTTGAATAGTGAACAAGAATTAAGAGAGGTAATATTTAAAATGATATATCCAAATACTTATCATTTCTAACCACCAAAATTTGGACAATGTATTGTTGAACGGAGAAATTGGCCATGTGGTAATTGAATTTCTTCTTTCATTCTATATTAACTTGAAGGAAATTCGTATGATCGTGAAGGACACTGAAAAAACTGCTCGGGATATCCTGATAATTCTCCAGAATATTCACAATGAGAGTTCAATGGAGGAAGACGCAAGTACGTAAAAAAGTGTGGGCGAACGTGCAGAACTGGGGAACTTGTATAATTTGGATTTTTTCCTTGAAAGATGCTCTCATTGAATTTATTATCATTCAATTCTCCAGTTATTTCTCAATACTGTGCCAAAGCAAGAGAGTATTTCGGTGAAGTAAGACTACACTACGCTAAACTAGCTCAAGTCGTTCCTAAAGATCAGTACTACAGATTCCACGACTTGTGGCGATTTGTCACTCAGCGTTTGTGCTTCCTCGCATCACTCACAGTTTATCTGGAAGTTAAAATCCTCGTGACTAAAGAAACTGTTGCTGAAATTCTCGGTGGTAATTACAAATTTTATTTACTTATTATTTGTAGAAAAATTCATTGAACATTCGTTGAATTCGTTCTGTGGCCCCGGGTACAATGACAATCGTTTATTTTTTTGTAGTAAAAAATAAACGAGAGGAAGGTTTCCATCTCGATTTGGAAGAATTTCTCATGGGATTACTTCAGTTATCAGCAGAATTGGTAAGAATGTCTCAAACTATATCTGAAGACAATATCTCAGAGATTTGAACTTCATAATTATGGAGTAGTGAGAAGTAGAAAATTCCCCATTTTATTTATATTTCAGAGCCGCTTCGCAGTTAACAGTGTGACATCCGGCGATTACAATCGGCCAATCGAAATTGCTCGTTTCGTTAATGAATTGAATGCTGGATTTAGACTACTAAATTTGAAGAACGACAATTTACGCAAGCGATTCGATGCTTTGAAATACGATGTGAAAAAAGTGGAAGAAGTTGTCTATGACTTGAGCATTCGGGGGTTGAAACCAACAGCCCTGCCACCCAGTGATAATCAGTAGAATATGCTAGGCGAAATCCTAGTGAAGACTGAATTGACATCAATATAAGTATCCAGACATAACAATTCGTATGAACCCCCAACGTTTCAGTAAAAAAAAGACAAAAATAAACAAATCTTTTTCAAGTTACTCGAGAATTTTACCGACAATTTTTAACCCTTTCCAGTTAATCTATTTGTCACTTGCAGGTTCATAACTTCAATGGTGGGAAACAGAAATAAAAAAGTTGTCACAGTCGTATTGAATTTTAATAATACTATCAACATTTAATGGCTACCACGCAGCATTGACGATTTATATCATCAGTGTAATACATTTTCATCAAAGTATTCAATTTATCTGATTGTAAATATTATTGATCCTTTAAAGCATTCATTGCAAAAGCTGCCGGTCCAATTGAAGCGATGATTAGGTGATATCTTGTAAAGTCATCATGAAAGGATATTTATTTGCAGGCGCATGTTTTGCAATTGCATTGTTCACCAGATTTGCAAGAGCATTGGTCTGAAAAAAATATAACGGATATCAGAAATGAGTTACCCTGTAGTAATACCCTAACTCCAACAAAATAATCGGGTATTTCAAATAAATAAGCGTATCAAATTTTTTAGGTCGATTTTTTAACATAAATGAATAAATAAAAAATCAATGGAATGTCCAAGGAGACTCGAAAGGAATTCTCGAGTGAATGGATTACAATGCTCTGTTGAATTTTCTCCTACGTGAAGAAAAGCAATTCGAGTAACGTGCATAACGGTTCACTTACTAAAGTATGAGGAGAAAAACAAGCGTACAGTCACACCTCGAAGTAACTGACCGCAGCGGTTCTACATAGTTGATCGGAAAAATCTCATAAAAAAAAAGAAATACTATTAAACTCACCTGAACATCCACCACTGGAGCACTTACAGTTATCTCCGCATTTGCAGCCATCCTTGCACTGGGCTATAATCAGAATTAATCATGATATCACAATGATACGCCGACTCGAGTCGTCTCATTTTACACACGGTTGAGCATTTAACACATCATTCCATTGTTGAAAAATGATTTATTGAAAAATGCAATCACCATTTTAGCAATATAATTACTGTTTGTAAAATAATAGAGAATGAGGAAAATAAATACTTACAGGAGCACTTGTCGCAGCATGGTCCTGGCATCTTGGCGATTATCAATTGGATATTCGTTGAGAACGATTGAAGTTTATCAGTGACTTGTCGGAGAACTGTTTGATGAGGCCTGTGACTCGCACCTCGAATTTATTGATCATTCCCCGCCACATTGCACACGAGCGCAATAGAGATCCGCGTGCAATGCCTGCGACTCTCTGTCATGCGCAGTTACAAGTGGATAAACAATGTAAATTGTTGAATTTCATTGGCTGGCTACTGAACGATAAGAATGACGATTGGTCCTCTTCCTTGTGGCACCGTGTGCAACCGATCTCAAAACACCGGGCGCTATGATTATGATTATGAGTAATTGGTTTCATTCAATGAATCGATCAATTCGTCAAGGCTCTGGAACTTTCGGATTTTTTTTTTCCAATCCCTTTTTTTTACGTGCACACTTGGCACTGAATTAGTTCATTAACTTCAATGTTTTGTAGCAAGGCATTGACCTCACTCCTTCGATTTTTTAATTCACGGCTTTTCGCGTTTTTCACTCACTGATTTCTGCCATTTTCAATGACTTCATTGTCTTTTTCAATTACGTGTTTATATGAAAACTTCATGGACATTTTAGTAATCAAAAGGGGCTTAATTATCAGATTACGTGTTAGTTATTAATGATGGGCGTAGGGTGATTAAATAAATATTGATAGACCTTGCGTTTTTCACGAGAATTTCTATGAATACTGGTCTGAAAATTTATTTCTCTGTTTTTCATTGTTTAGAAAGTATTCCAGGTTGTAATATAAACAAACATTATTATTAGGCTGTTTTTAGATATTTTTCTGGTCCACAAAGACTACAGACTATGATGGTATTTTATTGAACTGGAAAGTTAAACTACATTGTCATGTTTTTTTCAGTTTCACATACAGGCGCTATAGGGCAATGATATGTCAAAAAGAAAAAGCACCAAAAGCATCAAAGTTAATTATCAAAAATGTGTCAGGGGAGCACGAAAATCGGAGAGGTATTCATTGAAATCTGAAAATTCGAAATTTTTGAAAAAGTATCAGAGGAGTATGAAAGTCGAGGAGGTATTCACTGAAATCTGAAAATTCGAAATTTTTTGAAAAAGTATCAGAAGAGCATGAAAGTCGCGGAGGTATTCACTGAAATTGGAAAATTCGAAATTTTCAAAAATATATCAGGGGAGTATGAAAATCGAAGAGGTTTTCACAGAAATTGAAAAATTCGAAATTTTCCAAAAAATATCAGGGAAGCATGAAAATTGAGGAGGTATTCACTGAAATTTGAAAAAGTCGAAATTTTCAAAAATGTATCAGGGGAGCATGTGGTGCTCTCTCTCTCGTGGGGTGAGGTACTACAATGCCGATGGGGTCATTCAAACCCCCAGAACTGAGTCTCTACTTGAGTCAATCTTCTTTGGTGCTGATCAATTGGAAAACGTAGTGTCAGTGTTCGAAAAAATCAAAGAACAACAATATTTCCCGGTAAAATGAATGCCAGCGAAGATGAAAACACTCGGCTGGACATGTTCGAGGATACACAGGATTATTCGCCATCGTCTCCTCGTCAAAGGTAAGAAAAACAATTCTGCATACTGACGAACAAGTTGTTTCAAAAATCGCCACGGGCTTGAGGTGCACCAAAATCCCGCGCAGGTACGTTAAGGTTAAGACATTCCAGCCCCCAAACCAATGCATTTTCACCCTCCGAAAAATCTCACTTCCGCCTCCTCTCTCAGTTTGACACCAACCTCTCACACGTTTACTCCACTATTTTCCACAACATTTTCATAATTTCCCCCATTCAACGGAAAAACCACTGGGATCAATATGACAGAGGCGTACTGGTATCGTAGGTAGTGTATCTTGAAATTATTTCATTGCTATGTTTCTCCCTTTTCTCTCCCCAAATTTTCCCATGCCCTTTCTTGTCCTCGATTGCCACGAGTTTTCCGAGCCATTTTGGAAAAACGATGCTTGGATGATTGGCTGTAACAACGCTCTGGCATTTTCCTTGATCATAGAAATCGTTGCATTTATTTTTATTTACTTTGATATTTTAATCGTTTCGGGATATTTTATGGTTTTGGGTGCATGGAGTGGAGAAATAATTTTCGGGAAATGGGGAGGCTCGGTTGCTTCGTGGAATGGAAAATTCTGGGAAATTCGGAACCATTTTCTATCTTTTCTACCTGATTCTACCTGTTGCTGGGTACGCGATATTTTATTGTTTTGGTGGTAAGGTACGATGGGGTAGAGAGATTTCTCGGATGTTGCCTGTTCCTATTGTAATGTGATGAGTTTAGTCTCTCGCTCTTTGAAGGGCAAGTGTCAAAAGTGTTGCTTGTTGACATTTTTTTTTATTGCGTGGTTTCGAAGGCATTGTTTCGGGCACGAGTCACGCTGAATTCAATTTGTGAAGGGCTGTCGTGATTTCTGGATTGAAATTGCAGTTTTAACGAAATGACTGAAAATTCTGGAGTATTTCCTTGGTGGAAAAGGTGATTACACTTTTATAGAGTGCAATGAGAAATATTTATTTAAACCTCTTTGATTCAGAGATATTTATCGAAAATTTATCTAATGACTGGGATAATTTGTTATCCTTTGCTAATTAATTCGATTTTCGTTTGATCCCCTGTTTTTCGTTATTTATAAAAAAACAGAAAGCACATGCGATTGGATGACGGCTGCAACAACAATCTGAACAGCTCGATGAGCAATGAAACAAAGAATGAAGCCAAATGGAAGTGTCCTGGGGACACGAGCATCGTGGAACCCGAGGTGATGGTGGACCTTGGGGTAAGCATGCTCGACGACGAAACCAGTTGTGAGAGTCTGAAGAGATCACAGTCCCAGGGTTGCTCGGTATCACCAAGTAGTCTAGTATCCAGCAGACACGCAGCTATGGATGAGAAAGAGAATCTGTATCGTGGCACTAAATATGAAAAAGGAAAGCTCGAGAGGTAGGAATTTTTATCCGCACAGTCCATCACATTTTGTAATCCATAGACTCTTGAAATAATGATCTAATGGTCCAAGAGAAAAAAAAACAAGTTTTCCACTTGATTACAGATATTAATAATAAGCATTGATGGCATAATTTTTTTTGTTTGTGTGAACGAAAGGCTGGAGCAAGATTCACACGTACTCATGGATGATTCAACGAGAATTTCAAACTCCCTAGACAACGAATCGGGTTATGCATCGAGGATCAAGGGTGAATCCTGTGATGAGAAGCAATTGGAACAATTCAACACAAGTAGCTCAAACTTAGATTTCAATGGGCTCGATCAGTTTTACCTCTTCAGAAGAAAAAAGAGGGCCTCCATTATGGGAGAGGATAAGTTCTCGAAGCTGTCTGATGAGATGATACTGATGATTCTCAAATGGCTGCCGAAAAAGTGTTTAGTACGTTCGATGTTAGTATGCAAACGATGGTGTCAAATAGCTAGGGATGAGGCCCTTTGGACTCGTCTGGATCTTGGGGGTAAAGTTCTGGGTCAAGGAACATTGGGACACATTTTACCACGTGGTGTGCAAATACTGAGGTTGGCACAGGCTGAGCTAGCTGATCCAGCATTTTCCCCAGGGTCCGAAGTCCTCAGTGATACTTATACGAGTAAACTACAGTATTTAGATCTTTCAATGGCAGTTATATCTACCGATGGATTGGCTAATCTTCTGAGCAAGTGCCGGCTGCTGAAGAAATTGTCTTTGGAGAAGTGTACGTTGAATGAGAGAATCTGTCGGGCTATCAGCCAGAATAAAGACATCACGGTACTTAATTTAACTATGTGCGAGGGAATTGATTTCCAGTGCATCAGGCATATCGTTAGTTTGAACAATCTGAATTCCGTGAACATGTCCTGGTGCTCGTTGAGTGCTAAATCAATAACTCTTCTCTGTCAATCCCTCCCGGGTAGCATAACTAGACTGAATATCTCAGGATGCAGGAAATCAATGACTGATGACGACGTCAAGGACATTGTCGCCAACTGCCCTGACCTCGTCGAGCTGGATCTCAGTGACTGCACACTTCTAACAATAAATGCAATCAACAGTTTTCTGAATCTCCATCAGCTTGAGCACTTGTCCTTGAGTCGATGCTACGGTATTCCCCTGTCGTCATCTTATGCCAAACTCACTCAGATGGCGTCTCTCCGGTATCTCGATATTTTCGGATTGATGACAGATGCAGGACTCAGGTCGTTCCAGGCTAATTGCAATAGTACAGAGATTAATAAATTCCTGTTCAGCTCTGTTGCAAGACCCACTGTTGGTGTGCGAAGAACTAGTATATGGGCACTTCGTGTTAGGGACTAAATTCTCAATCTTTTTTATGAAAAATAATTCTCAAAAGTATCTCATTGTTTAGACGGGAAGCTGCTGATTAAATGGAAAGTGCGAGTACGTTTATCATTTTAATTTCATAATTAGGGAAGAATGGGACTGAATGAAACACATTTTCCAACGTTTCAGTGAGCTTTTGAAAGCAAAGGATATTAATGTTCCATTTTTCTCCACCCTTTCCTAATTGAAAGTTGATGAGTTGTGAGTAATTACCCCAACATTTAAGGTCCGGCTGAAGTTTTTTTTTTGTTAACTCGAATAGTTCAATGTTCAGCGAAAAATATCTAAATAATGGTCGGAAGAATATCCAGCCGGAAATCAGATTTCATTTCCAAAATTTTCATACGACAAATTGTACGTAAAATTTGCTGCGAGTCATAATATAAATAAATAAATGCCAGCAATGTGTTCTATTTGTTTTTACTTTTGTTCTAATTCTACACTCATAAACTTTGGGGACTTGCGTGATGTAATATCAAATGGCAATCTTGAAATTTCTTAAGCTAGAAAAAAACAATGAAGCGAGTGTTGGAAGGATGATACAACCAGAATTAACGTAATAATTTTAAGTCGTGCCTTAATATTGGAATACATTTAGAGAGTATGTTAAGAGATATTTTTACATTCGTATCAGTTGAGAATTGGTTACCTCCTCAGCATGAATATGAGTCGGTTGTGATTGTTAATCAGGGAAATTCCTAGAGTTGATAATTTTTGTAATTGAGTAGTATTAATGATTGAAAGTAACTTTGATAAAATAATAAAGATATGATATAAATTTATAAAATAAACAACCTTTACTGGGCAAACGGAATAGCGTGCACTGAACGTGTGCTCGCGATGTTTCTCCGCTAAATTCGTTAGATGCTTCAAAAAGGAAACCAATTTCCAAAGAATATTTCTGAATCGAAGAGAAATAGACTTCTTCAATGTATATATGAATTTGCAGTGTTCAGGGTTAATGAATGATAAAAGGATGCAAATTGAACGTAAAACATATTCTTCATTCAATACATTTTTGTTACATAAAAAAGAAAATTTAACTATTGTCGTTTAGATAACAATATTCCTCAACAGAATGCCATCAAGATATTCATTGAACAATAATGGACTGAAAAATTCATTTTAATGTTTTCCATACCTAATACATAAAACTATATATAAAATTGAATGGAATTAACAAGTCGTCTTCGGTTTCGTAGCCACTTACGATTGGAAATCAGTGAATTACTATTTTTTCTCAATTCGTAACTGTATTATGTACAATAACGTAGACATAATGGGGTTCACCATTCCAGGAGCGGTATTTTTTGCAAAGCTAGTAAATGCTGAAGTTCTGCGTTCCCAGTGTTAGGCGGTAGCTAATCTTTCGGATTTGGGGGTCGATTCTATAGAGAGAAGCTCTGGTTTTTCAACTTTTTCTTCATTCGCGCTGTCTAATTCAGCGTATATTGATTTAGACTCTTGCCTTTCTTGTTCACTTTGCCATTGGACCTAAAATTCAATTATTATAAATTAATGATAATTAATTGAAAGACTCGATTTTTCGAGGCTTTATTGAGAAATTCGATGGATGCATTTCACTTCTAAATACTAAACATTAAACAAACCTTTTGTTTGTGCTGCTTGACGGCCTCTAGACATTTATCAATGACCATCTGATGAGTAAGCACCCCATCTTCAGAGGCATAAGCAGCAGCCTGCCAAGCAACTCCAAGTTTTGATAGTTCCCTGCCAGACATTCCCTCAGTAATTTCGGCCATTTTAATACAGAGAGCTCCATAATCAAACTGAGCAACCTTGAGTCTCCTGGTACCTTCGGTAGCAGGCTGGAGCACAAACTTATCGAAATAAAGTCTGATAAGTCGTTCTCTCTCCTCGATCCCAGGCAACTGGAACTCCACCATCTCATCAAGACGATCATTGACAGCCCAGTCAAACTGCTCAGGTGTGTTTGATGCCAACACGAGCATAAATTTATTGCTCTGCTCGCCAGTCCTGTAGAGGAAGGCATTAAGCATGGCCCTGAGGTCCTCAGATATGTGCTCGCTCGACCTCTTCCTGAGGAAAGCATCAGCCTCATCGATGAACAGGAGTAATCCTTTCCTCGAGGTCGAGGCCCAGTCGAAGACTTTGTGAATAGCCGTGACTCCATCTCTTCCAAGGGGCGCCAGATCTCCTCCAGTAAGGATCGCATAATCCATACCAGAGTGCTGTGCCAACTTCTTGGCAAACATGGTCTTGCCAGTGCCAGGAGGCCCATGCATCAGGATATTCCTGTACATTCCCCTGTTGTGTTTTGTGTTCTTCGTGGCAATGGCGACGTCCCTCAGTCTCTCCTCGAGCTTTGGAGCTAGAACTACACCTGAGAGAGCATCAGAGGGCTTCTCCTTGAGCTTTTGAACAGTCTTGATGGGATGACGAATGACATCGAGGGCTGAGAATCTCGAGGTTTCTCTCACCAGGGAGGGTTTGCCCAAGCGAGCCTCGACATAACGACTGGCAACACCAGTCGATCCTTTAGCAGTGTAGACACCAAGGGCCACCAGGGACAAACCCCCAGCAGCTGCCAATATCTTGTCCCAATCCTGAAGGAGAGACGTCACCCCAGCTCCCAGCACTGAACCCGCTGTCTTGATTGATTCCAAGACTGTCACTCTGTTCTCAGAGGCTTTCAATCTGATCTGCTCGAGATTGAGATCCTGATTCTCACGATCTACTTTGGCTTTTGCTTTCAACTCAGCCTCTAATTTTCTCATTTCGTTCTTGTGACGAAGTTCCATCTCGTGCTCGATTGTCGCTTTCCTCATGGCCTCTTGTTTGGCGACAGATTCCTCTTGCCTCCGTAAATTCTCGTCGTTCATCCTCTGCTGTTGGACTAACTGCTCATCGTATCTTTTACGGGCCAGTGAGTCCTGGTACTGGGCTCGCATTTGGTGCTGCTTCGTCTCCTCAGAGACGGTTTTTCTTCGCTCATCACCTTCTACTCTTTTCTGCTCAATTTTCAATTGCTCGATACTCGCTTCGTATTCTTTTGCTCTACTCATTATTTCTGCTTGTTTTGTTGATTCCTGGAGCTTTGTCAGCTCGAGAGCCTCTCGAGCGTGAGCTAGAATATTTTTTATTATGAAGGTGTCGGTTTGAAGGATTAATATCGCGTCAATTTCTATTGAATTTATTTTAATCAAAAATTAAATCAAATAGAATTTTTATTGTTGGAAGTAATGATGAAAAGATAGCATCGTGACTTGAGTGACATTTTTTAAAAGGTGTGAGACCAATTTATCTCTCTCTTTTTCAAACAATTTCATTCATGAAATGAAAACGTGAGTAATTTTTCTATGAAATAAAACGGTTTAGGCGCCATAGTTGCATCATTCTCATGTGCTTGTCTCGCATGTGCAGAACGTTCCTAACCTCGATGGAATGAGCTTACGTAATATTATATAAGTGGAAATAAAATAGTTGATATAAAAAATCTTACGAGATTTTTCGAGCTCCTTGGCAGCTGCAGCAGCTCGTTCCAGAGCACTCGAGTCGAATCTGTACGCATCCATTTGAGGTTTTCCAACGTTTTTCGAAGGTCCACGATCTCCAGGATCCCCGGCACCATCTCCAGGGCCTGATGCCGGTGGTTGTGCATACTGGGAAAAATCCTGAGACTGTTGCTGATAACGAGAACCCAAGAGCCACGACATTTGTGCGATAGGTTTTTCACAGAAAACTTGAAATCACTCGCGGATCCACGACTCCTTACCGATACGAAATTTCTCAATCAATGGTGAGTTACATGGACACGAGGGCTTTTTTCGGTGTGAGTATCACGTGCGCACACGTTTCTTCAACTCATTCTTGATAAAGACGGAACTTGGCGGATTTGAACCGACACCGAGGGTCTGACCCGAGACGACGAGGCACTAGCCAATACGAATTAAAACGATTGCAGTTTCAGTTTGAAATTCAAGCACTGTATCAATTGTGCAATATACGAAAGACGTAATTTCAATTATATCACGCATATTTATTCACTTATTTATCTATCGTTTTTCTCCGTTGGGAAATAAGGGGGTCATCATTTCTTTTTTATTCACTGAAATCTAGTTTTCGACCAGAGTTATCAGGATGAGGCACCTCTTGCTAGAAGCGAAATCTACTTCGAGTCAAATGGTTTCAAGGAATCTTACGGAAACTTCGCGAGAATCCAATTCAAATGCCCCAGCTGCTACAGTGCATATCGGGGATTTGATTCGAGAGAAGGAAAAAAAGAAAGAGTTTTATCACAGTTTTGAATTGGTGTCTCAGAAAGGCGGAGAAAAAGCGTACGAAAGGTAGTTATTAGAGAAAGTAAATTAAAGTAACAAATTCCCATAAGTTTAATGAATTATATTGAGTGGTTGGTCCACTGATCAATGATTTTGGTATTAGCTTTTTCAAGGACATGGAGAGCGGATGTAAGCCATTATTTTTTACACTGACTTGGCATAATCAATCTGGAGAAAATTTCTTGCCCCTTCAACTTGTGTCAGAATTTCCAAAAAATACTTTACTGCATCTGAGTGCAAAGGGTTTGAGTCGTACTGATGTAGAACGCATTCTGCCGAAAGTGTTGGAGATGGGGATAACAAATTTGCTTGTTGTTCGAGGGGGTACTTCAATCTTCTCATCTTCTCCATTTCGCTATGTCCAATTATCATATGATTCAATATTTTATTACGATGTGATTTATCTTCAGATGATCCCTCGAACGACGGGGACTTCCTGTACGCTGTGGATTTAATTGAATTCATAAAGACTCGGTACAATGATGAATTCTGTATTGCAGTGGCAGGATATCCAGACACTCATCCTCAATCTCCCTCGAAGGAATCTGATTTATATTATCTCAAGAAGAAGGTAGTTTTCTTCAGTTGAAATTAAATTCATAATTACAATTCCGTTTGAATAAAGCACTGCTGAAAATATTCAGGTCGACGCCGGTGCCAGTTTCGTAATAACTCAAATTTCATTTGAATCCCGACAATTCATAGAATTCGTCAAAGACTGCAGGTCTTGTGGGGTAGACGTACCAATTATTCCTGGCATTTTTCCGATATCAAACTACAAAACACTTATGAACCTCCAGAAGATTTGTAGTTTGAAAATTCCGCAAGAGATTCACCAGGACTTGATGGAAATCAAAGATAACGATCAAGAGCTCAGGAATTACGGTATTAATCTGGCGACGAGAATTACGAGTGAAATTTTCTCCAGTGGAGTCGTTCATGGATACCATTTATTCACTCTCAACGAGTGAGTTTTTATCGTTTCTTTTTAATCTTTAATTACAAAAATTCATCAATGGCCATTTAAAGAATTAAAAATCGAAAGGAATAGTTTCCCCCAATCATCTTTTTTTTTCAGTTTCTCGATAGCTCAAGAAATCTGCGGAAGGCTGTCGGCAATAACCAGAAATTAATGTAATAATAAATTTTTTGGTCAATTCACACAAATCGGAAATTTACTTTATCAAGTCTCCTTATTTTGAAAAAAAAATCTGAGCTAGATTTCCGCGTTTATTCATAATCCGTCATCCCCATGTGACCTTTCTGACGCATGCGCACTTCCGGGAAATGGCGCGTGCGCAGTGATTCTGGTTCAAGTGGGACTGAAAATGAAGAGAAATGAACCGGATCATGTCCTGGGCAAAAGCGATCGTCGGCGAGTTGGGCGCCAGAGTTTAGCGCGGTTGGTTCGGTCGGTTGTCGAGGTCAAGAGTTGTTCAAGGGAAAAATTCATCAAGACACAGAGGAACACTCAATTATTAAGGAATAAAGGACAATGGCACTGTTTAGAGTGAGCGCGGCGCGTTGCCTGGAGCTACAAGTAAGTTTAACCAATCTAAAATAAAATACACCTATTATTCGCCCTCACCTGTAATTACCCTTACGATTGAACCGCGCTCCTCCCTCACATACCACGAATCTAAAAATTGCTGGGCGAAATTTGAAACGTGTGTGAGACCCTCAGCGTCTTCATCACGAGCAGTTCAATTTCACATACTATAAATACCCACAAAATCTCATGCTGTCTAACTGATAAAATTGACAGTGTGATACCCCTATGGCATATTTTTCGATGCTTGAAAGAATAATTTTATGTGAAAAAAAAACAGCAGTAGCCTTTTCCCTGAGTGTTAGAACGCCATAGCAGGATGCCGTTTTATCGACGGAATTTACACGTTCGCGTGCCCCAGGTCTTACCTTACTTTCATTTATCCTCAACCGAATCCAATTGTAAAATTATTTCCATCCTCTCATCCCCCCTCCCCACCTCTCAATTCGTAGTTCTTTTTTTTTCATTTTATTTTGTGACTGAAAATTGATATTTATTTTGGAGTTTATGCGGTTTTTTTCTCCTTTCGGGGAAAATTCTTAAATAACGAAATTCTCGGATAGCGTATTTTTTTTTTATCTACGTCATTGTGATTATGTTGCTTCTTATTATAGAAACGTGGATAAATCGGTTGCATAGTGCAACCGTGGAATCGAAATATGCTGTACATGCGCTCTTCGTGACAGAGGAGCTGTCAATAATTACGTAAGCCACGAGGGTAGATTTTGTATGTCGTGATGAGACTGGGCGAGTTAGAGATATCTAATGAGGATTTTTAGGACATTAGTTGAACATTCCCCTGTGGAGATTGTGAGGAGCCATGTGTCGAGTCGATAAGTCGGTGATAGTAAAGTCGTCCTAATATTGAATTTAGGGAGCGATGTCCCAGTTAGTGCCACTGCCCCAGTTTCCAGCAGCCTCGATTTTTAAAAAATACCAATACAAAAGACTAAGAGAGTCGTAATTAATTTGTTATCATGATTATCTTGAGGGATATTATCATTGCAAATGTTTTTTTCTGAAGCAGGAATTGTCCTCCAAAGGTGATAGGAAATGGTGCATAATGTTTTCTATTTCTTTTGGAATAACAGAAATTGGGAGATTGAGATTAAAAAAATTTTTGAAGTCATGGGTTAATTGAATCCACCTAATGAAAAATGAAAATTGGTTGGGAAATGGTATGGGGTAATGGCTTGGCTTGGCTTGGCTTTGTCGATAAAATACATTTTTTGGGTATCTAGGGAAAATACGAAAGACTATGGGTGTCAATAACTGGGACAGTGATGGTAGGTAAGAAATACTCATGAGTTCGCACATACAATGTCGTGTAAGTGGGATTCGATGCTTCTATGACCTCGTCACACTCACCCCACCGTTACGTAATTCGTACGACGAATTTTCAAGGTGATCACTGACCTTCTTCGTTGAACTCTTTTAATTGTGATTTAATTTTGTTTGAATAAAATGAGTACACTAATCCCTCAAGACTGATTTTTTATCTTGCAATAATTCCCCGTCTGTGTTATACTTCAGTCAAGGCTGAAACCAGTGGATTTAATTGAGTTGAGATTAATATATTACGTATCAGATAGTAATTTTTTCTATCTGATGCTGAGAAAATGTCTCAAGAGTCGGCTGCACCTATACATTTTGGTCAAACACTTATAAATGAGCCAGACTTTTGCAAGAGTTCACTAAAATTAGCAACAATTCGAGGTTGAAAGATTGTCCCGGTTACCTGAACCAGATCAATCATGGAGATGTAATCACCCCCAGCTGCCAATTTCGTGGCCGCAACCGATGAATTATGTCTGTACGTCATCACCGTTCGTCATATGATCAGACAGTTAAGCTTTTCAAGGAAGAACCTTTTTTTCCCTGACTTGACCTTCCATTATTTCACATCCGTTGAAAAATTATTACTCTGAAATCCATCGCTCTGGGTGATTCACGTTTAGTCTATTATCAGTCGTCAGCTGATCCAGCGAAATCAACCATCGGAATGCAGAAAAATAATTTTTTTTTCCACAATCATTAAATCTAAACAGTAACTCAGTCTCTTCGTTCAGGAAATATCCATTGAGCGTCAGCCAAAATAATGACGTCATTAAAAGATCATTAAGGTGGTCATGGCCTTGGGTCACCAAAAATTCCGGCATATTGAGAATATTTTCTTGAGTAATTGAGTAAATACAGAAAATTGAACTTGTCTTCTCGAGCTCAGGGATTTGCGACGTAAATTCTTGAAAACTCGACTCCATTCATATTATGTTCTTCTAATTAATTATTCAAGCGAATATAATTAGTCACGTTAGTATCTCCAGCTCAAGAAATACAGAAACAATTTTTTTGCAGAGTCGATGGTGAAAAATACAATGACTTCCGTGCAATGTCACGCGAGCATCATTTTTTTTTAATACTCATCGGTCATTTCCTGATAGCATAATTGTTGACGTGAAGAATCCTTCACGATAACTCAGTGGTTCATAAAAATTGTACATCCATGTCTGCCATTCCAATAAGTGGGATATAGAAATTGTAGCGCGAGGAAACCACGTGGCAGTCTCTGTGTCTCTTCCATATCTCAATCAATCAGACGATGCGTGAATAAAAGTGGAAAATTTAATGCTGATAATGAACTGTACAATAACTTCAATCAGTCTTGAGTATTTTTCTCTTTTCTTCTTTCCTCCGTTCCTCCTTTCGCTCATAAATAGATTTTTTTGGCGTTCTGGAGAGGATTGTCAGGTTTTTTATGCTCAAATGCATGCATTTTTATCTCAATTATATCACTCGGAGATACGAAAAACCTACAGTCATCTTTAGACTTGTCAATGTTAAGTTTTATGAGACGCACCTGGCAATCTGTTGGTCGTATGATCTTCATGACGCGATACGAGCTTCAACGAAGTATCTTTAACATTGAAAATCTCGCGTTCAAAGTGTTCGGGCAAAAGCATACATTATGTAATCCCAAGGTACTTCACTTTTTAATTTGACGACCGTAGTAAGAGAAATCTAGAGAATGTGTATTCTACTACCTGCAGGTTTCCCATTTTTTCCTCAATATTTTACGCATTAATTATCGTTTATACCTTGAGCTGTCAAATTGAATATTTCCCTTCTTTATAATTTGGTGTGTCATTGGATTTTTATGAGCGAAGGTAAAATAAACACTTGAGTGATAATCTCTTCTGATCAATCATCGGTGAATTTCCTATCCCGTGACGATCACAGGAGTTAAATGTTCAATGTCAAAGGGATCTCGCACAATTCTGATTATTAACACGGAATTAGTGTTTTACGAGAGTTTCATGAGGTCTTTAGCCGGATGACTCGTACAGTCAATTGGATGATCGCACCCGATGCCCATTCATGGGGGCGTTTTTGGTCGGTTGCTTCACGCGAGTTGACCATGATTTTTTTTTTAAGTTATTCGGAGGGAATATACATAGCATACGACCAAGATTCAACGTATATCGGATGAATTTTATCTTCACTGACAAACATTAACTTTATCGGATGTGGCACACTTTGATAAGGTACGACGGTTAAATTTTGTCAGAGAAAATTTATTATTTTTCATTACAAAACGTCCGTTTTATAAAAATAATTGCACTGAGATAATTTGGCGCGATTATTAATGGAATAATAATGGGATAAAGATTGCGCAGAATATTGGAGTTATGATTTCTCGTTATGATTTATTTTTTCCTGGAATTTTGCAGAAGCTGAGCGCTCCAGTTATTCTCCGTCAGCTGTCATCCGAATCCACTGATCTCAAGAAGATACTTACGGAAAAAATACCTCAAGAGCAGGAGCGCATCAAGGCATTCCGAAAAAGCCATGGCTCCACCAAAGTCGGCGAGGTCACCGTTGACATGGTAATTCATTTCGAAATATAATAATTAATAACAATCAATGACACTGCCAGAAATATTTATTACCCTTGATCACTTGAGAATTTCGAATATACCATCTCTATTCCATTCGATTTGGTTTGGAGGCTGTTGTCATACCTCTGACGGTAATAAGTGAACGTTGTTAGAGTAAATTTAATTCACATGGTTAATCCCGAGCGACACATCGCGCTTATCGTTGTGATGCCACGACAATCTTTCCCTCTGTCTCTTTTTCCTTTTGATTCTCACACTTGTCGTCGACGAACATTGCATGAGAGCTCTCCTGTCAATGTGTTGCATTCAATTGACATGTGTTGGAAGATGCAAGGTTATTGCGGCAGTGCGCGTGCCAATTCTATGATCGTGATAATGTCATAAGTGACGGGAACCCCGGCTTTCCTCTGAGTAACTGATACTTCGGACTTTTTTGTTCATTGAATTTAACTGTCTGACGCTCTGGAGTTCATTGTAATCCGAGGCGTTGATGGAAATGATTTTTTACCTTCTCCTTTTAGATTTATACATTCGTTGCAATTCAACATTACCATTTTTTCGGTGATGTGTCGATTAATATCAATTGAAATTTATATTTTCGTAGAAGGTCTGTTTTTTTCTCGTTCAACAATTCATCCTTCATTGATATAAATCTGGATTATGAATTGGATAACTGTATAATCGAAAGAGTTTTACTTTCGAGTGACCTAAAATCCTAAATGATGGGCGAAAGTATAATGAAAGATCTCGTTTGACTTTCACTTTTTTGTTCACCATAAAAATTGTAGATTGTCGAGCTGATATTTTAGAAGCAATGTAAATATGTAAAATGGGTATTTGTATTGTAAATGAAAATAATAATTGACAGATGTACGGTGGTATGAGAGGGATAAAGGGGTTGGTGTGGGAGCCCTCAGTGTTGGATGCCGACGAGGGTATCAGATTCCGAGGTAAATCAATTCCTGAGTGTCAGAAGCTCCTGCCTAAGGCCCAGGGTGGTGGTGAACCCCTGCCAGAGGGTCTCTTCTGGCTCCTGATCACTGGGGACGTTCCCACAGATGCTCAAGTCAAGGCTATCTCCAAGGAATGGGCAGCGAGGAGCTCACTGCCAGCTCACGTTACCAAAGCCCTCAATGACTTTCCCAAGCATCTCCACCCGATGTCCCAGTTTTCAGCTGCCATCACCATTCTCAATAGTGAGAGTGAATTCGTGAAGGCTTACAGCAGTGGTACTCACAAGAGCAAATACTGGGAGTCAATTTACGAGGATTCAATGAATCTGATTGCCAAACTGCCCGTGATTGCTGCCACTATCTATCGTAATACTTATAAGAATGGAAAGGGACTTGGATCGGTTGACAGTGGGAAGGACTGGTCCTGGAATTTTGCCAATATGCTGGGGTATGACAATCCCGAGTTCATCGAGCTCATGAGACTGTACCTGACCATTCACTCTGACCATGAGGGAGGCAATGTCTCAGCCCATACCGTTCACTTGGTGGGATCAGCCCTCTCTGATCCTTATTTATCGTTTGCTGCTGGAATGAATGGCCTTGCTGGACCTCTCCATGGTCTTGCTAATCAGGAGGTTCTAGTGTGGCTTGAAAAACTCAGATCTCAAGTTGGTGACGCTCCTAGTGATGACAAGCTCAAGGAATTCATCTGGAATACTCTTAAGAGTGGCCAGGTCGTTCCTGGATATGGACATGCCGTCCTCAGGAAAACTGACCCCAGGTACACCTGCCAGAGGGAGTTCGCCATGAAACATCTCCCCAATGATCCACTCTTCAAGGTTTGTAGATACATTTAATGAATAATTACTTCCTAATGCTCTAGTATCACCGGTTGATTTACTGGGGAAATTAATGGATATTTAATCATAAAATCATTTTATTTTCCCCAGTTGGTGGCTCAGGTTTACAAAATCGTCCCCCCAGTTCTCCTGGAGACTGGCAAAGTGAAAAACCCATGGCCCAACGTAGACGCTCATTCTGGCGTTCTTCTTCAATACTATGGCATGAAGGAGATGAATTATTACACGGTACTTTTTGGAGTGTCCCGAGCACTGGGAGTTCTGGCCTCACTGGTATGGGACCGTGCACTCGGTCTACCAATTGAACGGCCCAAATCCCTCAGCACTGATCTCCTTATGAAGGCGGCCAAGGCTGCCTAAATAACTCGCTATCAACGTTTACTTAATTATTACGTTCGTATCAACCATCCAACATCAACTGTGTGAATCGATCCATGAATTGTCGACTAGAATCGTAATTTATTTCCCCCTGTCGTTTTTTCCTCTCTTAGGCTCATTCTCTTCAGCTTAACACCTCACCATCATTTTCTGTAAAATTTCCCTTGATTCTCAAGAGGTATTCCAGAAAAACCTGAACTATCCTCTTTACGATGAATATGAAAATTTATTAATGGTAAAGACCTCATTAAATCGACAATTCATGATGCAATGCCATCGCATTTAATCGACGATATTCGCATTTTCGTGCTGTTTCAATTCTTTAAAATCGTTGTAACGGTTTTGTAACATCTCGAGAAACAACGAAGGAGTAAATAAATTGAGAGAAAATTGACAGACGCAGCTTGAGCGATGCTGTGAAGATAATACGTGTAGGAAACAATAGAACTGTAATCTAGCTACAGAATTTAACCATTATTGCCTAGACATTTTGGAATTCCGTGGTTGAATTTCCAAAATTATTTAAAACAAAATGTGAAAAATAGACAAATAAAACATTTGTGAATTTAGAAGGAGAAGTCATTCACGAACGGAATATGCAAAAAATATTATATTGGGACGTCAGTGCTAAATGCCAAATTCATTTGGTGCTGTTACTAGTCTGGAGCGTTTTACAGAGTTCCATCCAGTTGGCGAAATATTCACGAGTCCCTCAACAGCTCAACCCGTAGTATTCGTAATTTGTAACGTAAAACAAAGGCTCCCGCTCGATTTTTTTTTCTCATTTCCACGCCCTCAAAATTGTCATCGTAGCGATTCTGCAATTCTGTGAGTTTTCAAAATCGTTATGATTTGATTTCGTTCTCTTTCTGTGTGTACATTGAGGCGATGCATGATCGATGGTAAATCTATCGTTATGATGAATGAATGAGTGTGTGACATGTAATTTATATAAACCAATTTTAAGGAAATCGTAATAAAGAAAAGTCCCATGAAATTACTGCATTGTGTTTTCAATAGTTTTAGTAACAAACAAGGGAAAAAATTTAGAAATTCTTGGATGACATGAACATAATAAAAAAGTCTAATAATTGCATCATGTTTATTATTAATTTTATACATCATAATTCCATCAACTTTACCCTTTCAACAGATTCATAGACAAAAAACTATAGATACTCCACCCTCTTCTCTTCATTTCCAACTTCCCATTGTTCTGTGGTCGTATTGAAACCAGTAATATAATACACATGATCAATGACATCTTGATATTTTAACGAGCTTAATACAACCAATAAAATTCGGTGGCTTTACTTTCCGTCGTGTCCAATGCACAGTACAAAGGGAAGAGATTAAACAATATGAAAAAATTATCTTGACCACAATAGCTGCACCCGCATGACAGGCATTCAGAGACAAATTCAAGGGGAGAGAAGTGTGATGATCAGCTTCTAGTGTAAGATTATCCTCAATTTCAATTATTTTCTCAATATGAGAAAAATGATTTCTTCATTTCTTCTATATACTTTCCTCTTCGTTTTCTTTCAATCTCACTCGGATGATTGAGACGTAATCGTTAATTAACCGATTAACTCTCTCACTCAATTGAAACCCTTTCATTATCCTCTATTCCCTTCTACAGGAAAATGATCTAGCAGAGTATTGCTATCTATGGATTAATAAAAATGTCAATGCAAAAACGGAAATGATACATAGACAGTCGTTGGGGTATCAGTTATAATGAATTAAAAAGCTCTTGCCGCTCACTTTTGAGCTTATTCTTTCAACTAATTGAATAGCGAAGAATTTCCCACTCAGATTCAGAGATATTCCCTTTGAAATCTCGACGTGTTACTCTTTCCTCTTTGAGACTGAATAATTCTTCAATAAAATTCTTTGATTCCAGTTTGGAAAAGAAATATATTGCTATTGTTGAGGGGACAACTGTCTCACTGCTAAAATCACGTTATCACAGAATAGTCTGCTCTGGTTCGGACTTGTTGAGTAACTTTCATCACTTATTTTATGATGTATTATGTTATAAATTTTAATGGGCCACGAAGGAAGTACAATTACAAGAATATTTTACTCTCGAGTTGTGAATTTCTCTCGTGACATTTTTGTGATGTTAATGACTATAAAATAATACTAATTGATAAATGACGAGCACTTGTTTATCTACAGAATTAAATAGTACATACTGAAGCATATTTACAAGAATAAAAAATATTGAAACTGGAGTTGCTCAACAGGTCGAACACTTCGCTTGTTGAATTATTTAATTTACGGCTTGAAAGGGCTTTCCATTCTCCCTGTGTCATTATGGAAGGTGGACGGGCTTCAGTACGTACTGCGAAGAACATTATCTATGGTAAATGAGTATCACCGATTAACTTCAATTCGACTAATGGAACACGAATGAATTCAGTCGAGCCATCTCATATTGAATTGCACGTTTAGCGCTCTCCCGCCCACCAGGATCTTCCATACCTTTTTTTATGATAGAAAAGGAATTAATTCTTACATATGATAGAGCATAGTCAATTTGTACAACCATTATTGTTAAATTGAGGGTGGAATAATCCGTCATGTTTTCTTGAGACGCCCGACAATCCATTCGAGGCCTTGGTAGAGCCTGGAAAAACAGACACGGATTATTTTTTTAATTGTTGATTCTGTAATTCATAAATTCAATAAGCATTTCTCAAGTTCTCAAATAAAAATGAATCTGTAGCTCACCCTTCACCAGTGAGTGCACAACAACTCTGTATGTGCCACTGGTGTTTTTTGATAGATGTTAAATCAAGCTGCCTCGATATTTCAGCTGCACTCATGCTCCCCTTCAAATCTTGTTTATTGGCATAAACCAAGACATTAGCTTTGCTTAATTCCTCGTGATTCAGCATAGAGTAGAGCTCTTCCCTGATAACACTGAGTCTCTCCCTATCTGTGCTATCAATCACCATGATTATAAACTCAGTGTTGGTGTAATATGTAGACCAGGCAGCTCGTAAGCTCTGCTGTCCCCCCAAATCCCACATTATGAAATGAATGTTCTTCCACACAACTTCCTCCACATTCGAGCCAATTGTTGGCGACGTGTGGACTACTTCATTCATAAGGAATTGGTACAGGATCGTTGTCTTTCCCGCATTATCGAGACCCACCATTACAATCTTGTGCTCTGGAAATCCATCAGTTATTTCATTCTTATGTATTCCACGGTATTTTCTACATTTCATGTAATTCAGAAAATTTTTCACTGTTTTTTTTTCAGAGTGAAATGTAAAAAGGCCTTTACCAAAATTTCGCTCTCGCGTCCCATATTGAGATATTTCTCGGAATTTTATGTAAACTGTTCATTAAAACCGGAATTTGATTGTTTTTATCATCTCAAATATTAATTATCTGTCACCTCCTTGTAAAGGAATTGTGACCATTATTGAATAATAAATGTTTGTTGTCAATGGTAAACCCGACAAATGGTAACATTTTATTTATTTTTTATTGGTGTTGTATTTTTTCTCTTCGAATCTATCTCACATTCTCCAATCGGTGATATTTGATCGATCCACTCTAATGATAACATATTCCTATATCCTAAAACGCAATAACAACACGAGACTTTCACTCAAAGTGAAAGTCTCAATATCCCAAGAATTCAGAGTTCTCATAATAAATCGAATGCCCTCGCATGACAATTTCATATAAGTACGTGATTCGTGTACGTGAGATAATGAGTTTAAAGATAAAGTGTAAAGTACAATCCAATTATTCAGCTGGAAATATCGATTCCCCTTGACGTACAAAATCGCAGCTGATGAAATATACATTATTTGTTTTACGGCTCCGGAATTCGGGACACGATCGTGAAATATTTTGTAATAAAAATATGACTCACCTTCGTTGCCGAAGAGACTCCATAATTTGGCGAATAGAAGTCCCATTGCTGTTTTTTTTTTTGTATCTTGAGGAAGCTTTTGCTTAATTTGTATTCAAGTCTCGGTTGAATCACTGAAGATATTTTTTGTGTATGGAGTCAATCCAAAACTGTTATTCGTTGATAATCACGACAAGGTCGTGTTTTCCATAGATCTGGGAATATGTCATGTTGACCGGGGTTATGTTCGCAATGTCATTGATCTGCATTCCGCATTGTTGTTCCCACTTGTCAAGATCGTGGAACTCTATTTCGGAATTTCATAAACTTACTCGCGATAAAGTCACTCGAGATAATGAATTTCTTATTGGAGCTCGACAATGCTCGACAGCAGTCAACGATTTGCCTCAAGCAATTCTTTTTTATAGTGCTTATCCAGACCACAGCTGGCTTTTGGCGCTAATCAGATTGCCAACAACGGCAGGCAGTGGGGAACCAATAAACGGGCCATCATTTTCAAGCCAGAAACGCGCCAATTTTAAAATTAAAAGATCAAAAGTTTTATAATAAAAAACATTATGTTTTTTATTTCACACCTTCATCACTTTATTAATAAAGAAATAAATACAGCCGTTGAGAAAATTGATGGACAAAGAAAATGAAACAATGACTTCCCTGAATTGACAGGTCAAAACCTACAATTGATTATCAATAGTAATGGATAGAAAAAAAAAATTATGTACAAGGATTACAGCCCTGGCATGACATACGCGATGTTGTCGAGCATCTCGGCGAATATTTTAGGCCTGACGACATCCGTCTCTGGAATTTGCTGTGTGAGACACATGAGAGGACCTAGAGCACACAGAAGAGAGTCCAGAAGGACTGAGAGACTCCCAGAGACCGCTATCTGTCCGTCGTGCTCCTTTAGACGTTCCCCGATGATCGTTAGGGATTCTCCAAGAAGTTTTAGATGTGCTGCGACGTCTACAGGCTGTGTTCCAATAACTTTGTACATTCCAGTTCCAACCACCGGCTCGTTCACCAGATTCTTTGATGCTCTGGGGAAATGCGACGTTGGAACGATGTGCGAGGGCTTCTGCAAGCCTATATGGAGCTTCTTAGGAGGTGGGGGACCACTGATCTCTTTTCCATTACCTGCAAAAAAAAAATAACATTCCAGTAGCCAAGAAATTATCAATGAAAAATAGTTATTCCCATTTCACCGATTTGATTGATGAATTTCTTCTTTGGAGATGTAGGTGGGGTCTTCCAAACCGACTCGTCCCTCATCCTCTTCGCTCGTCGCCTCCAGTTGTACTTCTCAACATTAGGAACAGTAGACCATAGCTCTCCTAAGCGTTTGGAAATAGCAGCGAAATCTGCAGAACAAGCATTTGAACTATTTTCTTGTATCAATTTTTGGTTCTTAGTCAGATAAAATAGTTGGGATAACACTTACCCATGTAAGGGCATTTCTCAATCAATTCCTGACGAATTGCTTTTGACCAAAGCATGTACGCAGTGAATCTTGTTTTCTTAAAAAATTAAAGATGCCTTTGTCAGTTAATTTTTGGCCTACATTATAATCATCATGCGTGCAGTGTACAGTTTATCCTCTTGAATGAAGAAATAAAAGCCTATAAACTCACCCCTTTATCTTTTCTCTGAGCCTTGGTCCTGCCAATAATCTTGCCATCCTTGATGCACACCTTTTTCCTGCTCTTCTCCATCATGTACAGACTTTTGGCCTGTGAGGGTTGCTCCACCTCCAGCTTCATGAATCCTCCCATCTCCTTCTCATCAATGAGCAGAGGATCGACCTCCTCCTCGGAGGGAGACTCCATGGAGAAGCTGTCCTCATCATTTATAGTATCCTCAAACTCAGTCTCAGATGTCTCAGTGTCAGACACCTCGTGCTTAATCTTCAGGGGAGAATTCAGAACACCAGAATTCCTACCCCCTCTCTCTCCATTACCACCCATCACCTCCTCCTGGTAATGATCCTGAAAGTGCACTCGCAGGTGCGATTTTTTCTGTACTTTCTCTGCACTGTCCCCTGGTGATTCAAAGTCAACGAGTTTCGATGATTTTTTTCGCACTCTCCCACTCCTCGATATCCCAGTCACCTCCAGATCTACAAGGGTGCAGGATTAACTGTATTTCCCAGGTGATGACGTGGTAGTTGAGCAATTGAAATAATCAATTCAAACTCAATTCAATCAACAGCCATCCATCGATCTTTAGACGAAAAATTGTTGAAGATTCGGGGTTCTTGGGATTAAAAACAATTTTCGTTTTGGATTCCCGTGGGGAAAATAGTGTTGGAAATGTTTTTCGAATTGTCTACGACTCTCATTGGCGCTGGTGTGGGAAAAAGTCGGCGAAAATTCTCGGCTGGATTATTCCTTCGGAATTTTGGAATTTTGGAGGTTGGCGATTTGTGGGAGGGATGGGACAGTGGTGGAGGATTTTTTGAGCTCACCCTCGGTCTTCTGGAGTTTCGGAGATGAACGTGGGTCCATGGCGCCGGACAGCTGAGCTCCAGCCGTGCGTCGCTTTCAGGCACGTTGCGCGGGGTTATGAGTCGCAGACGTCACTATTTGAAAACTCAGTGACTATTTTTGGGAGAAATTGCCTGCGATGAGATTTTTCAGGTAACTCCAGGTCCCGGAGAAAATCCTTTTTGATCGTTCACTATTCCGGAGAAGTTTGTTACACTTGACACTTTGACACTTGTTTTGACACTTGTTTTTTCCGAAACATTGGGAGAACGAGATTTATTTTGTGATAAGACTAGAGATAAATCGAGAATGTGCAAATTTTGTGCACCGAATGCTGATTTTTCAGGTGAAAGAAAATATTGAACGGTGAGGGCTAGGAAAGTAGGAATAATTCTATTATTAAATAATGAATCGAGAATCAACATGAAGCCCTGTAAACGCGAAACCCCGTCGAAACACCGGAAAAGTGAAACAGAACCCAATAAAATGCACCTGGTAATACGTGAATGGTTTCCAAAAATTGTAAACTACCGGAAAACAAGATACGAACATGTATCCAATTAAATGATAATTCCCAAGCGGCTTGGGACCAGCTGAAAAATTGAATGGCATGTAAATTCCAGAAGCTCGGAACAAGCTCATCTGAATTAAAAATAAACGTCCTATTATGCAGATTCCCTTCCACTGGGAAAAATCCTGAATAACTCGCTATATAATGAAAATAGTCATTTTCTCCGAATTAACTAATCATGAATGCCAGATGGATTTTCAAATTGCCCTCGAAGTCATTACTGACCTGCACAACCCACAACGCCAGCTCGGAAATTTTATTAGCCGCTGTGCGCCAATGGGACAATTAATGGGACACTAATTAGAGACGACGATTTCAATAGCCCGGATTATTGTCCAAAAAATTCATATGCAGAATTTAGTCTAATAATCGGTAACGTTTCGAGAATATTATCCAACAATTTGTTAATCAGTGCAGTACAGTATAATTAATGTAATTTTAGAAAGTGCATTAATCAATAATTATAACATCTCAGATAGCTATTTAATCTGTAAAATTAAGCATAAAGTAAAAAATCCGAGCGACCAATTCGAGTGTGAAATGAAATAAATGTCGTAAATGTATTGTAATGCCAGAATGCCAACAATTGTCGTAAAAAGAGACTTTTTTTCACTTGTACTGTAATAAAGAATGTGAGTGCCGAATGAGTGGTGGAATAATTAAAGGACACCCGTTGTATAATGTACACAGCGGTAAGTGATCCAGGGAGTTTGAAGAGTAGGTAATATATATATGTATATGAATATATATAGGTAACGGTGGACTTGCGCGTGTCAGTTGCTTGCGCGCCAGTGCTCTATAGCCATCGGAATCATACGGTCGTGTCGCTCCGCTCCTCCACACAATTCGACATTTTTCCATTAACATTGTCCATCCCCCATCCTCCAATACCCTCGAAAAATTCATCAACTCTCCATTAATTCGGTGATTGTGCTCAGTGGAATGTATCGTAATGTTGATTAATTCAGTGAACGAGTCTATTGGACCACCAGGCAGGTGAGAAGCCGTTGATTTTCACGCATTTTGTCGAGGTTTTACATGATCCGGGACAGTGCAGCCTCACTTCTCACCATTCTTCAACTTGGAGGGGGGTAACTAGTGTCACGTGACCCCTATGTTTACCAAAATGGTGACCCAAGGAGCTCCGAGAATGATAGACCAATTATTTTTACCCCTGTCGCACTCCTGAATCATCTGTCCTCGGTCATCAATTCGCTGGGGGGTGATTCTGCTTCTGCAGAAGTGAAGCGTTTTTTTTTTGTTCGTGCCTTGTCGCACCTGACGTCAATTGTGGTGCACCTGAAGCACTGGAAAAATGAATTTCACTCGTTCCGATTGTTCCTTTTATCGTTTATGTGCGCGTCACGCACCGCTGACCTGAGAATTTCACCACGATATTATGTGAAAAGTGGTTTAATTGAAGAATATTTTGAATTTTTGAACATGTCGGAGGATTGTCTAGGGGACGGAGGATTTTTCTTCTGGGATTTTTGGAGGAGAGCAACTCTTCCCCATTTTTTCAGGATTTCTGACGTTTAGGTGTTATTTGTGGTTAGATATGATTTTTTTCAGGTATTTTCTCGTTTTTGGGAGGGCAAGGGTGAAATTTTCCTTTGGGAATTTTTGAATGACGGGTACAATGAATTTATTCATTGAAGAACTAATTAAATTCATTCAGATCAGTCCAGAACTTCGATTGAAATCCAAAGAAACGGATATTGAAAAAGGTAAAAATGAAGGGATATTTAACGATTGGTTCACCCAATTATAGATTTAATGGAGAGTCCAATATTTGATTGTCATTATAGTGGCATAAAAATTGTACATGCTCTCTCCTAAAATGTGTGTCAATATTTTTTTGATTCGTCATCGTTTCTTGACTATCTGATTATTCGATTTTTTTTGTTATCCTCATGATTCGGGGATTAAAGGGGACAAAAAGAGGTATGGGAAAGCTCAATTAGAGATCATTGGAAGTTTTTTCGGAGCAGACTTAACGGATTTACAATTTTTTGTTATTTGACTAACAGTTCTGGCGTGACGATCCAATCTATGATTGTTCAGATGTTGAATTCGTTCTCAATCTAGTTTAATTCTAATTGTAGATTTTTCGATATGAAATTTAATCGATTTCTTTCCAATTCAGATCAATTCATCAATTCATCAAGGGAAATTGATATCGTCTTATTATTTCACCTGTATCAATGAATCTCCGTTGACTCATTCATTGATTTTCTTCGTTCATTCTTTTGTCTCTAACTCTTTCAACCATTCCATTTCGGCCTATCTTCGGCGGAACTGAGAGTTTTACCTTTTTCTGGTGGTTAGCTATTAGTCAGCCAAAATTACCGTCGACTTGTCAATGCTATTTCTGTCATTGTTTTGTTTGGAAAGCTGATAATATTTCCTCATTGTTCTTGCTGAAATTACACCCCGATAAACGATTTTGGGAGGAAATGACAAGTGATATTTTCACTGTAATGACTCAAGTCGAATAATTAAGGAGTTTTATTACTTCTAGTAACTAAACTACCAGAAGTTTTACCTCGGGTTCTGTGTCCGGTTTAATTCAAAGTTTTATTTCAGCTCCACGTTTCTCTATTTCAATAATCTCCATCCGCTAATCGATCTCACTTGGAATTCAATCTTGAGTGTTTTCTAGTATTCACTTCTGAATTATTTTATTATTGATTGCTCAGGAGAAATGACAAAAGTGGAGAACGAGAGTAATGGCTAAAATGATAATTGCTTGGCGATGAGAAATTCCGACGACATTCAATGAATTATAGCCTAGAGCCATCGATTTCATTGAGTTCTCCTTGTTGAATTCCTCAAATGGCACACAAGAGATCCATTTCAGTTCAATTTGACACTGTAATCCTCACCATTTGTCTGTATTTTACATTCTGTTTGAACGTTGAACAAGTGTGTTATTACCAACACGTTGTTTTATGTCTTATCCAGACTTTAATTCGTTTCACATGGCATACTTCCTCTTGTTAATGTATTCTTACATGCACTCCAGATGACGTTCAGAAGCTTAAAAAATTACCGGAGGATTAGAAATATCCCGGGACGAGTGTAATTCGCTGAGGAATGTCTAGTCATTTCTCATGTAGGGCAGTGGAGAATTTTTCGCGACCCAGAGAGTGACCGTGGAGATGACATTAAATAATAATTCATGCGTTAGAAATGGGTTGGGGACGCGCCGGGATTTATGATGCTTTCATCTTTGATTGGAGGGCAAAGATCATGTCTTTATGAGCATCTGGGATTTACAGGTGGTGACCGGACTCCAGGAGGATCTTCGGGGTTAATTCGATATGTTTTATGTTTTGGAATTCAGGTAATTTATTTAAAACCTGTTCATGAAATTTCTACTCAGTAGTGGATTTGGTTTTATTGAAGCATGATTTTATTTCATCACTAAAACCTTTCAGTGTTGATATTAATCAATAATTCACAACACGACATATCGTCACAGCCAACACTTCATTGATTCTCCTTAGGTATTTATAAAGAAACGATGAAGAAAGGGGAGTTATTCCTACATTTATCAGTTTATTTTTACTCGACGGTGATTTAGATTGATTGAATATCCGTATCTTAAGAATAAAGAAAATTTAAAAAAATTCCTGTAAAAAAATGGTTTTTTAAACTTTTTTCACGATCCACCTCATCCTGAAAATATTCCCTAGAGAGCTTATTTTTTTTATATCATTATCACGACCTATTTATGAATCGTGTAATTGGCACTGGAATGAGTTTACTTCCAGAAGCCATTTTTGTATGATTACTTGAGTGGAATTTCTGCAATCACAATCTGAATCCACAACACACACAATTTATCAGTTCTCTGTTTACAGCAGATTAGTGATAAGAGCTGTAGAAAGTAATTACAAAAATTATCAACAGATTGGATCACAGATGATCTTGGATGCGCCCTAGGCAAATGGGACTGATGACAAGACGGAGGATCATCTAAATGCGTGACGATACAGTCGCATAGCAGAGTGGTGCCTCCCGGTGCCAATTTTTCCCTTGAAAATGGCCACTAATCAAGTTGATTATCAGTGGTAAGATATTTAAACGATATGTCGCCCTCACTTATTCTCAACTCCATTGATAAATCAATAGAAATCACAATGAATAAAAATGTGAGAGAACTTTTTTGTAGATTATTTCATGAGCAACAAAAAAGCTTTCACATTTTTCCTGACAGCTGCTCGTTAGAGGGATAATTGCATAATTAACAAGCCATCATGTACTTCTTATATTTTATCCCTGCAATTCAGAATTGCTGATATTGTCCCACTTCGATCTTACCTAGCACTGGGGTATTAATGAGCTTCAACAAATAATTTTATCGATTTCCTCAGGGCTTACTCCATTATGGATTCGTCCAGGGTCTCCACATTTCTCATCTCGATCCTGCTGATCGTTTATGGCAGCTTCAGATCATTGAATATGGAGCAGGAGGCCAGAGAGAGGGAGAAGGAGAAGGAGAGAGTGAATTTATTGAGTGGTATTGTCAGTGGTACTAACTCGGATAGTTCCAATGGTGGTATACAAACCCTGGACACAATGCATGCTCTCTGTTTACCTCTTGGAGCTTCCATATCTCTTCTCATCATGTTTTTCTTCTTCGATAGTATGCAGATGTTGTTTGCAATATGCACTGCGAGTAAGTGTATAGTTTTACTAGTAGTAATCATTACAGAAGTCGTAACACCATCATTCAATAATTGAGCAATACATTTAAAACCCAATATCAATTAACACGACTCGCTAACATCAAAATATTAATGATGCTCTTCATTATCCTTAACTGAATTCAAAGTACTTCAATGGTAATATCCACTAAGTCCTGTAGATAAAAATAATTTACGATGACTTTTCATGCCCAATTCTAGAGTGAAAAATTGAAAAGTTAATTTCAAAGATGAGATGAACATTTGAAAGGGTTTAGAATGAGGAGCTCGCTGAGAATAGTTGGAGCTGATTGATTATTATTTTTTTTACAGTTATAGCAACAGTGGCTCTGGCATTTCTTCTGTTACCCATGTGCCAGTACATAATACGACCGTGTTCAGACGGTAATAAAATATCGTTCGGTGTCTGTGGGAGATTTACAGGTGCTGAACTCCTGTCTTTCTCGTTGAGTGTCAGCATAGTATGCATATGGGTACTCACTGGACACTGGTTACTCATGGATGCAATGGGCATGGGGCTGTGTGTTGCATTCATTGCATTTGTTAGATTACCAAGCCTCAAGGTGTCGACATTGTTACTCACAGGATTACTTATTTACGACGTATTCTGGGTATTCTTCTCGTCGTACATATTCAGCACAAATGTTATGGTGAAGGTGGCGACAAGACCAGCCGACAATCCAGTGGGTCTGGTAGCCCGTCGACTGCATCTGGGGGGTGTAGCACGAGAGGCTCCAAAGCTCTCATTACCTGGGAAACTCGTATTTCCCTCGATGCACCAAGCTGGACACTTCTCAATGCTGGGTCTCGGTGATGTTGTCATGCCCGGATTACTCCTGTGCTTTGTCCTGCGTTATGATGCGTACAAAAAGACCCAGTTGATACCCGGTGGTTGTGAGACTGGTGTTCCACCACCTAGGCACCTCAGTCGCATTAGTTACTTCCATTGCTCACTCATCGGTTATTTTCTTGGTCTACTCACTGCCACTGTCAGCTCTGAGGTCTTTAAAGCAGCCCAGCCAGCCTTACTTTACCTCGTGCCGTTCACGCTTTTGCCGTTACTCACCATGGCGTATTTGAAGGTAATGTTTTTTTCGTCAATTTTCCAAAAGAACTATTTTATTTCTCGGAAATGTGTTAACCGTAACTGTAAATTCGATGATTCTGCATCTTGTTTGGTTGCTTTCTCTGTAGTGAGTGAGTGGAATTGTGTGAAAATAATATTTCCATTCCTTTTTAATGTCGTATTCCTTCAAAAATTCGATGAAAAATAGTCATTTATATCATTTTAGTATGAGAATGTTGAACGAGAACGTGGATGAATTGTTTTAATTTATTGTGTGGAACTTAACGACGAATAATTGGATATACTTTGTTATAGGGAGATTTACGCAGAATGTGGAGTGAACCATTCATAACTCACACACCCTCAAAACACATGGAAGTTTGACAGCCCCCCTGGAGCACCCATTAACTGGACAAATGTTTGAACAAAAAAATACGTGTGTATCGTCGTATCGCAAACCCTCTAATTTCCCATCGTTATCATTTCTACGTAAGTAATGCTTTTAACTCATTTCTCAGTTCGAGAAGTTCCTTTAGTTTCTTCACAGCAACAATATTTCATATTAAATCACACATTGAGTGTCTGCGTTATTAAAATGGCATCCTTTTATAAAGGATATTAAGAATTTCGTGTTTGTCGTTTGTACACTGAAAACATATGAGCAAATTTATGAGTATTTGAGAGATGATATTATGCACCGAATGAACAACTTAAAAACAAAATTCTCGGATTCTGTGGTAATTGGAGATTGATTGAAGAAATTACATTTTTCATTTTGGAGATATTTCTGTAGCTGATGGGTTTACAGTACTAAACAATACAAAAATGTCTTGCCATTTTTCTGTAAAATTCCTCAACATTGAAATGATCCCGTAAATAATCTCATATTTATTTCATTATCTATCGTTTCTAAACGTCAATTACTCTTGTAATTATCATTGTCCTTTAAACTCTGTCATTCCCTATAAGGTTTTCACTCACATCACCATTTACCACTTCTCTAGAATCAATCTGCGCGTTCGTGTTAAAGTGTTGACGAGTTCAATTAATTTATGATTATATAATTAACGCGTAGATAAAAAAAATATGAATTTAGCAATGGCCGTGAAAAATAAATTCAGATAATTCAATTATGACAAATTGAAAACGGAAATAATTCGTAAATTTATTTAAAGGATAGAGAAGGAAAAATCATTTTGAATTGTAAAAGAGAATAAATTATTTTTTATCGAGCATTATAATGCACAGATGCAAGGTTATCACTTGCAAACAGGAAATTACACCAGGAAATTAGGAAATAACTCGTACTGAAAATCGGTGATCGATTTTATCGATAAGCTGAAGATATCTCTTGAGGAAAAAATGAAGAAATCGATGCACATAAATCAGTTGCATTGCTGAAGCAATCGAGATTACATTGATGGATAAATCAGTGAGACACGCGTGCTGGTTGTGAATTTTCAGTAATATTAATGAGAGAGATTTAAAAGAGATCGATGATTGCATTTGTCGACAACAATTGTGTACATAAATATATTGAATAATAATTTTTATAAGAGCATAAGTAGCTCGGATTTCATTCGGGTTATTTTTAGTTTGAGGTGGGTTTTATTTTTTAGGCTTCAGAGAGATTCAGTGCTTGGATAATTCATTGAGTAGGGGCAGAACAGTTCAAGTCGATGCATCAGTGTTGTAGTAATCCTCATAATCGAAATAATTGATAGATTAATGTCTATTTAATGCAGGATTAAAGCTTGACTTGATCTGATCGATCTACGTAATGAATAAAATAACTATTTGAAAGGTGTTCAACAGATTTGGAAGAGAGGGAATCCCGGAAAGATTAATCGTATTTAATTCCACGATTTATCAGAGAATTTTTCTGTACGTAATAACGAATATTGTTTCGTTTTATTTAACTCGATCGCAGAACTGTTGATCATGATTCATTTTTTAGGAAGAAAAGATAAATAAATGGGTGCACGTCACGAACGGGTGATTTTTCAGAGGATTTCGCATTTTCGGTTCACTTTTTATAAAAAAAAATTCTCTTTCAATTCCACCAAGACTGATACCCAGGTAACGAGAACGTCATCAATTAGTTTCACCCCATTTTTCAGTAGATAAAGATAATAGATGGATGTCACGATATTTCTGAGGGAATTAGTTATTTCGTACTTTTACGGATAATTCCAACAAGACTGATAACCAGGATTGATCTTTTGCTATCGCTTGCAACAATCAATTTGAAATTAATTAACAACGCACATTAATGCGATAAATACTCTTCCAAATGAAATTAATCCAAGAATTCTCAAGATTTTGTTTCGCGAATATTTTGGAAAATTGTTGGATTTCAGGGGACTATGTCTGGTGAAATTTTTACAGAGAAGTTTGTGATGTACTAGAGGTCCTCGAAATTTTTTCATGAATGAAATGGCTTGAGAGATATTTCCTGAATAATGTAGAGTGGTTTTTGGATTAATTTAGAATCTCATTCCTGAATTGCTGCGGTAATTATGCAAATCAAGGGTTTCGATGCAAAGACTAATTTAGGTACCTCGTGTACTCGATGAATGCAGCAATTAACGGAGTAATAAATTGAATAGTCAACTCCCCCTTAAATCGTGACTGTCCGAGCCCGTTCGTGAACATTCGACCCGATTCATTATTCATTTGATTATTAAATTTTAGATTGAATTTTACGTTCTATTGAATTCGGTGATCAGTGTCGCATGTATCATCATTTATAGATACGAAAATGCATTAGCTCTCTTATGAAATAATTATCAATTGATTGGGTTATTCCATGTGATCTTAAAAATGAAGAAATTAGTAAAAACAATAGAGAAAATGCCCAAGAATTAATTTTAAAAATACCACTCACTTCCCACTTGATTATCCTACGAAAAGTCATTCGTTTGATTTGTAAATATTGCCGCGGGTTCTTGCGCATTGGAACGAAGAGGAAATTCAGTAAAAAAAAATTGTGCAATAAGTTGTAATGTTTCATTCAATTATTTATTATAATTTTAGTAAAAAAAAAAAATAGAACCACAGGCATGAATGGAGTTCCATGAATGGATTTTAAACCCCTCGCGATTTTCACTTCATTTTTTTCCACTGCAATTCATTTTTTACGAACAAAAAGGAAACCAGAAGCAACTGTATGTGTTATCTCTGACAAGACTAAAGAAGAGAACAAAAAATGGAAATTATTCTTTCACCGGGTTTGTCTTGGAATCGAGGGAGTGATAAACTGGAAATTGTGATTTTTGAGAGGTCTGAAATATAATAAAAAAAAAGTAGTGTAACTAGGGGAGATTGGAATTTATGATGGAGCTGTCGAACCTAACGTTTACTCGATCTCACCACAAACCCAAAAGAGAGATGACGTATAACTTAAAGAGTCTATACATTTAGTGAAAGACACTTACAATAGAAAAAAAGTGAACAACAGAAAACGAATAAGAATCAATAAGAAAAAAAATACCATTGCAGAAGGTACATCTTAAATATAATGTAATTATTAATTAAAATTAATAACATTAATTGATAATTCTAAGAGCACTCGCTTGTACTGTTGCAACTTCTTGCATGTGTACAGCCATGTACATTTTTTTATATAAAAAAATCGATAAAGATTGGAAATAAAACTGTTTCACGTACCAGCGTGACACGTTTAGTTGAGAATTATTGTTTTTTTTAATACCCCATGTGAAAAAGTTGGAAATAGCAACGATTTAAGGAAAGCGCTCGGTAAAAAATATGGAAAATTACTCTCACAATTCCTATATAAATTGAGGAATTTAGCGATTCTCATTGGAATCGAATCAAAACCTACATTATTTACCAGTTTAATTTGTAGGAAATTCATACCGCACTTTGCCCTACTGTCGCTTTATCCAACTTCTTTTTTATCCTCTCCAATTCCTCCATGTCCTCCACTGACGCCTCGCACTTATAAACGACGAGTGAGTGATAAAAATGAACGGCAAATGCAACGAATACAATTAACACTGGAATAACGATGATCGTGCTGGTCATGGCAGCCATGAATGAGTAGTCCCAGAATTTTACCCAACAGAGGATGGCCACTTCCACGAGGAAGAGAAAGAGTCCAAGAACTGTGGAAAATGCCCAAGCGAGTTCTATAAAACCTCGCATTCGTTCATGGGGGGACTCTGTTATCAATTTTGACACCTGGAGTTTACTAATTGCCTCGACATTTGGCAGTAAATACGTGCTTATCATTAGGGCGAATATGTGAACTGAGACGAGAACTGTTGTGCACACAGCGAACATCACGAACAGCCACTCGGGAACTGCTGTTCCCTCGTTTATCTGGAGCTCCACCATTGCTACCTGAAATCAGGAGTAATCCTTACTTTTCCTGTATTTTTCAGATAAAAATACTTGAAAAGTTCCCCTGGGTCTTCAGTGAGACACGTAGGTAAATTATGTAGTGAATGGTGCACTGCCCAAATCCTCTTCAAACGGAATATTTTCAATGAAAAGTAAAAATATAATTTACTAGCCGCGCACGACTCAGACATCCATAATTCGACACTAATCATTATCCAAACAATTCACCATCTCCATTTATATCGCGTCATTGATATTTCCATTGCCGCCAAGAAAAGTTCCGCTCATCACACTCGTCTGAATTATTTGTCCTTATATAATTGCTGATAGACACTGCGATTAGCAAACAATTGTCCTCGACTTTGATATAATTGTATTTGTCTCATATTTCCCCAGAAAAAAACACGTGCGATTATTTCAAAATTTAATCTCTCTTGAATTCCTCTTCTGCAGTAAATTACGGATGATTGTAATCAAAACTTATAGCTCTGTTACGACGTCACCTCGATATTTGCCTTTTCCACAGCAATAATTTCATAATGACACGGTGATTGCACAAATAACATAAATTCTGGAATTTATTTCTGGTCATTTCAGCAATTCAAGGTATCATAATTATCCACTTCAATCATTTTTACTGCAGTGCAGAAAAAGTATGCTGAGATTACGTATTACTTTTACTTGCCGATTGTTATTATCAATTGGGGAAAAAATTGGACCATGTCTGACAGATTTTCCTGAATAATGTTCGCGGTTTTTTTTATGGGAACAATAATGAGGAATAATCTTCGGAGATAGTTTGAAAAACAATTCAGACGCGAAGTGATAACGTGAGATAAGTCGAATTTTACAGTCCTGTTAAACACCAATTAAATTTCGAAAACGATAGTTAACGTCCGTTACCGAAACAAAATTAATAATAAAAAATCTATTTTCTGGCAAGCGCACCGAATTAGTTATGAAATTTTCAGGATCATAAAAGATAATTCAATAACTACCATAGCGAATCCACTGAGTAATTCCGAGGTAGTGGCAGTGGCCTTGAGTTTAGCTCTGCTCATGTGTAATCTTCTCCAGCTGAGGCCCTGGGGTCCATCATGCTCATTAACAGGTGGTCCCTCCCCCTTGGGTTTTCCACTGCAATTGCAGCAGCAATTGCACGGGGAATTGCCACCTGACAAATTGCTGCCGGAATAAGGGCTATAAGGAGGGCTCGGCACAGATTTAACATCAATAGCCACAAATTTTGGAGCAGGTCGTCTCGTCGACAGGGCAACTTCACTCTGCGATGTGTGCAGAGGAGTCCTGGAAGTGCTGCCTATGGAAGGATTTGAACTAAACATCTGATTGGCCTTCGGTGTCAATCCAGCACTTAGGGGTCTGGTTCTGGGCACTCCCCCAGGCCCATACCTCCAGTTGTACTGGGAAAAATCGATTTGCGTTGATTTATGCGATCTGGGGCCATTGATCTCCGATATGCTGGTGACGCTGTCCTGTCTCGATTTGTTCTCTTCGAATTCGGGGGCATTGCTCAAAGGCATTGGGGAAGTGCTCAAGGAGTGCATCTGCTCGTGGTTTATTAAGTCGTTCGACATCTCCAGCGATTTATTTATTTATTTATGTTTATTTGTCGATTGTATATTATTGGCTGACATTTATGTTTATTGATTTTCAGAATAATTGAAGAATAAACTGTCAACCCGATGAATCTCTCTTCTTCAATAAAACAGAAAAACCTCCACAACTTGAAATCGACTTGAGTAACGAAATTTAAACAGAAGGAATGATTAACGTTATCACTATATCCACAGTATCGCCGGTTTATAGCTCGATCTTTTAAAAATCCTCCGTATTAATATCCCTGAGATCTCAGAGGCATTATTATTGGTCTTAATTTACCGTTACATTTGGATCATGTAAACGATAATAAATGGCTCAAGGGCTGAGCGATTTGATAAGATTTCAGATACCGTTAAAAGTCTCCATATCGTCACAACAGCTATCATTTGACACTGAAGTCGATCGAGGGCATTGATTAACGATCCGAAAGACTCTTTCCGATCACCTCCGGCACCGATCGATGATCGAATGAAAAATGATTTGATCATTCACAAATATTTCTCGATGTAGGAAAACAATATGTTCACTCCTGGAAAGCCCCGGCATCTGAACAATCGAGGAAAAGACACTTAACTCTCAACAACTCTCTCACGTTGATCATTCTGTCACTACTAGTGCATTATTCATAAATGATTCATAATCACATTAATCCCCATCTGCGAATCCTTCAGATTTATTTGTCAGTAAACATACAATGTCCGTGATCCTGACATTTTCTTGTAATACCCACAAATCCACCGTTACATAAAATGTAGATTGTTCAATTACTCATTTGAAAATTTCGGGCCGCAATTGTTGAGGGAATTCACGTGCTCCAGCGTGATTACGCGCACTCCACATCATTCAGGTATTTTCAACATGATCTCCACGATTTAACGAAGAAAATTAAACTTCACGAGAAATCCTTCTTCTTCCACGATATGAATTCAACGAAATGATGAGGTGAGTTTTTTTATTTCTTTCTTCAACAAGTGGTGATAAATGCCGAGGGTATTGTGAGAAGGTTTCAAGAAATGATGCTTCTAATTTTCGACGGGTGTAGAAACCAATTGGAAACTTGTGGGGGGAATAATATTTAGTGTTTATTGAAGATAGAGTTTGTAAAGATAACTGAAGAGTTATCATGCAGCAATGAGAGGTGACTGCCGGCAACTGAATACGAAACATGCAATAGCAGTAGTGGGACGCGTGCTATCCCCTACCTTCAGCAAAAAACAAGAAGAAATATCATAACAATAGTATTAATTGCCTTGTGGCCATATCGGCATAATAACTGGCTTTGGAGGCAGACGGTTGGCCTCTGAATGATGTTGGTGCATGTGGAAATCGTTCGACATCGATGACGATTTTATTGAATATTCTCTGTCAGTGGTAAATAACCACGATTCCAGTGAAAAATTCCCCCATTCTTTGATTTCAAACGAAATGTTGAGAATCAAGCGTACGATTTTATTTTTTATGAGTACATTCACACAAAATTATCGTGCCTCGAATGAGAGAAGGGGAATTACCGGAATCTTTCTGTTGATCCGGTTATTGAATTAAGAAATCCCCAATTTCGAAATCGCGGAGGTGGGCGTTGGAGGTGGGGGACCGAATTCTAGGACACGAAGTTTAGGGTCTTCTGATAAATAACACGTCTTAACTTTTTGAGTCCCTTTTTATGTCATGGCCGATTAATCATTCTAGGAATTTCATAAGTTCGTATTTTTTTATAGTTTTCTTGTAGAATTTTTGAATGATATTAATTGAGAAACGGAGGGATTTCCTCGATGAGGAATTCCGTGGAATTCGAGAAACTGCAAGTAACGATAATTACGGAAATGATTTCTCATTTTGATATTTTGGCGTGCAAATGATTTACATGGGAAAAACTTAGCGCGGCATTTGCTCGGGGAAGTTGCAGGGAAATTTCAAGAAATAATTTATTTCTTTGAAGAAGGAGGAAAAATAGATGGGAACATCGTCTTCAGGACCACTCCATTCAGCGATATTAGCAATTCTACTCAGACCTCGTTCGCAGAAAATTCTTTTGAGTGTTGAAAATACATCGAATGCAACCTAGTCTTGGGAATAGAATTATCGACAATTATGTAAATTTTTTTGTAACGAAGAAATACTTCTCAGGAATTCGATCATTGACTTTGAGACTTATTAACAAAATAATTATGTTTTTATTATAGAAAATCATTCTGTCAATTTTTTTTGCCCGTATGATTTTTTTCCGATAGCAAGAATTTATTTCTATCTGCATATGATTTCTCTGAAGCGTCTAAAAACCTCTGTATTCTCATCCAAATGAGGACAAGCCTTCCATACCGCACAATACTGCATTTGCACGATAAGGAAAATGAGAGATCGGGGTAATTTCGCATTTGTGGGATAAACACTATGTCATTGACGAGTATTATTAATGGTCGATGAGTATTTGATGACGATGCTGGCAACAATGTTAATAATTTAAGTCAGGTACCCGCAACATCTAATCCCATGTCCCTGCAAGTGAAAACAAGTGTTTTTATGATTCCATTGAAGATGCTATCTATCTGGTTCTAGGAATTGTTTTTCCACTAAACTCTTTCTTACCATATTCGACACTCATTACTTCCCAATAAAGAGAATTGCAAGAAATTTTTCATAAAAATGTACCAATGTTATATGATCCTTGGTATACGGGTTTCGTGACGACAATTATATGTGTGACATCGAACATTCGTGCGGTCTAGACGATTCCCGTGAATCAATGAACTTATTATTTCGATAATTTATGCATTCAATTCTGCGAGCCTCCCAGGAAAATGAAATATATAGGTGGAATTTTGAAAAATATAAAATTCAGAGGAATATTGTCCCATGCTATCCACGCAATATTGATTTCTGCTTTTATAGAAACAATAGGGAGAAAATAAAATAAGTACTGATATAGTTGACAGTATTACGGTATAAGTGAAAAATCTCAAAGCCAAATTGAAAATCCCCGATTAGTGGCGGGAACAGGGAGCCAATGGTACTTGTCCCCAATCTGACGAACGTGTCTATTTCAAAATGGCGGTACGCAATGGGTTATGTGTACGTGTCTAGATCAGTCGTTCCTCCAACGAAGTAAATAGTGTTTCGCATGCACTCGTATGCTCCAAAAAAAGTGCTAACAGACCCCCAAAAACAATTCCCACACCCCCACGGGTCGTTCATTAAATTTCACCGTTATTTTATCCCGTGAGTTGAGTGTTCCCCTAAAAAATCCTAACATGGGCGATTCAAAGCCCCAGCACGGCGCCCAGGAGATGAGGGGTTGGCTCTTCAAGTGGACTAATTACTTGAAAGGATACCAACGACGATGGTTCGTCCTGTCAAATGGCCTCCTGTCATACTACAGGTACAAAGCTCCATTGCGAATGAATTAACACTCAGCAATGACGTCTACATTCTCTCGTGACGTTTAATAATTTATGCGTCATTCAGAAACGTTGGAAAATAATTAATATCCAGTGTTCCACCTGCATTTTCGTCATGTGTTTCACAACCCTTCTCCAATTATTTCAATGCGCAATGATCTCGTACTCGTTGGGTAGTTTTTTTTTCATCGCGAGGACCAATCTCTGTCCCTGTGTACATTAACACATACTTGGCTCTGCTTTGCGTGCCTCAAAATTCTGATCACTGTGGTTAGTTGGAATAGAAAATGCTGACGAACGTTGGCAGTGATATTGAGTTAAAACAGAAGGATCTGATGGAATACAAGAGCTTGTCTGTTGTCTATTATGCTCGAGTTTTCATAGTTGATTTGTGTGAAGTTGACGGTCTGCGGTGTTTTGCGAATATCTTTGCAGGGGGAAAGGTCAGGGGAGGCTTTCTACTGTCACCTAGGAAATTTTGGGGGGGAGGAGCTCATTGAGAAATCTCTAAGAGCAACCAGTTAAACGTCAAATCACCTATACACTCAATGTTTTAAATACTTGTCGGCACTTGGAGATATACACGCACTGCTTATAATCAATACTTGACTGAATCCTGATTTTTGTCACAAAAGAAAATAATCATCAACGCCATGAATTGCAGAAATTCATTACGAGGCCTTGGAATTGAAGAAAGATCGAAATGTGGTTTAAAGATTTGTCATGAATAATCTTTAAAATATTTTTAGATGAACCAAATAGTTTCGGGGATATTCGCAAAACAATGTGGAACATTTTGGACGAGTTTCACTTCACATTTGACTCCTGATTGTTTATCTCGTCTGACAACACATTCAGGGACTCGGGCTGCTTTATTCATCGGTGGATTAACATCCTTTTGAGGCCTGATAAACACCCGAAAAAGATCCTACACCCCCTTAACCCTGTCGTCCCACAGAACGACGAAAAAAGAAATTAACCATTGTAACTAATTCCTAACAACAAAAAGAAAACGTTTTTTCCAATTATTATCGTAATAACACTCCCAGTATTTTCCCACGTGATAAACGTGATTCCAACGATGAGAATTCATAAAAAATAATGTTTAAAACAAAATGATGAGAACCAACGGTAGATTAAAAAAAGAAAAATCTAAAATTATTATTGAAAAACCACCAAATGCACAATTGTTTTGTGGACTGTTTAGGGCTGAACCAACGGGGGGGCCAAAGATATCGACGCGACGCAAGCGGAGGTCTGGCAGAGCCTCCGAGTAAGTAAAAAAGAGAAAAAAAAAATTCGCAGCTGACCATTTGAAAACAAAACGTTACGAGATTGTCATTAAACTGTTTATTGCCCAATTGGACAAATTTATTGACCAACACGGTAATGACAGGTCTTTCCATGAATTTTATTTCTCATTGATCATTTTTATCATTCAACGAGTTCCCGCGGCAGTTGTTGGAAGCATTTTTTCGATAGTTTGATTTTTAGATCACACGGTTGTCAAAAGAATGAGAGCTACTACCATTTCAGAACATGTAAAAATCGCATCTGTGAGAACTCAATTTCTGGCCAACAAAAGGTCCTGACGAGTAATTTGGCACTTAGAAGAACTCACGTCACAATTGCATAATCTTCATATCGATACTTTGCATAGACTGAATAATTCGGTGCTCAGAGATATTTCCATCTGCCGATTATATTCACTGATACGATTCGAGATCAAATCAGAACCAATCGAGCATTTCCTATCGCCCCGGTGATTACTCGGAAACGGCAAACACGTGCAACAAGTCTCATTTATCAAGAATGCACTTTGTTGGCAGTGAAAAAATTAACGAACATTTTTTTCTCGATTAGTCGTTAATTATTGAGATAATTATCAATTCTTTAGCGAAGTGAAACGCTTATAATCACTCAGGATTGATCTTTCTTATCATTTGTTCGTGTTTATTGGTCATTTAAATGCTGACCCCGATGGTTTATTTGCAAAGTAAGCTGTATGCAATAACTAAAAGTGACTATTTCAATGTTTCACCACTTCCCTATTGAATCAAGTGGTAATTATTGATTTCTGCATGATAAAAGCACTCTCACGTCATCGCCCACTGCCCTTTTCATCACTCACCAAATCAATTCACTAGCGAATTGGTAGAATTTGACTTCACGCTTCACTTCATTTTTTCAACACGTCGCTACTGGATTAGAATCATTCAATCAAAATATTATTTATAATTTACTTATTTTCAATTATTCACGCTAAACTTCATTCTAAGACTAATGTCAAGCCAAGAAATTCGATTCTGGTGTCTGGTGTGTGAGGATATATCAATATCGTCTTGATATCGGTGTATCCAATATCAATAGATCAAGCGTAATCGAGTTGCACCGAGAAACTCGTGTGTTTTTAATAAATTCTTCAGAAATCCAGCTGAAATGGCTCACACGTGCAGAGGTGCTATTTCACTACATGGTGCCTTAATTCACACCGTCGATGCGTGCACCTTCGTCGTCAGTAATGGAGGTACACAAACATTTCATATCAAGGCAGCCACCGAGGTCGAACGTCAGCAGTGGGTCACTGCACTGGAACTCGCTAAGGCTAAAGCCATACAGGCCATGGAGTCAGGTTTGCATTGAATTATTATTCACACTATTACCCTTTTTCGTCTGCATCCTAGGAATTACCTATAGCAGGGTACAGAGGTTTTGAAAGAAAAGTTACATTACTCTGCACTAGCCCGACAAAAAAAAAGTTGATAATTTCGCTGCTGAATTTATTTCTGAATCGCTATATTTTTACTTCATACGGTTTTTTATTCAGGGTTTTCGATGGCAGAGATATTGAGAATGATTTATTCATGTCGAATTAATTGAATTATTCAGTGAAAACTATTAATTAACGCTGCCATGTCATGTTTGCGCGTTTTATCCTAAATCACGACTGGTTGCACGTACACTCATTTCTCTACCCAATTACCCCTTATTAATTATGAACACTGATTGATTTGTAAATCAGGAACCATTGGAAAAATAACGCTTTAGTCCAATCTTGTGTTCCATTTACTTGTTAAATCGAAACGAAAATGTGAGTAAATTTGATTGAACAAATGGAATTGCTTGAGCGAGCGAGAATTATAGTGGGATAACTCCAAAAAATCGCACTCCACGAATTTCTTAGTTTCTCTTTCCGTACGCTGGTACTAGAATTTTTTTGAGAAATTTTTATCTGCCAGATGATGTGTGAGCCACACTCCATGCGAGGATCGCTTTGTTTCAGAAGAAGAGGAGGAGGAGTACCAAGACAGCGACAATCAGAAAGGGGAGCATGCCTCGATAACTAAGGATCTCACTCAAAGACTCGAGGATCTTCAGAGTTGCTACGATTTGATATCCAAAAGAGGCTTGATGCTCACTCGTTCACTCATGGATCTGGAGTCTCTGGAGCCTAATAATCCAGAAGCCATGATGACTAAAATAAAAACCGTCAGCGAGAGGGCTACACTTTTCCGCATTGCAGCTAACGCCATGATTAATGTGAGTTAATCATGCAAATAATTTCAATGCCAATGAACAGATTCGCGCCTTGATTTGAGTATTTTTGGCAATATAGGAGAAGAAACATTGAAATATTTGTGAAAGCTTCAATCAGTGTAATGGGTATTTTTAAAATTGCAGAGGAGTAATGATTTTCTTCAATCGGCTCAACAACAAGAGCCCAAATGGGAGAAGCTTCTCCAGCACGAGAGAGACCAGAAAGTAAGGATTGAAAAAATGGTGGAACAATTGGCGAGACAGCACTCCCACCTGGAAGAGGCAGCCCAACACGCCCTTCCAGCTGCCCTCTCAACGGGAAGTCATCGATCCTCACGTAATTACTCCTCTTATCACAACATCTATGCTTACTTCATTGAGAAATTAAGATTATCTATGAAAGTTTCATGTCGACGAAACTTTAATAAAAACAGCACTGGAACGTTTGAATTGATTTCGTTTGGTTTCGTGTGCTCCAATTATTTCCAATGTCTCCAATAAAAAAAATCACTGGAGATGGCGTTAAGGGTTCCTTCCCGCTTATCGCCATGTTAATATCACACTCGTGTGTTCGATCATGCATAAATGCACTACACAATCTCAAGAAAACCGCCTTGTGATCACTCGAGTTTGGCACTCGTCCATTGACCAGACTACTGACAGCTCTGTCAATCCATTAGTGCCATTCCCTCCCATTTGCTCAAATTCTCAGTAAAATGTACCTTTGAATTTCGATGAATTGACCTAGTGCGAATGAAATCAGCGGGTGGTGAAAAAAAAATCACGAGTGAAATTAGAATAGTCCCGAGTGGAAAGTGACAGTTGCGAGGGGAAACGACACAAATCAGAGTTCGGAGCAGTTGATTAATCAACAGCTCGCACAGGTTTTATCTCTTTTTTTTTCTTGCACTTCTCATTATATCATGAGGCGATTGGATGCATGATTGCGACATTGACATGCCTAAGAGGTGATGGCAAAGGTGGATTTTAACAAGCCAATTATTGTCTATTGCAGACGTTCGGTTCAGTCGTTTTTAAATGCTCCGACGTGTTAAAGACGTCTGTAAGCTTGGGATAATCGTGATGAGGGGTTACAACATTACTCGAGGTTTAGGGACATCGAGGAAATTATTCGGGGATTTTTAATTATCGGGGTACTTTTTTTATTCTAAAAATATCCACGTGGTGAAGCCGTAAAGTGGTATTTGTCGGGGAAACATTGTAGGAAATAGAAATTTTAGAGCTTATTTTAGGAAATTATTTAGCCTTCGACTATGGGTGATTTTGAAATTAATTACCAGAAGAGGATTTTTAAGGGAAGCATTTTATAAAAATGTCTGGAATTTTAATTTGTTCCCAGCAGAGTTAACAGACACAATTTGTCAACACATTTATCGAACGAAATACAATTCATTGCGAAATGATAACAAAGTTTCTCGAGTTTCCTGATAAATTCGTCGTTTTAACATCCGCGTGTCATTATTCATCCGCATCTTTTAGTATTTCCTGATCCATAAAAATTCTGTTATTATTCCAACTCGGAGTATTTTTCGTTAGTAAAAGTTGTTGAATATAGGCAACTTCTACCCCACACAGGTGATCAGAATGATTTCCTCATTAATTTGTTTTGTTTTCCATTACTTGTTTGTAAAATGGCAGATGCTGTAACCAGCAATCCACAGTCTGAGGACGAGGACAATGTGGAGTTTTACGATGCCCAGGAGTCAGACACATTTACATTGAACATACCTAGTGGAACAACGGGCAACTCGATATCGAGAACGAGAAATAGAAACGATTCACAGGGTAGTGATGATGGATCAAGCTCAGAAGGAGATCCAGCACCAATGTCAACGAACGATACGTCCGATTCATTCCTTATTGTGACTGACTCAACTGCAGTTGCACAAACATCGAGAAGTAGAGAAATTGATAATGTTAACAATGGGAGTACCAGTGCTGGGGTAACACCCTCAGGAAAGCGTAAGCGTCGAACAAGGGTTCCAGATAAACCCAACTATCCTCTGAATTTATGGAGCATAATGAAAAATTGCATTGGCAAAGAATTGTCAAAAATTCCGATGCCAGTGAATTTCTCCGAGCCATTGAGTATGCTCCAACGTCTCACCGAAGATTATGAGTACGCAAATATCCTAGACAAGGCTGAACAGTGCACAGACAGCTGTGAACAAATGGCGTACATTGCTGCATTCACTGTCTCAACTTATTCGACAACAGCAGCACGAACTGGAAAACCGTTCAATCCACTTCTGGGGGAGACTTACGAGTGTGATAGAACCGAGGATTTGGGGTGGAAGGCAATTTCTGAACAAGTCTCACACCATCCACCCATGTTGGCGCAATTTTGCGAGGGAAAAACGTGGAAGTGCTGGCAAGAGTTTACAATGGCTTCCAAATTTCGTGGGAAATATCTGCAGGTAATTGGACAATTTTGTACTGACGGGTCAATGATATTAATGAAATGCCATTTTTTTGTTTTAGGTGATTCCTCTGGGTACAGTACACTTAGAATTCAACACGAATAAAAATCATTACACATGGCGTAAAGTAACAACTACTGTGCACAATATAATAGTAGGAAAATTATGGGTCGACCAGAGTGGTGATACGGACATAATAAATCACAGTGATGGTACAAAGTGTCATCTCAAGTACATTCCATACTCTTATTTCTCACGTGACAGTCAACGTAAGGTCAAGGGTGTCGTTATGAATGCCAATAAAGAGGTCAAGTGGGTTGTACAGGGTACATGGGACTCGAAAATTGAAATAGCACCTGTTATTAGTACTTCTGGCAGCCCAGACAATCCGGTCTTTAAGACTGGACCTTACACTCTGGCCTGGAAGCGTCGAATGCCACCGTAAGTCCATTGCCCTCTCCCAATTGATTTTCGTCATTTATGTAACTGACTAATTGCGCCGTAATTAATATGAATAATTTCACCAGAGGGAGATTCAATCAGAATTATTCAAATATTTATTATTTTTATATTATTATTTAAATGATATCTATTTTCTGTTTGCAGTGCGGATTCTGATAAATACTACAATTTTACCGAGTTGGCATGTCAGTTGAATGAACCTGAGGAGGGAGTGGCTCCGACTGATTCGAGGTTGAGACCCGATCAGAAGTTAATGGAGAATGGACTCTGGGATGAAGCTAATGCTGTGAAATTGCACCTCGAAGAGAAACAGAGAATCGTGAGACGCGCTCGAGAGGCCGAGGCTGAAAAATCAGCTGCTGAGGGCAAACCATACACTCCCTATGAAGCGGTCTGGTTCAAGAAAGAACAGGACAAGTATACAGATAGTGTCTGTCATAACTACAACGGTGAATACTGGGACTGCAAGAGCAGGGGTGACTGGAGCAGATGTCCCCAGATATTCTAGGTTTCTCAATTCTCTTTGGACTTCAATATCGATTAGACAAACAACATCGCGATACCGTGAAATCGTGTTTTTCCTTCGAGTCGTTCTTACTTTTTCATTGCCCCATTGATTCCATTTTGTATTCTTTCAAAAATTCCGGAGAGTTTAATTTCATACAGGCGAATTATTGTTCAATAATAGGGAAGTGGTGAATCGTAATTATTTGAATTTTCATGGAATATGTGATTATCTCGGTGACGTTAGACTTTAGAGAGAGTCTGAGGAATTTTTTTGTAGCTGATAAAATTAGCAATAAAAAATTTTCGACGTTCCGTCTTGAAAATAATTAATTACGTTTTACCCTTCTGCTATTTTGTGTGAATTAAAAATCATATTTTTAGTACTCCGTGGATTTTTTAATCGCATCCAATGAACAAGCGTTCGCTGACGGGCTAAGGGCGAATCGGGGAGGCTATAAAAATGGCAAACTGACGAAAACACCGAGAGCTTCCAAGTAACCAATTCAGAAGCTTAATAAGCGGAACGAAAAGCTGGAGAAGACGAAACCAAATTGAAATTTATTTTTATGGGTTTTCATGATTTTTCTTGACACAGTTCATTCATTAATCCGCACACTATCAAGATCTGAAGCGACAAATTTGCGCGAATTGATGGAGCAGACGAGCATGAAGTGAAAAAATTTATCTCCTCTTGTTCGTTAAGAAGTAATAAGGAAATCATGAGGGGGATTAAAAGTTTATTAAATAGTTTTGAGACCGGTATGTGTTTCAAACGAGTCCCAGGCTGTACTATAATTTAAATAGTCAAAGTAATCAATGAAAAGATGATATATTATATCTGTAAACAAACAAATATAAATACAAATTTAATTATTAATGAAATTAATAAAATTTAATAATTGATAAAGGAATGGTTATTATTGATGAAAATGTTGAAGGAAAAATGATCGATTTATGAGACTCTAAGGTTCATCTGTATTGGGGCGGTTAACGTGCTTTGTAGATTACAAATTTTTTGTATTAATGCTCGCAGATGACAGTTACTTCATAATTGATTGACTCTGAGGCAAAGAGGTGAGAGGATCATCCTAAAAAAATTTCAAGAAAGTAAAGACTATCCTCTACTTTACTGCATCGATTAAAATTATTTTCATGCACAATTGATAGTATCGATGAAAAAATTGTTAAGAATCGCTGACTAAATTTTGCTTCCGACACTTTTCAATCGCTTAATGATGAGTTTGTTGTCAAAGTGCCTATGGTTTGTTCGTTTGCTGAAACTTGTATAGTAGAATGTAGGAAAACACAAGTAATTGAGTATGCAAATAAGGAAGTGACAGATTAATTGGGTTTAACGCCGAGTCACTTTATGTTGTTTCTACCAACGTAAATGATGTGTTAATTATTAATTAATTGACGAATTAATTAATGGAGTGGTGCGAGTGTGCAGTGAACGTGAGAGAATTGTACATTTTATATAAAGTATTTAACGATTAAAGCAGATTATAACAACGAGTTCATTACGATTTTTCTTCACCTACTCTTATCTTTATCCTAATCGAATTTTCAATTTGGAATTTTCGAGAAATTTCTGCGAACCCCAGGAAATCGGATCAGAGACAAGCATCAGGTTCCCTTCTATTTCGTTACTGAATTATCCTATGTGGACAGTCAATGAAATATTTTCTCAATCCCGAGATTTCAAAGGAAAACTGAAAAACCGCTGAAAATCGCGCGCTTACGCCCTCCAATCAGCTGTCAATCCTTTCTCTCCCCTCACCCCACCAATCGGTGAAACCCCGAATGCGCCTGCTTCCCAGGTCATTTTTCCAGCCCAATTCGCCTCGGAATTCGCCTGTCTGTAAGAATCTTCCAGCTAAAAGCCCCGAGGTGTGCCTCCCAAAAATTCCCGAAGCCCTCCCTGGAAAAGTCTATCATTCCATCATCTCCTCATAATCAAAAAGCCCCACATCATCGACGCAATCATAAAATCGGCAGGTGTGTTCTCATGACGTCATGAATCCCGACGCGCAGTAATACACGTTCAAGTGCTCAAGCAAGTTGCTCGATACCCTCCCCAATCCTCTCCATGGCTGGTACAGTCACGTCTAAAAATTAAATCACATTTCCATCCGAATCCATCGCTTTCCGCACCATCGAGAGAACTGATCCAACCAAGATTCAAAATGAGATCAACCTGAGACCGGAGGTGTCAATTTCTCGGCAAATTATTGAAATGTTCCCGGACTAGATATCAAATGAAAAGTCGCATCGAATGTACTTATCTAGTTGAGTACTTGATGTATTTTGATGATGTGAGTGAATTTTGGCGGGCGAGGCGAAACTGAATTCGAACGGAAAATTCATGAAACTTTCGGACCTGAGTATACGAGCCCTCTCCATTCCGCCGGGAAGGCTCTCCACAAGTGTGTAAAATTCTCCATCCACCTCTGTATTAGTGGATTCTGCGCCTCTCACCGGTGGAACTGCTTTCGATTGTTGGCGGGCCCCGCGTCCGCCATCTTGCTTTCAGTGAGCTAGCGAGCGGCAGTAAGAGAAGCCGTCCGTTGTAATCGACATTCGACAAACCGTTTTAAGGAACACACACGTAAGCCCCTCCCCACCTCAAAGTTTCACCTCCGAAAAAGAAAAAAAGAGCCTTTTAAAAAAAAAGCGAGATAAAATAACAATAGGAAACCAAAAAAGCATTAAAAAAAAAAGGAAGAGCGCATCGCATTTGGTTTGCCCGAAAAATTGTCATTGAGTCAGTCGTTAGCCGTCACTATTTATCAAGTAAATCCTCATAAATAAATTATTGAATCACGTTTAATCGGTCGGGGAGAGTTTAACCGATAAATCGAGGGATACTCAGTGATTTGAGGTTCGGAGATTTCGGAGTTTTTAACATAGTTTCTCTTTTATTTCAATTGCACCGATTAATATCGACGAGCCAGGATGTCAGAGCGGGAGGACAACGTCTACAAGGCGAAGCTTGCCGAGCAGGCCGAGCGCTACGATGGTGAGCACATTTTAGATTTTTTTTTTAATAACGAATTTGGGAGTTGGAAGAACTAGAGGCTATGTCTGGGGGCTTGCATATCTCGTTGGAGGTACTTCTTGCCGACGAGGATGTCTACCTGGAGATTAATTGTTACTCCAAAATCTGGGGGATTGAGGGAGAGGGGGGAACACCTTCGGCATTTTGTCGATGGGAAAAATGGTGGGTCTGTTCTTTCCCTGATGAAGGTAGGCGGTGGCTTCTTGAGAAATTCAACATGTTAGCTGTAGTTTTGTTGGTAATTGTTGGCTAAAGTTCTGAGTCATTGAGGCGGGTATATCGGGGGGATAACCTAGTGCTTCTTTAAAAAATAGAGTCCTATCTGAATTGATGTTTTATTTTCTCCTGATTTTTTCTATTTTGTCAGGTTCTCCTCTGGAACCCCGGAAATCGAAACCCGGAATTTTTCGCTGTCTTGGGAAATGAGGGGAAAGGATTGTGAGGGGTTGGTAGCGGTGTGGTAGGAGAAGGGGGTGGGGGGTGAGGGTTGAGGGCCTCGGGGAAAACGTCAAATGTTCTTGGCTCACGTACGGGCACGAGTGGCCACTCGTACCGGCGGAATTCTCGTCGTTACGTTCCTGGAATTTTTGAAGATTTTAGGGAAATTTGGCAGGAAATGATGGGGATAATGGGGTTTTATGGGGAAATTAAGTCAATGGGAATAATGACGTTGCTAGGCGTGCATGGGGCTTAGTAGCAAGCGGTGATAGATAAGTTCCCTATGCCATTTTCTCTGTATTAACGATGACGCATTCAACACCCACCCGATCCGGCCGGTGGCCCCTCTCCACCTACTTTGTGGTACTAGTGTACCATCGACGGATTGGAGTTACTTGGGGATTTGCGGGAATTCGGGATTTCTTCGGGGGTTGGAGGGGATTTTTTTAGGGGATGAGGGGTTTGGAGAGCGAGGGAAGCCTCTTCAGCCAAGGTTTCTCTTTTCATCGGGTTTTTCGGGTGGGGGGAGCTGTGGAGGTGGCCTCGGCCTTGAGAAATCGACCATGGGAAAATCGCGGTTGCCATCGCATTACAATTTTTTCTTTCGAATTTTCGCCAGGGTGGGGATTTTTTAACCGGTGAAAAATTAAATTTTAAAGGGAGGTCCCGATTTTTTTTTATTTTCTGACATTATTTTTCATTTTTCAATGGATTTCAATATGATGTCTGTCAAACCGAGGGAGATGGATTTTATTGGTAATTGGTTTTTCTTCAGTTGGAAATTTAAATTGAGTAATTTCCCATTGATGAATCCCAATGGAGTAATAACAAATAATAGTCATTCATAATCGAAGGTAACGAGCAGTCGTGCGTATGAAAAACTCTCGATAAAGGGCAACTGAATGGAATTCCAAGAGCCACGGAATAATCGATTTTTGTATTGTGAAGAGAGAGTTTCTTTTATATTGAGGTGAAACAAAAAATGGGAAGCAAAGGAGAATGAGATACGTGATAGTAATAATAGATGGAGGAACAGAGAGGGAAAGCACGTGGAAAGGGCAGAATATATTTATATATGTGATCTTTGTGGAAGGTGGTAAAAGGGTAGGTTGGAGTTAAATTTGAGGGTTGGAGAGAGCGTCGCAGGGTAGGTTGTTGGGTAAAGGGGGTGACAAGAGAAGGGAGGTCATAGCTGAAGGAAAGTATTGATCTGCTACCCCGCCATCCTCTCTTCCTGTATAACACCAGTACGCTTTCTATACCGCCTTCATACTAATTCCGACTTTTACAAGATTACTTTTTTAATAATACTGTAATTTTGATTGTTCAACTTGGAAGAATTTCTTTTTGTTTGCGAACGTTTGTTCTGCTATGCGACTTGAATGGCTCTACATCTTCCAGGGGTTTATCGGGGTCATAAATATTTTATTACGCCTAGGGACATGTTCCACTGTTTTTTTCTCCACTTTTCTGTTTGTTTGATCAATAAATATTATTAATAGAATTTTTCTGGAGGGTTTCCGAGCTGGAAAAGATTTTTGTACGTCATTCAAATTGAAAAAACATTCTCCCGTGAATTTTTCTAGGACCTGGCGTCAAAAATATTTGTAGGAAAATATCTCATGATTTTTAGGATAATTTCTAACAATTTTGACTTGATTTCACCGAATATGTAATGAAAAAAATTGTAATCCTACAGAGATGGTCGAGGCGATGAAGAAGGTGGCATCCTTAGACGTTGAGTTGACCGTTGAGGAGAGAAATCTACTCTCGGTTGCGTACAAAAATGTCATTGGAGCGAGGAGAGCGTCATGGCGAATAATATCCAGTATCGAGCAGAAAGAGGAGAATAAGAGTGCTGAGAATAAACTCGAGATGATACGCCAGTACAGATCTCAAGTTGAGAAGGAACTCAGGGACATTTGTGCCGACATACTTGATGTACTTGACAAGCATCTGATTCCCTGTGCATCCACGGGTGAATCCAAAGTCTTCTACTACAAAATGTGAGCATTGATTAATCATCGGCTATTCGTTCAATTATCCCGGGGACCGGGAGATTGCGTAAAAAAGTCGAAGAAGATACTTTTTTGTAGCAAAAATCCCTGCAATGAGTGTCAATAATTGAACTATTGAATTTTTGTGATTTTTCAGGAAGGGTGATTATCACCGTTATCTAGCCGAGTTTGCAATTGGCACAGACAGGAAAGAAGCAGCTGAGAAATCTTTAATAGCATACAAAGAAGCCAGCGAAATTGCAATGACAGAATTACCACCAACTCATCCAATTCGTCTAGGATTAGCTCTTAACTTTTCTGTATTTTATTACGAGATACTCAATAGTCCAGACCGAGCGTGTCGTCTGGCGAAGGCAGCATTTGACGATGCTATTGCCGAACTCGATACATTGTCTGAGGAGAGTTATAAAGATTCAACCCTAATCATGCAATTACTCAGGGACAACCTCACTCTATGGACATCCGATATGCAGGGTGATGGTGAGAATTATTCTCTCATTTTTATCTGTCTCAATGGAAATTTTTGTCACAAATGAAGAATTTGGCCTCATGACAGTCTTAACGATGAAATTTTCCTTCTATTGTAGGTGAAGGTGAACAAAAAGAACCAACGCAGGATGTGGAAGATCAGGATGTATCGTAACTCTAGTTTCAGTGAGTGTTAATTGCGCATACAATTGAGACACAAGAAGAAAAGAAGAAGAAAACAACAACAAACAAAAAAAAACTCTTAATAACTTTTAAGCAAGAAATAAATAAAGTAAATAAAGAATGAAAACCATGAAAAAAAAGGCAAAAAAAAAAAAAAAAAAATGAGGGTGGGAGGTCGGGGAAATTGAGATAATCGAGGGGGAGAACGAGAGGGGGGACAGAACAATGGTAGAGACGATTGATAAATAGAATAATGGATTAATGAGGGGAGAGGTATCTTTCACGATTGCGTGCAAGTATGCGATAAAAAATCTCGTTTGTAAAATGAGTCACATTAAGGCAAAAGGGTAAGTCAATCTTTTTTTGGGCAATTGTTCGATGGTAAAATTACTGTGAATGTTGATAAGAAAAATACTGGTGATTTAAAAAATTAATTTTTCCCTTAACATTGGCAGATTATCTATGATAATTCGAGCGTTATTCAAGTGCCCTCCCTTCAATTCTTATACATTCATCGGTTTCATCCCCTCCTCTCACTCACGCATGATAACACACAATCAAATTTATTTGGAGTTTGTCACAACTGAGAGACGCAGTTGATTTCTAATGAGTGAAATTCGTGGTTGAATGATAAAACGTAATGAGTGAATTTGACATTTTATTGTTAATTGCGATTACCTCGGCAATGGGGGAATTCAGAGGAGATATTCTTGAGGGGATTTATTCTCCACAGAAAGCCTGTGACATTTTCTCCTCGAGTCACTCATTCTCACGATGAATCAACTTTGAAAATAAAAAGTAGACAATGGACTTGTTCTTTTTTATCAGTTACGTTTTACCAATTAACTCCTGAAACTGATTGAGACAATTGAAAACCAAAATTCGTAGTTGAAACGTCGAGGAAAGCAGAGGCACAAAAACATTAACGAGAATTTAATTGAGTGAAGCAAAAATTGAGGAAAAAAATTCAAGTACGAAAGTAGTTTAAGGATCTCGATGAAAAAAAAAACCCATTGCAATAAATAAACAATCTCGTCGGTATTCGTTAGCTTAGCACCTGTAATCAATGAGAAAAAACATGAGAATTAATAAAAACGTAAGATTAAATAGAGCTTGCTACGGGGCAATCTCTCCGTTTAACCGCGTCTGCCTGATTACGGAGAAATTAAAATGAATGAATTTGTGAATAATTCATTGGAAAGGGTTTATTTAATTACTTAGAGTCAAGACCTCAACAAAAGACAAGAAAGAAAACAGTTTTAAATAAATGAAAGAGAAAATTAAACACCACTGATTCAAACAATTTTTTCCTCCATTATTTAGCGATGAAAATTCATATAATTTTCCTTGCTTCGATTATGAAAGAAATGTATGAAATATTTTTAAAGACATTCATTATTTTTCGCGTGAGAAAATTGACATTTTTAAAATTATTTCTTCTTCGTCATTTGAAAAATGTAATTCATTTTGCATAAAATTATTAAAATCTCAATTTTTCCATTCGAGGAATTGTTTTATTACTTCCGAACGCCATTTAGGTTTAATTATTGGGAATATCTCTCCATTCGAATGAGTTGGCGAATTTTTCATGGAACATTTTTATCGGCTCATTGGACTCAATAAAAAAGTTCTCACCGGAATTTTAAGATCTCTATCGAATGTTGTGATATTCACAGAGAATTTAATTTAACGTCGATTAGAATTGAAGATTTCGCTGAAATTCTTTCCCCATTCCTGGGAAACCAAGAGTGATCAATAAAAAATGATGAGAAAGTCTCGTGCACCTACTGCAACCCGTCATTACAACTGTGGTACAATGGAAGACAGCCAGATAATTTATTTCTCCAGAGCAGAAAAAAAATCTGTAACAAGATTATTCTTCAATCTCATTCATCATAAATTTCTGTCAATCGATAAATCGATTTATTCTGCCATGTCCACTTCCACTTGTATTATTCATCGTCTTTCTTCGTTTGAGGAATTTCCAATCAAATTTTTTATTCTTATGATTAAAACAAATCAAATTATCTTTGTGATGATTTTTTTTCCAACGAAAAAGTACAATCTGCTTAGTATTCGCTTCCCTTGCGTCTCTGCAATCGATCTCCATTTAAATTTAACATACGAAAGAATGAAAATAAATCCAACAAAATTGTTACATAAAAACGTAAAAAAAAGAATAAAAAAAAAGATTGAAGGATTTTTTGTGTAGTGAGTAAGTCAGTGTTTCCGTCTTCTAGTGAGAATTTAGAGAGATTAGTCCATGTAAAAATCCTATTCACCAAAACACCAAAAGTATCAGAATCATTAAATTGCTGTTGAATGAATATTGCAAGAGCCTTTGATTTGTCGCTGAATATCGCTCAAACGTCTCGATCTCTGTTGCCTTTTCTTTAACTCTCATCATTCCACAATTTTCTATGTCTTGTACGTATGCGCGAACTAAGCAATTAACAATTTTTAACGAAGATATTGAAAATAAAAATAAGAACGCGCAATTTTTAATATCGAATCAATCGAAAAAGGGTAATCAATGGAATTCAATGGAATTTATGAAAATTGAGTGAAAAATAATTTTTCTTTGGATGAGTGCAGAACAACCGGCGTCAGGCGTGCCCCCGCATTCAAGTATTATATCATAAATAACTGATAATTATGTTATAAATATATGAAAGAATACCATTTCAAAGATGCGTGAAATATTCGGTAATTCATAAGTAAGAAAAATCATTCTAATTTTAAGGTAAAAAAAAACACCTGAAATAAAAAATAAACAAAACATATATCGATTGAGTGGAGTCATTTCGCGATGGAAAGGAGTAAGTGATCCTGAGGATATCGAGAAAATCAGGAGAACTTGAAGTACGATAGACCCCATTGAAACACAAAAAAACAATAAATAAGAAAGAGTCAATTATTGGCATCTTTCATTTGATAAAAAGGGATGAACTCCAAAAGATAATATACAAATCAAGAAAATTCTCTGCAAGTTATTTTATTCTTACTCCGTCTTCCACATTCTCAGTAATTCTTGCATTTAATAAAGTGATAAATCCGCGTCTCTAAACATTCGAAGAATAAATAACGTAAAATTCTCCTCGTCGCTGAGACATTAATCGAGATCGGCCCTTAAAGCGCTCGACAATCTCCGTAAATCGAATCTTAAAATAACTTATGTACAATTATCCTTATAATTTTCTGAAGCAATCAGCTAATTGAATTATGCGATGATCGAGTGGGATCTGTTGCACCTGGCGTCGATTTCCCTGCCTTCCCTGGTAATTTCGTGATCACTCTGAGAACTTTGTGTCGGGCTCATTGTCCTCCTGAATCCTCGCCGATTACCGTCGACCTGTCGAAGAATCCTGTGAAGAGGACTGTGTTCCCTCGCTGTTATCGGTGATAATGATAAGCTCTGAGTGCTCCTGGGCTTGTAAGGATGGACTCTGCGAGGGGATCTCGTGTTATCAGTACTTCTGCGCCTGGCAGATTTGAGTTTTACACTCCTGAGCATGTCCAGGGAAACTACCGGACCCTTGGCATTCACGGGAGTTCCTCGAGGTTCCTTCTGTTGTTGGGGTGCCTTCTTCAGGGTGACCTTGAGAAGATCCTCGACGGTGATGGACGGTCTGCCCTCCAGGGGGGTTGAGCATTTTCTCGTTGGCGATTTTTTCGTCGTCAGGAAGGGTGTTTTAGGAGTAGTTATTAATAATGAGGGCATCGGTGGAGGTGGAGGAGGTGGTGGACCTCCGAATCCACCTGCAGGAAGCGGCGGAGGGGGTGGTGGAGGAGGTGGAGGAGGTGGAATGAAACATCCAGCTGCTGGGACTTTTGAATTCTCTTTGAATGTCTCCAGAGCCTCCGATAAACTCTTCAAATCGGTTCTCAGGGTTTCATTGCTACTGAGTAATTTCTCATTCGTGTTTTTCAACGTTTCGACTTCTTTAATCAAATCTAAAAGACTCTTTTGATTCGTTGTACAAGTCTTCACGAGCTCCTTCGAGAGACAATGGATCCTCTCTGATATCTTGAAGACCATCTTCTCGTTTTCTCTCTTGACGTCCTCCAGTATCTTTCCGAATTCAATGTCCGCAGACTCCATTCCCTTCATCTGCTTCGAATTAAGACTTACCCTAAAGACCAATCCGAACCCCCTCTTCACGAAAATTATCACCCTCCTCCCAATCCATTCGAGGACCTCGACGATTCTTCCCAGAGGTTCCCAGCCCTCCCTGATTCTCATCCTCACTCCCCGACCATCGATAATATTGCTATCAGTCCTGGAGTGGTTTTCCACTCCAACCTCATGCTCAGAGGGCTCCATCGTCAGAGAAATAGTCTTGCACCCAGATTCCACAATCTTATGAACCTCCCGTGATCCTCTGGACCCCCCTGAATTCTCCCAGCCAACCTCCAATCCTTTCCCAGGCTCCCCAATCTTTTCAAGACTTCCAACCCCACATTTCACGTCTTTACCCCACAGTTTCCTCCTTTCCTCGCTCGATATTTTCACCTCATCAAATCTCAGGGTCGTCCTACACCTCTTGGGAGGCGGTGATGCCCTGAACGTCAAATCAAAAAGTTTACCCCCAGAGTTCGATGTAGAATCAATCGACTGACTTGGAAAATCAGTCGCCCTGATCGAAAAGAACTCGTCAATTTTACTAACGACTGTCATTTGTCGAGGACCCTTCGAGAAATTATCGCCTTCATCGAATCTCGCTCTTAGAATTTCTTGTGATTGTGGAGTTCTCTCGTCATCTTTGGAACAACTGTGTTCACTAGAAGCTGAAGACAGTGGATAGGCCAGAGCAGACATTAACGACTGCTGATTAATTTCGACTGAGCTCGAGCTCTCCATTTTCTCACCGTCCTCAAGCTGTTTCATTCTCTGAGAATTTTCCATGGTCTTCGGCTTATCAGGATCACCTCCGGTCGTCTCTGAAGCATGAAAATACGTCTGGAGATCGGAATCGGCGGTCGGGAGCTGACAGCTCGAAATATTTCCGAGTATTTCGTGATTCGCTTTGTTTTTTCGGTCTATCGTGACGGCTTTATCGTCCTGGGGCTGATCTAAAGCCATTTTGTCGTGAGTCTCCTCCGGGCTCAGAGAATTGCATGTCACGTGATCTCGGAGAAATGCCATTTCTTCGCAGACTTTGTCGATGGAAATTGTACGTTCGAGAAGATTCCCGTCTTTGGGGTAGTTGAGCTCGTCATCGGGGTCTTCTTCGGGGATGTCAAGGTTGAGCTTGAGCTTCGGAGCCCTGGGTATGATCTTCGGACTGAGTTCCTTGATGCAGAGAGGCTCTGACCCCCCGAAGCGGAGGGACTCTGGCGATCTCGCAGTTTCAGCCATTTTCGAGTCAATTGGACTTTTTTTTGAGCGTTTTGCATATTCTGGGGGGGAATGGAAGACATTCGCCATTGTTATGGTCTGTCTGGAACGCTTAGGGTACCGTCGAGGCGCCATTGTGGGCAGAAAGCGCCTGAAGTGAGAAAATTTCTTCATTACCCTTTAACACTGTATTTGTTATTCTTGAAAATTTCTCTCAATTTATTTTGGTACAATTTATTGTTGGAATAATAGAGGATATTCATTTTTTAATTACCGTATTATTGGTGATGCTTTTTACCAGGGTAGAATGAAGATACGAAATTATTTCACGGAGTTTATATTCATGTTTGGGGTCCTGCAAGAGCGAAGGACGTAGTCACACTAACTTCTCGTGATTTTATTCAATTTTATTCACCTGCCTGTTAGTGTGGTAATTCGTGGGTTTGGGTTTCATATTGTACTCGATGTTTCTTATCTGTTTATTTTGGATGGAAGATTAAAAGAAAACATTTTGTTCTCAATTTCGAACGAATCCATCACTGAATACTTGTTTCTATTTATTTTTCCATCCTGTCAACTTGATACGCGAGAGTTCAATTTTGCGATTGAAAATTCAAAAATTTTTCGAATTCTTTCCATAAAAATTTTTTCGCGTGATTTTTTTATTTTCTTTCTTGAGTTTGTTAATGAGAAAAAATTGCTGGAATTTTTTGAAGAATAAGAGGGAAGCAATTGTCTATCGAACGTTTTTATTTAATTGAAACTCTCAATTAATATAACATGATTGGTTTTGGGCACTAACTGCGTTAAATGCGCTCGGCAATTAATCTGCAGTCACTCGACCATTTGCGGTGCATTAATGGGACTCCATGATTCTCTTTTACATTCACTTCCATTTAAAGTACGTAATTTATACGCAAGTGGATGAGTCAAAGTTTTCATGTGGATTTTCACTTCTTATTTACAAATTCCTCGCCCTTCTGTATGTTCTTCTTGAGCTCCGGAATCGCTGCCTGCAGCAGTTTTTCCTCAAAGGCGCTCAATTTTCCGAGACCGAGATTTTTCTCCACTCCATTTTTCTGTGAAATTCAATAATTTAATAATAACAATTCACCGTAATAATCTCAATATTTCATCTACAATAAGTAATGAAATCTAAAATTACCCCAAGGAGAATTGGCGTTGAGAAATACTTGGCGTCAGTAACGTTGGACCTGACGTAAGAGCACTCGATGATATTTTGCTCGCCATTGAGAGCCCTGATTAAGGAGAAACCAAATCTAGCACCAGCGTAGGCCATGGAGAGTGTGGCTGAGCCAGTGCCAGCCTTGGCTTTTACCACCTCAGTACCAGCCTCCTGGATGCGCTCAGTGAGTGCCTTGAGCTTGTCATCAGGGAATGAGACACTAGGTTTGGCCTGACTAATGAGTGGAATTATTGTGATACCACTGTGTCCTCCAATCACTGGCACTGATACCTTCTGGGGATCAATGCCCTTGGCTTCGCCAATAAAGGCATTAGATCTGACAATGTCCAAAGTTGTAACACCGAAAATCCTGTTGGGATCGTAGACTCCAGCTTTCTGCAGAACTTCACTGGCAATTGGGACTGTGCTGTTGACAGGGTTCGAGATGATGGCAATGAAGGCTTTCGGACAGACTTCAGCGCAAGCCTTGGCTAAATCACGAACGATTGAGGCATTGGTGTTGAAGAGATCATCTCTGGTCATGCCCGGTTTGCGAGGTACACCAGCAGGAATGATAACCACTTGAGCGCCACGAAGAGAGTCCTTCAGCTGTTCTGGTCCGGTGTATCCAGTGACTTTGGAATGAGTGTCAATGTGGGACAGGTCAGCAGCCACTCCAGGAGTGTTGACGATATCATAGAGAGATAATTCGGTGACAAGGGGTGAATTTTTCAGCAGAAGTGACAGGGGCTGGCCGATGCCACCCGCTGCACCCATCACAGCCACCTTGGCATTGCGCTGTTCCCAGAAGGAAATTTCATTCATTTGATATTCCAATAATGCTATGATAATGCATTCCGAATGAGCGGAGAGAGGGAAATGGAGCAGGAACGGTGTAGCTTAGATTTAGAGTTATTTACGTATTGAAAATATTTTTTAGGTCTCGGCAATGACACATGCTTCAATAATTTTTTATTCTCTCATTTCCCGAGGACATTTTATTCTGAGCTGGTGAACGATTCGCAAAGTCGTTTTTCAGTACAGATGTTCCATAAGAAGTTTGAAATTAATTGTGAATCTCTTATTGTATAAAAAAATAAGTTTGTTGAGGGGAAAAAATAATTCTCAAATCCAAGTTACCTAATTCCTGAGTGCTCACATGATATCATCAAGCCTAAGAATCCCATACTAATAATCAGAGTTGCATAATGCTTGTCTTGAAAACTGTGGGGACCATCAACTCAGGAATGATGACGGGAATTGGTGGATTGGGAAAGGGTGGGAATCTGGAAAATTGGGATGACACAGTTACGTGGAGAATAGTGTGATTGAAGATTATGAGATGGATGAATAGATGTCAAGGCTGTCGGAATTTCACCTGTGCACTGGTTGACAACTGCTTGGCGCCTTGTTGGGCCAGTGACATCGACGGTCTGACGATACGTGGCAGCATTTTTAAAAATTTAGTTTACACTATCCTTTGATGAATTACTGGGAAAATGTCCTTGGATCACGAGCGCTTTTTTACACGCGGTGATAACCCCTGAATGACACTCAACGACCTTCTGATAGCTTTGATCACTAGCCAGGCCTCTGCTCCAATCGAATTTCGGAATCAGATCCCCCACTTTTCATGACGAGTTTCACTCCAATTTTCATGTAACGACACAATCACAGCTCGCGGTAGGCAATCGTTATCACTATATCGGTCGACTTTTTTTTGAATTATGAAAAGATTTCATAATTCTCATCGATGGTAAATCGTAAATTCTTCACTCATTCTAATAGAATATTTCAAATTCTGGAAATGTTTGGCGGAAATATTCACGAAATTTCACGCTTCATAAAGGCTTTCAAAATTTCCACATTACGACGATAGTTTTTAAAAAAAATTTCAGTGATTTTTGAGTGAAAAATCGCTGAAAAATTCTCAAAATCACCAAATAAAGTAAAGCCGCTGGATCGCGTCCCCTACGTTTTCCAAAAATGTATCTCCCCATATACTTTTCGAACCGGTATACATAGACAAATGTGTGTATGTACAGAGGATCGTGACGCGCACACTCGTCCGTAGCAAACATAACAGAAAGAAAGCGAATCGAGTGGTGTTAACACCACAAAATCCCGTGATAACTCCTCGATATTATCACCACCGAGTTCTCCGGTCTTCAAAACTCCATAAAATAACTGAAAAGGATCACTAAACCGCGGGAAATCACTGGATAAATGAAAAAACCTGCAATTTCTATTCGTGAATGTCCTGTCCAGATGATGGCTGCATGATTTCACTCGCCAGCCGCATGGTAAGTTACAGATCTTTATCAAATTTATCAATAATCATCTCAATCACTTTTCCCGCACCATTCCCCTCCCGAAACCGATGAATTTAACGATTGGAGCGAATTCAGGGCCTAAGTTAGAGAAAATTGGGGAGAAATTTTGGGGCTCACAAAACACAGTTTTGTCCTGAGGTCCTATTTATATCGTGACAACAATAATCTCGAGAAAACATCGGCATGCACCCCAGGGAACACCAGGTGACCCTCTTATTCCTCATTGTTCTTGTAACCCTCATGATTTTCTTGGGAGAATCAAGAGCTTTGGAATTTCGCGAGTGCTGAATGTTTGGTTATGTTTGGGATCTGGGTAATCCTTGAACGCGTATGGAAATCAGTCACTATGATTTATGATTGTTGTGGCTTTCATTACCGATATTTTTTTTACAATTTATAGGAGTGTTTTGGAGTAAAAAGAAGCTTTCTCGTATTTCTTTACAAAAATGGAGTGTTTGGAGTTGAACAATTGCTTTACTGTAATTTTATTTCTGTATAAAACGTCTCATGACAAAATAAGTCCTTAAACTTTGGAGTAATCTACATAGCGTCAGCTTTCGAAATTCATTAGAAATCTAATGGCGAATGAAAATAGAATCGTTCGAAAGCCGGAAAAACTCGTCGTGGGGTCTCAAGATCGATCTAATTTATAGGATTGTGAAATTATGAAGACATTTGTATTTATATCGGTTTAGTCATTGTAAATTAGCGTTGAAGAAACATTTTTACAATAATTTTGTTATATTCCTGATTTTGGTATTTTTTAAATTAATATCTCCCTGAGTTTTGCGAATTTTTCAAAAATTTATCGAATAGACACGTTAATTTATCCGATGTTACTCCCTCACCACAGAAATAAATTCTTCCCGTGGTGCTTCAACCCGATTAAAACGTGACAATCTCCCCTGAATTCCAGACTCTAGATAGCGATGGCAGATCGCCAGCAGCCTCCCCCGGACTACAAGCGTATGTCCCTGGACAAGATAATCGAGGCAATGACAGCCGACCTTGAGGGTCCAAGTGGTCACTACGTCCAATTCGGTATACCACCCTCCCAGCCCCCCCTGTCCACCAACTGGTCAGACTATCCCTCTGAACCTATTCACCCTCATCCACCCCCAGCCCCTCTCCCAGCTTCCCACCCTCAGATACCCCTGCAACCCCCAATTTACCTTCCAGAGGCCTTCGACACCCCCTCAGGAGAGCTCATCTACTTTCCACCTCAAACCGTAAACCACCTGGGAATAACCGAGAACAACGACCTGGTGGGTACCATCGACGTGGGCAATGGTAACTTCATAAATGTTATCTACGGGAATGCCTCCCAGATAGTCCCCGAAGATGTTCCTAGCATGTCCCCTTACTCCAACCATCAAATGATGGACAGGGAGTACGGATTGTTTGATCAGAGGGGTCACCACAATCTCCAGAACTCTACGACAAATGGAAAACAACTGATTGACAATCTCGTTGGGAATTGGGTGCCGAATCAATCTGGAACGTACAGTCCCTTCGGAGGTTCGCCCAATGTCACCCCAGTGCCGCACGCCTCCCCAGAGGTAGAGGAGGTCCCCAAGGTGATGGAGACCCAGAAGAAACCAAGAATGGTGGCTGAGGTGAAGCCCATGAGGCCCAGTTATTCCTCAGTGCTGACCAAATCAGCACCCCCTCCACCCTCACCCCTCAATGCTCCCCAGAGCAAAGTCCAGGTGGACTCGACGTTGAAGAAAACATCGAAGAGCTCCAAGGGGTCCAAGGGCAAGCCAGGTGTCCTCAAGAGACAGAATTCCTCTGGCAGTGATGAGCATGGCTCGCCTAAAAATGAGGCCCCGAAAAAAAATGAGAAGAATAATTCGAATTTGTCGAGGCGTTGGGTATCTCTGGATAATCTCGGAGGCAATGAGGGTCATGAGAGGAATGATATGAATGGATTCAGCAGACCAGACCAGAGGAAGACCTCCAAGACTGCCAGGAAAAACGAGAGAAATGAAACGCTTAATAATACCAAGGTGCAGAGTGGGGGAAAAATCGGCGGAAACAATCAGAAAAGACCCATTCATATAAATAATAATCTGGGGAATGAGGGCCTTGGCGAGAGGGTGGAAAAGAATATCCAAATTGCCACCAAAGGGAAGGAGGAGAAAAAGAAAGACAAGGGGGCTAAGAGGTTTCATCCTGAGAAGGAGAAGGTTCTGAAGAAGGGAAAAAACCGGAAAAGGGAGAACAGGGAAAGTCCGGTGAAAGATCTGTGCAAGAATTTTAATAAATATGCCAGCCGCTGGAGCAAAATTGGGCTTAAAGTGTTTTATTGGCTTCTTCATCTTATCACAGATGTTGTTAGTATGAGTACTAATCTTGTCATTCAGTTTGTTAAGTGCATGTGGTTTCATACTGTATTATATCTGAAATACTCATGGGCCTACGTGTCCACAACAGTCGCGAAGATTCGATTTTTGAATGCTATTGGTAAGAGGATTGACGATAAATTTGGAAACAGTAGATTCGCATTTTGGCGAAGATTAAAGTCGAAGAGAAAGGAGGAGAAGGATGATAACGTACACTGGTTGCAAGGTGGACTTGAGGCTAATATTGCTCTACCTAGTACTGGTGAAGAGGCGATGAAAAGACTGTTGGCTTGCAAGGGAAAGGATCCATACAGCATTCTCGGGGTAACACCCACATGTTCAGATGACGATATAAAAAAATATTATAAACGTCAGGCTTTTCTCGTTCACCCCGATAAGAATAGTCAACCTGGGGCCGAAGAGGCTTTTAAGATACTGGTTCATGCGTTTGATATTATTGGAGAACCTGAAAGGAGACAGGCATTCGATCAAACTCGTCAGGTTGAGGCAGCCTGGGGTGAGCTGAGCGATCTTCTGTCCCAATTGCATAGAAAAATGGAGCAGGCTGCAAATACGATTAGATGTACAAATTGCGGACTGAGGCATAAACGTGTACCAACACAGAGGCCCTGTTATGCTGCTCGATTCTGTGCCCAATGTAAGATACGTCACAGTGCTAAGGAGGGTGATATTTGGGCGGAATCGCGGGTCATGGGATTTCTCTGGCACTACTATGCGTGCATGGAGGGTGCAGTTTACGATGTGACTGATTGGGCTGCCTGTCAGGCTGGTAATCTCAAACATTTGCGTGCTAATACCCACAATGTGCAGTACAGAATTGTTCTCGGACAGAGGCCACCACCTCAAGGTGCCACTGGCAAGAAGCGACAGCATGTCGATGGTAGCGCAACGTAAGTATAAGAGCTGAAGAAATCCCGTGAAAGAACGTGCATTGCAAGAACTTCAAAATTAAAAAATTCCTCTTGTTATTTATTTGTAGGGACGCAGATCTCGAAGATTTTCTCAATAATCTCTACAATCACAGTAAAACCGGGGGTGCAACAGCAACGACAGAACAACCAATCTCGAAAGATAGTCGGAGACGTAAAGCAAAACGCAAATGAAGACTTGATCTCTTTTCAACAACTGCACCCATCGTATTACTTGATTCATAATACTCCTGCTGTTAATTTCTCTTTTAAGTTTTTTCCTCCCACTTTTTTTTTTATTACGTTGCTTCGCAGATTAATGTTACTACCAGAAACACCCAACTAATGTTCAAGTGTCAGACCTTTGCGAGTGATAAGCAATGACGATTTATGAGATTCTTTCTTTCTTCGTTCCTCTTGGGAATGAAGTGTTTATGATAATTAAACATGAATTCGAAGTTTGCAATTTTGTGTTTTTTGTTTGAATAAAGATGAATTCCTTTTGGATGTTGAAATAATTGTTAGCAGGATACGAAGGAAGACGAGATTTGGAGAATTCAGTGAAAATTCCAAGTGATATGCATTAAAAAAAATATATTTATTTGAATCACTCTTCTAAATGAGAGTTCACATCATCTGCTCCAACATTCCTTCGAGGAATGCCAATGAATCAACGTTATCGATTGCTTGATCCAAATCCTTCTTCTGAACTGTTTTTTTTTTAGCCTGGAATGTGTACTTAAACGCCTCCTTTGATAGTGAGTCAATAAATAATTCCTGGAACAATGAAATTTGAAGAATCGGGTAAAAACTTTGTGACTATGAGGAAGCCTGGGGTTACTCGATGACAGTGATTACCGCAGACTTAGCGATGAGAAAAATTGCCTCCTGATTAACCAGATTGACATCTGGATCTGACTTAACGATGTGTTTGACCCTCCCAACGGGTAATTTCAGTAGTTTTTCCTTTGGTTCGCTCTCAACTTCTTCCTGTGAGTCGTGCGATTGTTCTGATCTCGAACTTATGGAAATATTTGCCACCTGATCTTCAGTGGGAGTTTCAGTGTCCGACTCCGGGGTCTCCATCTTTCAAAAACTCGATCAAGAATCACTTATAGATCACTTTTAGTCAAATGTCGTCGGTTTTAAATGTTTTAACCAATTTTTCTTGCACTACATGCTGATATAGCACGTTGCGCATGTTGACAGATGCGCAGAATCACTGGGAATAGGCTTGCAGCACGCACTTGAGCGCCAAAGGTAGAAGTGCGCGCGCAGCTGTCATAGAAACGGAACGCATTTCCTTGAATGACGTATTTTGAATCGTTCATTCAAGTTTCCAGGTTCTACGATCCTTCGCATGTGTATGATCCAATGCAATACATTATTTTGTGACTGCGTAATATTTATGTAAACAAAAACTTTATCATTGTTTGTTTTTCATTCGGTGGAAACATGTGGTTAATGAGAGTCAGGGAATTTGAATCGAATCACGTATTCTTTATAAAGACGGAATTTTTTGTTCTTTTGAAGGAACAGGAGTTTAAATGTTCAATAAAATTTACTTTCCAATTGAGAATCCACTGACATCCCGAAAAATAGCTGTCGAGTAATCTATCGGAATATTTACTGTTGAAATCATCAAATTTGGATTATCCAATCAATTTCATTTCTTCTCAAGACAGATGTAATGAAAAAACCTTATGACTCAATGACTCATCGTCAACGGATTTGCATAATGAAATCGAAATGACCACAAAAATTTATCCCGAATCACGTACAGGAGATACTCTCCGTACAGAAAAAATATTGAGATTTGGTTCCATGGGAAAAAGCACACCTGCCAGATTTGGAGAAATCTATAAAGCCGTGAAAATTGCACGCTCAGTATCACACGAATCGTGAATACTCATTCGAAATGTTTCGCAATAATTTTCATAAATCCCTGTACTTCTTGTTTCTATTGTCTATCTTGGACATTGCATGGGGAATCGCAACGAACTGCAGTGAATATAAACAAAAGGCTAAACCTGGTGATGAAATATGCGGAAGTGATGGGAAGACTTATCGCAGTATAGAATTCTTCGATTGTATAAGAAAAAAAGGGGATAAGCAACGTAAGTACATTAATTGGTGGCTGTTTAATTAATCTGATTTGACTTAATCGAATATGTTGGACTCAGTTCGAGTTATCTCTGTCGGAAAATGCAGTTCGAATGAATGCCAGAAGGATTTAATTTACAATCCCGTGTGTGGAAGTGACAATAAGTCATGGGGAAATGAGAACGCTCTGATGTGTCATAATAAAAACATGAATGATAGTGAGTATTGAGTTAATTCTTTCGTTGATTATTCGTAATATAAATGCAAACTCAAAAAATGATTCCCGTATTTAATTTATATTTCTTAATTCTTCACATTTAATTTCAGAGATATCAATAAAATCGTATGGGGAATGTCAAGATGCTCATAACCCCTGTGAACAAAGAAATTTTGAAACTTTTGGATTGAATCCCGTTTGTGCCAGTAATGGATTTACTTATCAGAATATTGCTGAGGTACAATGCTTGAGAAATGAGCAGAATATAGGTATCTACTTCTACATTGGTCGCAAAAAATCCGGGAGTAATTCGAACCTGAATCATTAATGAGCCGTAATTATAATCCACGTGTACATTAGATTTACAGATTCTGCATAGTGGCGGTTGTAAAAAGGGTGAAGTCGCCGAATTATATCCCGATAAGAACCAGACATGCTGCCTTGCTGCAAACAGATATGAATGGAATCCAGTTTGTGGAGCGGATAAAGTCACAACTTCAAATCCATTCGTCCATCTATGCCGGAAACCTAGTAAGTACTCCATTCAGACCCACCATAATAATACAATAATAAACAACTCGCGTGAAAAATTGATTCCCATTACACGAAATAGTAAAAATGAAGAGAAGATGGAAATAGGATATTTTTCTGCGACAGTGGAAAAGAATAGATGGGCGAATTTGGAATTTCCAGGTGCTATTGAAGATTTTTTTTCAGATGTTAAAGTCAAGGTAAATGCTCAGTGTTATACCCCAGTTGAACGCGCCTGCATGAAATCACACGAACAACGGAAAAAAGCACTCGAAGCTCCAGTTTGTGGAAATGACGGGAAAACATACCCATTCTTGAGTACTCTCCAGTGTAAGACTCTCCAGTGTAAATGTGAGTTAACCATTATTTACTCTAAGTTATTGTACTCATAATGTAATATGATTTTTTTTAATATCTGATTGGCTGAGATTGGAGCTTGAAAAACAATCAATGAAATTTGTGGAAAAATTTTCAGATCTAGCTTTCGTGCACACAGGTAAGTGCATACCCGGGATTGACGATCCCTGCGAGAAAGTAGAAACAGAAGCAGACCGAACATTTCCGGTTTGCGGCACCGACGGAGTAACATACATCGGATATGAAGCCCTATTCTGCGAACAATATCAAAAAAAGAAACGTCAGTACCACTCAAGTGATTAATCTGAAAATGAAAATCCCTCGACCGATCATGAATCGAAATAACAATACGAAGTGCGCAATGATGAATGGTCCCAGAGGCCGATTCCACAATAGTTGCAACAGTGAAACAATCGCTGAGAGTACAATAATTTGTCGGTCGGAAAATAGCCTTGAGGTGAATTCTATTCTGCTCTCGATTCGCGGCTCATTAACCCGTTACTTTCTCGATGCGACTGGTAAAAGTAGGTTGCACTTGGAAAATCCATTATGGGCATAATGAATTATAGAAATTCACAGCCCGAGAGTTAATCATTCTCACTTGAAATGGCAGTGGGAGTTGTTTCGCGGTTTATTCGGTTTATTCTGTCTTTTTCAATGATTATTCAAGCTCATGGCTCATTTTCGCTCGATGTTTATGCATTTTTTATTAATCTTTCCAAAACGTTTATTTTATTTTGAGAAGAAATTCATATTTTTTTTTTACAGAAGTTGCATATTTACATGATGGCCCGTGCCTTGACTTCAAAAGAAAGCATTAAATACCTGGAAATATTATGAATACCGAACGAGAAAAAAATGGAAGTGTAATGAAATAATTGATAATTTTTTAAATAAAATTGGGAATCAAATCTTTTACATGTACTTTTATATTTTTGACTGGATGTTCCGCAATTTTTATTGGAGCCTTATTCTCACTTTGAGAATTACGGAACTTTCAGACAATTGTTGTTCAGTCATTTTTCGCTACGTATTATTTTGGATATGTTTGAGGATTTACGCCGATGCATTTGGCAGTGAGGGGTGAGGATCGAAGGCGAGGATGCATTAAGCTAAAATTTGATTAATATCATGATTGTCACGGGCTGTGGTATAATGAAAGCTGGTGGGATCAGTAATCCCGTGGGAGCAGCGATTCGTGATTTTATGTGGTGATTTTCCATATATGATTTCACACGTGACGATTCGACCAGACCGCGTCATTAGGGAAATTATGTATCAAGTATTCCATGACAAATGATTTAACGAATTTAATGATAACCAGTTGATAGGATGAGTACGAGTCCCCGAAGTTCCCGAAATATTAAAAGAAGTGAAGGGAAAATCCTTGATATATTACCGAATGATATGGAGGAATTTCAAGTGTTTTCAAAAATCCGAGAAAAATCTGGATGTCAGCTATAAATCCTGATATTTACAAATTAATCCGAACCGATGCGAAAACGTTCCGCATTTCGCGTTTTATTCGTTCAATACTGTTACAGCAGATGAATGATGAATAAAAGATGACTTTTTTAGAATTCAATGGTTCATTGCACTCTAAAATCGGGTCGTCTGAGTACTTGAAAAGAATCAATCTCATTCAGTAAACTCGTGACTGCAGCACGTGCGACATGTATAAAGAAATAAATTCGCGCTCAATTGAATGCCTCACTGCAGAGGAAGAGGAATATATTTAAATCATCGGGCGATACGCATCAACACGTGAATTGATATCGGCAATAGTGGGATTGAATTCTCAGGCGTACAATGATCGGGGTAACTGACGTTCTCGTCGACTATTTTTATTTACGAAGAAACAGATTTGTTTGCGCGCAACGTCACAGAAACTATAGAATTTTGGAGAATTTTGACTGAAATTTACTAGCTATTCTTTATCTTTCCCTCAACTTCCTGGCGCGTCCTTTCACCGATCTTCGCACATTCTCAAAATCCTATTGAGTAATCGGGAGAGCAAAGTCTCGTGTCCGCCATGAAAGTCCAGTGACTCTCCTCGATAATTGATACGAATTTCTGGGCTCAGCACGTGAGTTAAATTTCTCGATCAATAAACAGAATTGAATTGGGATACTCATAACGCGAGTTAGAGAATCATTGGGCTAAATATAAAATCATTCTCATTTTTTTAGGGATTGAAATAATGGTTAATTTTCATTATATTCATTCCGTAATGTGAAAACGACATTCGACAGTTTAAACATTATTAGCCGGCACTACCCCCTAATTGTTCCTTGAAAAAAATGGTGTGAACATAAAGTCGAAGGGCTCATGCGCCAGAATTGGCGGCTTTTGCCGACGTCAAAAGGTAAAAGTCGCTCCAATTTCCCCGATCTATTTTCACCTAGTACGGGTAGTTGTCGTGTGCCTACAACAACTATCGTGACGGTTCGAGTTGTATCGATCAAGTTCCCTTTGAAAGTCGAGGTAACGATTGCACTGGAGGCACCGGTGGCTTAAGAATGGTTTCAAGGGTAAGTCGATGTTGCCAAGAAATCGAGGAAAAATGCTTGAACAAACACGAAGACGAGCCTCCTACGTATTATTTTTAGATTTTAGAGTTGTTGCCAGGATTGATATTTCCTCGAGAAACATTGAAATTATTTTTAAGCATTCAAAGCATGTCACAACGAGGACAAACGGATTTGCCGAGACAGCGAAGTACGCAGTGAAATCGCTTCTTTATGGGCATTTAGAAGAAAAAATATTCACCGATTTCATGGGGAGTGTTTCAATTTAACCACCGCTTAGTTGAAATCTATCCAATTGTGAAAAATTCTGAGAAATTCTTCTCTACAAGGAAATGAAATATTTTTTTATGATCGCTGAATGGCAATTGGATATTGGAAAAAAAGAATGTGCAGACTGCACTTTCCTATTGCCCAGCATAAATAACCCGAGACTTTTAAACGCAATGTTTTGGAATCATGTGATTCCTTTCTCTTCACCTGATTTCGTAACATCTCTGGTTAAGGGAATGTGCATCTGCCTAAGTTTCTCATTTACGGTCATTCTGAGACTTGGCTTACACGTTCGGAGATGTACTGGTGATTTGAATGGAGCGAACAGTTTGAACGGTTAATAGAGGACACAAATATAAATGGACTCACTCGGTTCTGCATTGACGTTGTGAAATCGATGTAAACACAGGATTCTGTAAAAAAAAAAAAGAAACTGTCATAATTTATTTAAAACCTCCGAGTGGATTCCCACTATTCAAATAATAAGCCCTCATATTTCGCCAACTATTTCCCTTAAATTACAAGCCATGTAAATAATCGACGAATGCTGTAAAGTAAGGAATGACCGTCATTTCTAATCATTATCAAATTCATTAATTATATATGAGTTTTTTTCCACGAATCATGATATTTGTGGTTTTGTCATCACATCCAAACATTTCCCCCCATCTTTCTATTGGATTAAAATGCGTGAATACGTGACCATTAGATTTTTATTTTTTTCTTTGGTCAAGTGAAAGACGTAGGAACGGGTTATGCAAAATCGAATCACGTAACCAGATGATGGGTCACTTCGGCTGAGAATGTGATTTGATAATATTACGATCATTAGACAGTATACGCCATATCAAAAAGATCAGACTTCCGCTTGATGTACACGATCACGCGAATTAGAATTGTTGGTAGGAGATAAGAGGAATAATGATCGGCTTAATGACTGGAAGAAGACAAGTCAAAAAAAAATCAGTAACGATAATCATCATGAATGGGTTTGGGGACTCGGTGGGAGGAAGTGACTGATTACTGGTCAGAGTGGAGCCCAGTCTCACTGATTTCATTGCTCACTATCAGCAATGGCTCCTCAGGGTTGCTCGACGAAATCTGTGCCGACAACTTGTTAGGTGTACAATTTCAATCGTAAATTACGCGATTAGAGACACCATTCGTATCCATCCTGCAATTTGTGCTTTAGAATGATCTGTCGGTTTCTGATTCAACCAATTGGTTCAGACACATGACTTGGCTAATGTAATTTAATAAGTATCAATCTCATGACGAAGGAAATTCTGCACTCAAAATTAGAAATCGTTTCTGTTTGTCATTCTATGATTTACACATCCCGTTACACATGTCATGCGTTGAAAGTAGGTTTTCCGGGCTCGCTTTGTATTTTTTTAAAAATTCGTGAAACTTCCGATGGAAATCTCTCGCCATTTTTCATGATCATCAATTATTATTGTTGGAGAATTTTTTTAGGAGAGTACCTTTAGCTTGATTCGGTTTAAATCAGCTAAAGACTTTGAGAGTTAATAGTTTTGCCTCAACTCTTAAAAAAGGACTGTTCGGAAAGATACAAATGGAAATACCGTTGAGATGGCAAATGATAATTCCGTTATTAGCGTATTTTCCACAGCTCAAGCGATTTTCGTCTAATTCGTCGGCCTTGAAGATCGTACATGTCAACATGTGGCTACCCAACCGTATCTGTACATTAATCTTTGATTAAATCTGGTGATTTATTTGATAAAGTTGAAAAAATGTACGAACAACGACGACATCACGTTACGGTGGGAATTACCGATTGGAGAATTCCTATTGAACTAGTGGATGATAATGACCAATTCGCAATTGAATTATTCCATCAATTGAGATTCTTGTGGAGATATTGAAGGATTAACTGATAATTGATTTTATCAATAAATCACTAGGGGACTACGAAGATTAATGGATCGCAAAAATGTGCGATGCGATACTTGGAGAATTCCATTGCAATTGCAATTACAATTGCATTGTGATTTTTGGATAACGAGTTATCATAAAAATATATAGATTAATTTGATTACTATGAATAAATTATGTCATTGACACAAACCCTACGCAAACGGACACTGTAAACAAGTGTTTTATAGAAAATAATGAATATTAATATTTTTCTTCCTACGTCAAGCGACCAACACGGAATATTCAATGGTTGCTCATTAAATCAAAATATTGGTTCAACTCATTGGAGGGTGAATCATTATCGACCGTCTTTTTTCGTAAACCTAAACTCCCCCGTCATGTGTGAACTTGGAAATCGAAATTAAGTCTATAACGTGGATAGAAATAAGCATAAATTACTAATTTAATAGCGATTTAGATGGGACCTTGGACTTCTGTATTTTTCATACACCTTTGGCGTTTTTTGGACATTCTCCGTCCACTACAAAGACCTTGATAATCTTGAGGTCGTCCTCAAAACCTTTTCTGACTGGTGGGTATATAAACGCGTAGTAGAATTTTGATACTTGTGAGAATCATTCTTAGGAAACGTGACACGATCTACGGCTAACTGGGATTGTGGGATCCAAAAAAATTTCTCGTATTTTGGAAAATTACGGAAATATTGCATCGCGCTTGAAGTCTTTTCAACGGAGTAATTGAGAACGCGAATGTGAGAAGTGAAGTTAATCTTGAAAAATCAGTGTCATCATGAGTGTGATTACTAGTGTTCCAGAAGTTGCGTCCGTCTCTTGGACTTTTGGCAAGTCAATATTAAATTATATATCAATTATTAATTGGGCTGAAGTCAAGAGGCGGAATATTCAATTCCAAACTCCAATAAATGTGTTTTTAATTTTCAATGAAATATTGTATAGTGAAATATTGTGAAGGTATCCGTTCTTCTTGAGATTATGAGATATCATTTTTTAATAATTACAGCCCTTCTTATTGGAGTTGTCACACTATTATTCGCACTGCGATGGCGGGACTACATAAAGGACGCAATGAAGAAACGGTCAAGGTTCATTGAATTTGCAAAGAAACTGCCGGGGCCACCAACACTGCCTTTCTTTGGAAATGCACTGACATTCTGGGAGACAGATAGTAATCCTAACAGCTCATTTCTTCGAAAAATTTAATGGATTGTATAACTGTAATCGATTAATTCAAAATTATTTGTAGGAACTGTCATCACTTTGCTGGATATTCATCGTAAATTGAATAAATCAATATTTAAATTCTGGCTCGGACCCAGTTTGAAAATTGTAGTGACCGATCCTGATGATTTTGAGGTTTACTATTTATCTCCGAATTTTCTCTATTTTTCTAGATCACTCCAGTTATTTATTTTTTTTTATAACTTTCTGAATGATAGATTCTTCTGAAGTCTCCACATGCTTCCAAAAAAGACGACCTTTACCTGTGCATGGAACCTGCGATTGTCAATGGCCTTATCAATTCAAATTTAGGTATATCAAATGCATATTATTTGATGCGATTAAACTAGCACAACAGTAAGTTAATGAGAAGATATTGATAGGCAGTTACCGACTACACAAGAAAATCCTGACTCCTATAATCAATAGCACCGCATCAGTGAGTCGACATGCTGAGAAATTTAATTACCACGCATCTATTCTTGTCGATCGTCTAAAAGAAAAATGCGGCAAAGAGGAGTTCGATGCACATGATTACATCGGCTTCTGCGTTGGAGATATTGCTTTTGGTAAAACATAAACTAGACGGAAACATGTTCCAGAGCGATAACTGTCGTTGTGCTTTCAGAAACCTTGACGGGACTGGCAGGAAAAGGACAACTGGGAGAGCCCAGTCCTTTTTATCACCTCAGTCAAGAGTAAAACCCATCAAATTTTTATAATTATTAATCAAATAACTGAATCGCACGATATAATGTTCAATTGATATTTTGCAGGGGTTTGCATATATTGACATATAGAATGATGAGACCGTGGCTGCATCCGGATTTTATATTTCGTTTGACAAGGAGCGGACGGAAATTCTACAAAATTACTAAAGAAGCGCATGCGTTCGTTGATTACGTACGTAGATGAAAAATATTGTTAACCGACAGTTATTTTATAATTGCAAACTCATGACGTGATGAGAGAATTACAATCGAAACAAAAGATATTCCAATTTCCGATAGTCCGTCCTACAATTCGTTCAGGTGTAAATTTTTTATTGTTTACCCAGTTCATAGCCGAGAAAATAAAGAATTACGATCCTATGCACGAGGAGGAATTGCACACCTACAAACCCGTAATCGACACTTTGATCGATCATATGATGGTATCAAAAGACTTGACACCCGAAGAACTTCGATACGAATTCGTCACGCTGTTCGTCGCGGTGAGATCTAATTTCAGTTTAATTATTTACCAATCATTTATCAACTCCACAAAGAAATACTGGCCACCAGAAATTTCGTGAGGAGAGAAAAATCCGCAGATAGATCTTCATTATGAATTAATAAATGAGTTTTTTCAATTATCTAGATGTTCGAAACTGTTGAGGGGGTGAGTTGTCTGATACTATCGATGATAGCGATGTACCCAGAAGTTCAGGTGAGCTAATAAACATTCTATTGTTTCGAATTGGAGTGTTCAGTTTAACCATATGAATATTATCTACAGGAGAAGATCAGACAAGAGATAAATAATGTTTGCAAAAGCGATTATATATCTGAGTCTGAAGTATCCGATCTGGTATATCTCGAAATGGTCATCAAGGAGTGCTTGAGATTATTCCCTGTGGGACCAGTTTTACCGCGAAAAATCACCGAGGACATCAAACTCTGTAATTACAATTACAATACGATTACTATGGTCTTTTAAGAGGATGAAATATCGATATTTCCTTGAGGATTCGCGACAATTTCCAAAAATAAATCTTAGGAGACTTTGTTTATAATTTATGGAGCTCGGAGGATTGAAAATCAAAATGTCTTTCTTTTTTTAGCGACATGCACCGTTCCAAAAGACATTTCAGTATTTATGCTGATATTTTCGACGCATAGAAACCCAAAATACTGGAAGGACCCTGAGAAATTCATTCCTGAACGTTTTGCCCCGGAGAATTCGAAGGATCGTCACCCGTATCAATATCTCCCCTACAGTTCTGGGTTGAGAATGTGTCCAGGCCCTAAATATGGCGTAGTGTGCGCTAAAATTCTAATGGCTAAAATCTTGAGATCGTATTACTTGACTTCCACAATGACGCTCGACACAATAAGACTACACACACATCTATCGACGAGATTCACGGATGGATACTGGATCAAACTTACGGAAATTCAAGCCTAAGTTTTTTTCGACGATTTCCCTTTGTATAAAGATCCTATTTTTATCATTTGGACTTGTGAACAATTAATAAATAATGGTAAACAAAAGTCTCTTGTTCATTTGCCTTTTCCTGTTTAAAACCACTTATCGCATTTGTGGTAAGTCAAATATATGGAGATAAAATTCCAGAAACTTTTGCAATTAACTTGACGACTTTCCCAGTATTATCAAAGGTATCGCTGATAAGCGAGAGCTATCGGCCATGTATCTAAGAATGAAAATTTGAATTCATGTAACTCTTGGTGCGAGAAAGATCAAGACAAAGCTATTATGGAGACCACGTGCTCTAAATATAGATGAAAGTAACAGCGCTGTTCGTCACGTGTCTTCAATTTGGAGTTCGGATTATACCACTTAGACGTCGAGTGAAAGTTAATTACATTGATGAGAGGTGTCATATCAGATTGCATATCAATCCTGTGATTTGATAGATCTTTCCATTTAACTCCGTTTCCGCTGATTCCACTAGTGACAACTCAGTTGAAGAGTAGAATAACTTGGAATCATCGTGACCCAGACCGACCCACATTGTATTTCGTTCTACTTCAAGTATTCCACATGTTTATTATCTTCCCATTTTTTACGTACGTCTGCTGTATGAAATTATTATGAATTTTCTCCGATTGAAAAATCTATTCAAAAATATTTTTGCCAGTGCTCACTTGAGATAGATTTAGATAATTTCCGAGAATTCAGCTGTAAAGTTTTTAAATCAGCAGTAAGAAAAATGTTTTTGAATCGAGTGCCAAAAATCAGTTATTCTCCAACAATTTAGCTTAATAACAAGTGGCGCCTGCGAAAAACAAAATTATTTTTGTTTTCACGTGAGTTTAGTACGTATTGGAGAGGGTGAAAATTCACGTGAGTTTATCGTTGGCATTTGGAAAAAAGGATAACGGGAGGTTCTGATGTAGACAGTAGTGGAGGGCTTTCTACATATAGAAAGAGCGTGCGCGTTCGAAGCAATTCAGTCTCTTCTCAACCACGCGAACCTCCAAAGCGTTCAGGCAATGTTATTAATTTTCACGAGATAAAAGTCATTTATCATATCGTCCTGCCAGTGCTTCAGCAATAAAATAAACCATAAAACGTTGCTAATCGCGTGCTGAAGATATTTATCTTTCAAAAAAATAAGTGGTACTAATTCCAATTGACTATTTCTGGTGAGTGATCAGTGCAGTACTTAATTAATTGATTACCCGATTTCCTCTCCGATAGATTATAATAAATGAGAAAAATTGTGGCATTTTTTAAGGGAACAGCGCAGAGTGTGATATTTATTAATGAAACTTTCAGTCGGCATCTAGCCTTCTATCAAAAAATCTGATTCCATCTCATCTGGACTGTTTTGTCTGTTATGCGATTAGAATCTTTATCTTGTATCGTAAATTAATCAGATCTTCACATCATCTGGGTAATTGTCATAAGTGGCAATAAAGAAGTTATCAACAAATCAATATTAGCATTGGAAATTCTCGATACTGTTGATTTCGCGAGTATCGTGGTTGCGAGTGTGATAAGAGGCTTCTGATTATAATTTCAGATTCATTTGGAGGACTCCAGTCTCATCGATATCATGGAGCAGAATAATATATCGATAGTGACATCGAATGGCATCACTGAGAATGTCAATGGAAAAGTCAAGACCACCATCAGTTTACCATCGGCTGCGAGGCTTAGTAATGCTGCCAAAATCAAGGCCCCTTGTAAGTGAATCTGAGTTTAGACTATTTAAAAACTAATTTGCGGTAGAAAGGAAAAAAATGAGAATTTTTTTCGTTCCGCTGTCTCAAAACAACTCCGCAGTGTGTTATAATAATGCGAGGGATTCTAACGAGTTGAATAAGTATCGAATCGTAATTGAACTGCATTATTAATTACGTGACATGTTGAGCTACACAAGCGTATGTGCCCGTGAATATTATCGGAGGTAAGTCGTAGACTCAAGGTGTAATTTACATTTTTTTATAAACACTTTTTCGCGGAGGGGTGAACGCCATCTGGAATGGTCCAGCCGACTGATATTGATCGGATGCTGAATTCAGACACGTGGGAGAATACTTGACGTAAAAAAAGAAAATTTTAAAAATTCGATCTAAACTACTTGTTTGAATTTTCAGGACATTGACATTTCCCAATAGATTTTTATCCATCCAAAAAAAAAATCATCCTTACTGGGTTTATAAATTAACTCACTGATGCAACAATGACTCATCAATGGTTTCTCTAATGATGCTGAATTTCTCGTCATAAAATTCTCATAACAAAACAAGGAAAAGACCGACTTCCTGTTGCCACTTACATTCCTGGGAATGAGGAATTTCCCAAACAATCCCACAACTCGATTATCCAATATACACAAAGGCCTAGACGTGCCATTAAATCGTCCTTTCTGGGGCCATTTCAAAAAGAAAGTCCGGTAGTTTTTAATTTTCTCCTTTCTCTCTCAACTGTGATTTTCGCGAAATTCGCAAAGGTGTCGGAAACCACTTGGAGTGTAGTTACGATGGGGTAATAATATAATGAAGAAAAAAAGGAAAATTATGAATTGGAGAGAGATGTTGGTGCACCAGAACAAATGGACTCTAGAGTAGTGAAAAATATACGAGTATTACTCGAGTGGGCCAGTAGAAGGGGTAATTTGTGGGACTTAATGAGCGTAGTAGGATCTTATTATCGGGCGGAACTACTTTTACCAGAAATCTTTTCGGTACAACTCGAGTACAGTCTATTCGTCAGACCTCCTTAGGGGAATTATGATTTTTTAATGCCATTGTTCGAGGGTAATGAGTCGACGTCAGGTGAACAGCCCATTCATGAAATTGTTAAAAATTTTTAAGTATATCCGAGTACTTTAGTCATTGCTTTGCGTTCAAGCCCTGTGCACTGGGAAAAAATATTACTTGTGCTAAACTTATTTATTTCAGTCTTAAGTTAATTCATCCTCTTTCCATAAAGATATGGAATCATGGGAATAAGTACAGTTAACGGTGTCTGAATATTCCTGTCGGCCTCTAAAATTCAAAAAATGCAGAGGATAGAGGATCTGCTGATATTGCGGCCTTGAAATAATTTATCGCGAACGAACTTCGAGTGCTTCCGCGTTTTTGCTGAAACAACCTGAATGATGCTTTCGCACGTGAGTGGCGGGAAAGGTTACAAGTGTGACACTGGGTCAAGTTCACGGACTGGTTATTTCCGTTTGGTCTCCATTTTAACAACCTATTTCGATGCAATTTTTAAATAAAAAATCCACAGCGCGTTCTGTATACGGATAATAATTTATAGCAAAATTTATGCTTACGTTTCGTAACCGCGCAACATGTAGCACTTTTTACCCCGCATTGTAAAGAATTGCGATATGTAGAGTATGTTTCAGGAGAAGGTTAAGATAAATTTCATAATAATTTTTCTAATTGTAATCAGGGAAGTAAAAATACTCTTATTCTGAGATATGAAATTACGTCTGGAGTCAAAGAAAAAATTGGCTAGCATTATTTTCAATTTAGTTACGTCCGAATCACGACAATCATAAAGTCATTGCGGAGCTTCAGGAATTTCTCGGCAATATTCAGAGATTCGCTAAAAGTTGGAGCAGTAAAGCCTGTTATAATCGAAGAGAATGAATAATTATGGTGCAATTATGTGGTAAAACGTGAGGATGGCTGACAATTTAACAGTTCAGTTAATTATTGTTTGTCTAATCTGATGTTCTTCGAATTGCGCAATGCGGAAAAGTGGAAAAATTTGTGAAATGCGTTATCTGCCGCTGTATTTTTCTATGGACCTGTTTTCAAGATTTTAAAGAGCTTTTTTTGCTTCAGATTGAAAGTACAATAATTTTTCTTGTTATTCATTGAGCAGCTACCGATCGTCGGTGAAACGCGAGTTATCGACTGAATTCGAAATTCACGAGTTGATAAGAATGATAACAGATGGTTGTAATGGACTTAAACACTTGGTATTTTTTAAAACTTGATGTTTTATTTTCAAGTGGAAATATTGTATTCATCAAAGCCAAAAGAATTGCCCATGCAAAATGAAAAATTATTAGAATTCGATGGGGCATTCGAAAGGAGATGAGTGAATCTGAGGTTTTCTAATCAACTTTCCGAAGAAATTGCAATTCAAAGTGAAATTTTGAGTAAGCGTTCAGGACTTTCGCATGTATATTCTGATTATTCTCATTCAGATGAAAATTTCGCACATTAACAAACAGTCGAATAGTGGGGGATAATCGCATACAGTGTTTGCTCTCGCGATTCCTCTAATGAGTTCTCGAAACTTTCATCGTAATTACGATGAGAGTCACCTGCACGAGTTTATTTCATTTCTCATTAAATTGAGATAATTACCGCAGGATGAGCGAGGTGGACATGACGATGGATTTTTATTTTTATGATTTCGAGGGTGAAGTTTTACTCAGTCATTACTTGCAATTGTAAATGCTAGAGTATCAGTTTATCTTCGTCCTAATTTTCTCGCCGAGGCGATGATTTTCACAATAAAGCCATTAGCTGGTAAGATATTATTGATGGCTTTTCCAAAAGTAATAAATGAATAAGGCATTCGAAAATGTCTAGCTTTCAAATCTTTTGTTGCAGAATTAGATTTCCTATCAGGAGACTCGGTAAATTTTTATGAATCCTCTTACCAAGATATTCGCGAATTACGTCAAAGATAATGGTCACAAGGGAAAGGAACGAGAAAAGAATATACTTTTATCAATTGAAATAATCTGTGAATAGGATGAGATTTTCTTTTCCTGCGAGAATGAAAAAAAGTTCTCATGCCTAGAAATTTTCCCCATTGATTCACATAGTTTACTTTATATCTAGAATCTTTTTTAGGCGATATATTCCGAAGATTCTGTTCATTTTTTTTTCATTCGAAGAGAATCGGAGCAATGACCCATCAGAAAAGGCAATTGCTTTCGCGACAGTTTTTCTCGCCCGAGGCAAGATCCAGCGGTAGACAGCATGAGCTAAATTACCTCATTATTTTCTCCACAAAAGAAAACCCCCGACTGAGTTCTGAAGTTTAATCCCTTCAGCTACTCGATATGCACAAACATTTGCGATGGAAATCAATGCAACGATTGATTGCATATTTTGTATTTTCAGTTGAGTGTAATTCCATTTAATCGGCTCCCGTTGCGCAACATAACATTCATGCTTTCATGGTAATCCGACGTTGACCCTCGTGTTACCACTGCAATCTAATTCCATTGTTATTGTACGAGTGTATCCAAAATGTAGGCCATTCGCTTTTGAAATTTAATCAATGATTGATTCAAAGACCCGTGGAAATTCATAAATTCCAGTTCAGGGACTATGCCATGAATTTTTGGTTATTCTCGCGTTTTTTGCATGCCATGTTCAATCTAGTGATAAATATTTCATTACATCTTTTAAATAATTGAAACTTCCTAACAGATTATTTTGTCAAATGTGAATAAAGTTAATGATTTTGTGCGAGAAGGGAAACATTTTTTTTGTTTCATGAAAGTATTAACGAAACATTGTGCTGGAATTTAATTTCAGAGCGGTCGGTTGAGAAAATAATTTCCGTGTCTATTTTCCTACTCGAGTGGCAGCTTCACTTCACTATTGGAGTAGAAGTAAATTGAATTCACGGAAGTCAGAATGAATACCAATCACTTCCACTCGTTTTCCACGTTCTAAGACAGAAACTTTAAACATTTATTCATTCAATTCCCAGAAAGTCGGTGATTTACACAAGCAACTCTTATGAATGTAGAAGTTACTTAGGAGTTTGTGGTTTGTTTTCAGGGTTGAAAGACCTCTTCGAGGAGGAGTCCTCAGTGTGGGACACACTCAAGTGCGGATTAGCGGAGTTTATTGGCACTGGCCTCCTTGTATTCCTAGGATGTATGGGCTGTGTTGGAAGTTTGGGAGGTAATCCACCTGAACCACTACAAATATCCTTTGTATTCGGCTTGGCTGTTATGCTTATCATCCAGGTGAGTTACTCCTTTCCATGCAGGTGTACAACCATTAATTTTCACAATAGATCTTTCCATGCATAAATAGAAAAATGCAATCAAATACTACTGATAACATTTCCATTCTTAATTTTTAACATCCATCTATGTTGAAAGACATATGAATGGATGCATTAAGTATCTGGCATTAGTCGATTGACAGACTGTCAAGTGGCAGGTTGCTGGTTAGAAATTTTTATCATAAACGAATCAGTGATCGATGCTTCTTAATGATATTGTTGATTATAGAGTATTGGTCACATCAGTGGTGCCCATATAAATCCATCGATAACCGTAGGCTCGGTTGTTTTGGGAAAAAAGTCTCTCAAAGTAGCTTCCGTTTATCTCTTTGCTCAGTGTCTTGGCGCCATTGCGGGGTATGGAATGCTGAAGGTCAGTGCAGATAACAATAATTATACCACACAAAATCGGTCAATATTGCCCAGTAATCACAGTTGAATGGAATTCTTGTGGAAAATTAGCAAAGTGGTAGAACAAGATGAATCAAGTGGATCTGAGTTGATTTTACAGAATTTCCCCACTCGATAAATTCACGAGATGATTGGAGAATTGATTTTTTGAGAATCTTACGATTTCTCTCAGTCAATTACCCTGTCATAAAACAAATCGACATTTAATAGGTATTAAATTCAATTTGAAGGGAGAAAATCAGGAAGTTTCTAAGTTCCCGAGAAATTCAATAAAATTCATTTATCTGGATTTTCCGGTTTTTTTAGGTAATTACACCTCAGAGACTTCTTCATGCTGGCGATCCCGTTAAGATCGACAGTTTCTGCGTTACAAATTTAAATGAGAATATATCAGTGATTCAAGGTCTCCTCGGAGAAATAATGGCAACAGCAGTTTTGATGTTCATGACCTGTGCAATTTGGGACGCTCGCAATGAGAGGAATACGGACTCGATTGCCATCAAGTTTGGATTAACTGTTACTGTTCTCTGTTTGGCTGTGGCACCTTATACAGGATGCAGTATGAATCCAGCGAGATCACTGGGACCAGCGATCTGGAATAATTCCTGGAGTCATCATTGGATTTACTGGTTTGGACCACTTGGAGGAGCTCTCATTGCTTCGGTGCTTTACAGGTCGATTTTTTCATTAAGACCTGAGGGATCCGAGAGGCCCAGAGAACAGAAGGCTGAGGTAATTATCAAATTATTCTTAAAAGGCAATGCCTTATTTTTAGTAATCAGGTATTACAGATCCTTTGATTTTTCCCCTGAAGATTGGGGCAAATTACTTGACTCAATGTGTCATTCATTTGAGTGCTGCAGATAGTAATTTTTTTTTATGATTATTTCAGATTTGATTCTCTCCTCTCTGGACTACAATTCTGTAATTCGTAGGGGTAAAAAATTGCCTGCGATGGTTTCTGTTCAAGTGAAATCACAGGATGGAATCGTCAAGTGAATAAATGAGTGAGACCCACCCATACGACGGAGAAGGACAAGTCTGCCAGAACGTCCATCTAGCTTTCAATGAACTTTCCTTGGAAATTAATTGGGGCTTTCACGGGATTTTAATTCATCATCGATGAATTTTATATTTCAAAAGTTCGTGTTATACTTGCTGCTCAGAACGAATATTTTTCTATGAAAAGGCCTTAAATTGACAAGTGATATAAAATTAGGAAATCATCTGCTGATGAATTGCAATTAATTATGAGCACTGAAGTGAAATCTTGAACATTCAACGATTTGTTGAATAGATTATTTACAAATTAATTTTCGCCCCACCACCTTGACACATTTTTATTTTAAAAAAAATGGTACGGTATTTTACAATACTAGATAAAACAATGGTTAAATTGATTCTCAAGTTTTGTAAAACCTTGTTTTGCGTTTTAATGAAACTTGTAACGAAATAACCACCAGTGATGCGCATTTGAGGGAATTAGGTTTAACCGACTTTGGTTCGAGATTACAGGGGTTGAGTTGAAGTTTTAATTGTTCTCCCGAAACTATGAATTTTCAAGCGTCGGTGTACAGGCCGGTATTACGTTGCTCGCGACCATCGAAAACTTTAAATTATAAGCTATATTATATCATACATATCACCTTTCAGTAAAGTTCGTATTGTCTTGTCCATTGTCAATCGCTTTGGACTGGGATTTTTCACGACTGGGATGGATGCAGATGCTGTATTATTATTTTTACTGACAGATGTAATTATTGTTCAACATTCAAATATATTTAATACAAATTTTGAGTAATTATTGTTGATTTTAATTTATTATGCATTGCCCTCGAGCCCTTTGTAATTGCGATTTTGTCAGTAGATACGATGAAATGGGGAATAATTACTCTGTGAAAATTCAAAGTGATAATTATAGCTCTTGAATTATTTAGAAAGGCGATATTGATTATCCTTTAATGTTTTTCAGTACTTTTGAGATTTTTTTGACGTTTTAGTAGTACTTTTAGAATTTCTTCTCTAGTCTGACTCATTTTGTCCCTTCACTACTGAATAACTTAAGGAAAAATTGGGAGCCCGAAAGCATTCAAAATTTCTGGTGTCAATTTCTACGCATACATGTCACGAAACTAAGCCATAAAACACGAAAGGCAATACCAACTGTAGTAAACATCAAGCGGCCACCAGAGGAGAAAGGTGGAAGTGTTGGGACTTGTGGAGTCTGCCGAGGGGCTCGACCCAAAGCACATAAAGACGACTGAATGGTGATGAAGTTTTTGAGAAAATGGTGGGGATGTTGATTGTAAAATCGACGGAACTGGGTGTACAGCGGTGATAAGTCTGGCAACGCTTGTTGGTGCTGTTTAAGTGACAAGCGCGTGTACAAGCTCTCAAGAGCATCTGGCGACTAGAGCATTGACGCGTGGTCAGTGATATAAATTATTTATACTACCAGGTGATCGATAGATATATCTAATCAGTGATGTCTGATCCTGGAGCAAAGTCTAGTAAGTAAATGATTAACTATTTTTTTTATATTTCTCTCTTCCTCCACTCGTTCCGATGGCGTAAGTCAATTAAAATTTAAAGGCCTAAAAAAATACTGCGTCGATGGGTTCAGAAAATGTTAAATCCACCAATTCGTTGGTTTCAAGCTATTTGTTATTCGGTTCATTGTATATCGTTTTTTTTTTATTTTGTTTTAGCTATATTCAACCTGATTTATCGAGTCACGTAATAAATTAATTGATAATACTATTGAATAATGGATAACTCCATCCGAGCTGGCTCTAATTAGCTGGATTTTCACAAAGAGAAATTTCGATAATACTTCCTCGGGATTGAATTTTTTTTCCATTTAAAAAAACCTCAAATAATTTCTGTTCAAAGGGTTTCCCTTTACCTCTTGTGTATTGACTTTCTCCCTTTTATGTTTCCGCCGGTCGGCGTAGAAGTGGCGTTCACAGAATATATTTCTTTCCTTCCCGAGGGAATACATAAAAATCGCTCGCATACCATTTTATTTTGCTCTCAATTTTTTCTCCCGTCCACCAGAGTGAATCGAAGAGTACACTTGTTACAATTCCGCAGAATGTACAAGTGTACATGTCAGAGTACACATGTCGATCTGGGGATATTCTTCGGTGTGTTCCACTTCGAGGTGGAAATTCGGAATATTTAAGTGTTCAAGAAATGCTATTGTTTAACTGAACTTTCAGAATTTCATGGCAATTGAAATAAATTAGGAAGATAGGAATTAATTTTCGTTTAAAGTAGTTAGGGTAATTTTGGATAATTCGGTATAATTGGGTTTCATTTGTTATACTAATTTGCAACTTTTCGATAAGATGAAAAATGCGAAAACTTTGGTAAAAGTGAATCTGCTGTGAAAGAAGAAATCTCCAATTCATGAACTTTCGTCAACACGAAGCGTATGATGAGAAATGGTTGGATAGACCTATACAAAAGATTTTTTACGCCTGACTTCTTCGATTATGCATTCGATGGCTTTCAACTTCCCTTCAGAATGGGTTCCCGTTGGTTTCGTGGTTGAGACCTCTCGACCTCTCGCATATTTTTTATTCTTCGACACCCTCTCTCCCGGACGCATACCCTGAGTAAAATTTTACGCAGACAAAGGGACTTTTTTTTATGGGAAATATTGTCCTGGAGGGTAACCAAGTACTTTGGCTATATTTTTTCGCGGCTGTTTTGCGTGAGACTTTTGTTAAACCCCGGAGCTCACATCTGAGTGTATGAGTGATTAAATAATTACTTTTTCCCTGAAAAAGCCAAATTATTCCTGAAAGTTAGCTAGAGCTCGATTACCAGTCGGTCATCTTCAGGTATATAATGTGACAAATTGTGAATGAATGATCACAGCCTTGAGATATCCTCGAGATATTTCGAGACCACTGGAATCATTAACCAATTTGTACATCTAATGACTGAAATTGCCAGCCCTCGCGCACTGTTTCTACTAATGGGGAGATTGCACCGACGTTGTGTATCTTCATGCCTCTAAGCTTTCCTGATGATGGTCTAATCTTCTACTCTGTATTGTTGCTAAATTGCTTTCATGCTCAACATCGATTAAGGTAGTTCCTTCAGTTCGAGTTTTGCCGAGGAATCATCTGACTTCTCATTGCATTCGCCTTGCAGATACAATAGTTCCCCCGATTGTGTTCCATTCATTACCGAATCAGTAACGAATAATTAATTATTTCTATCAGTGGGGAAATTCAATTACGGTCAAGGGTCAGTCGATTTTTGAAAGTATAAAAATTTGTTATCAGCCATTAGATAGCAGTTTATCAAATTTATGATGAACTCATTGATAACTCATCAGAAACGACATAATTAGATAATAATATTAGGGCGATAATTGGGGTATCAATCATAAAAAAATTGTAAAGAAACGAGAAACTCTTGGAAATTTTTGATTTTATGGAAAAACGTGGGAATCAAATCCACTTTGTGCTTTGTCTCCTAGTTTCTGAAGAATTATCTAATTGAAGCCTTTGATATGAACTCTAACGACGAAAAATACAATCTCAATGAACAAACATTGGAGATAGAAGAAAAAAATTCAAAGGGGCATAATCGAGCTTCCTCTTTCATCATCGATACATTTCGATCTCGATGAACTCTGTCGCATAATTATAGAATCCTCTGGATTCTCGATAACATCCAGGGTCATCTAATATGTGGTAATTGGTGGAAATATTCGTAGTGTTATCGAATAAGTGAAAAAGTGATGAAACGCTTCCATCGTAAACTTTTTCATTTTTCAAATTGTTACTTCGCGGGGATATTGAGCAAAAAAATATATTGATAATCCCGCGATATTTCTGCTTAGCAGATACGATTCTTATAAAATCAATATAGCAGAGGTAAAACTGTACGATTTAAATTCAACGACTTCGGATTCCTCAGACTACCTTCATCTTATTAATAATTGCAAGACCAGAGAAAGCCTATGCAGAAAAAATATATGGTAATTATTGAAAGGTCATCACTAACGATACTAATTAACGACACAATTTTTTGCCCAATGAATAAAAATCGGGGGAAAATTTTATGCATGTAATGCAATTTTATACATTAAAAAAATATATTTCCATAAGCAGTGGAATATTCTGCATAGTAAATGAATAACCCCATTATCCCTCAAAGCACAGACTGCGCAGAGAAATGCAAAATTAATTTTTCATTGAATATATCAATATAATAATTTCCAATGTACTGAATTTACGCAGTGAATTTGGTGATGAATTTAAATTCAGCGAAGTCATGGAAGGTCGTAAATTTCATTTTACTACTCTACAATAAAAAGATCTCACTTTAAATTCAATAATTGAAGCAATGTGAAACGTACCAATACTCAATCATGAATAATTCTGAATAATCAAAGATTAATAGCAGCGTAATTAATAGTAATAAAAGATGTGAGCATAAAAAACGCATTTTTCAGTAAGATGAACAGTTTAATACGCAGACCTAATCTCTTCTAGGCTCGAAGATTTAATCATTGAGCAAAACACTGGCCTCACACAGGCAATAAAACATGCCGAGGATAATGCAAGCAACACATGCACTTGACAAATTACGTGTGGACATTGCATTGAATTTCAAGTGCATTGTGAAAGTCCATTACCGCTAGAATGCATTGGGGCTGCGTGAGATTTTTTATTTTTAGCTATTCAACGAATGAAAGGTGTTTGAGATCAGATAAGCATGCAAAATAATGTCTTCCTCTGATAACACTCAATGCATTATCAATGGAGTCCTGAATTTATGAGCAGCTCAGGACTGAGTAAAACTCTTTTAAATTACATTGAGTCTAGTCTAGAGGAATAATTCACTAATTCACTCGTCCAAGACTGCAAGTCAGAAACATGAACATCCAGGGGACAATAAATCATGAAATAAGTACCAGGAAAATTTATGGCTACTGGTGGAATATTAAAGCCACATTGCCTTCATCATTTGTTCCTATCTCTGTAGTCGCCTTCTATGAGGGAGGACAACCTATTTTCCTTTTGAAAAATAAAACATCTAGGGAAATGTGTGTCACATTGATTTATGGCGTGGTAAAAGGGTTTTCTTCGAAATGGTGGATGAGGAAATGGGAAAAAGAGTTACACGAACGGGTGCACATGTCGATAGTGCACAATGCGAGACCAATGTTGTCAGGAAACATTTTTGCATTGTTTCTTATCGAAATTTAGAGGTGATTCTGTGAAACGAGTCATGTCGACTGCTTCGTTGGTTAGACAGGTGCTACGAAATTTTTTTAAGGGATTTATCCTGTCAAGACTCGGTTAAACACTCATTAAACATAAAAAAATTTAATAGAAGGTGCAGCGGCAATTTTTGAGAGCCCCATTTCTCTGAGTTTGATCATTTAATTATGTTTTTCTGCAGAAATACGGGAATTTTTGCGACAAGATGACGATGCCTGGCGACTTCTGCAATGTGCGGCAGCGGAAGTCCTTGGTTCTGCATTTCTTGTGTTTCTTCTTTGTGGTGGGATTGTTGGGAGCACCAAAGCAGGAGTACCTCTTCATCTCCAAGTAATTCTCAACGTTGGACTGGCTATTATGCTTGTCATCCAGGTAAATACACTTCGTAAATTCCAGGGAAAAGGATTCCGAGTTCATCGAATTTTGGAGTCTGTAGATTTTTATCTGTGAATTTTTCATCGAAAAATTTCGACCGCAATTCAAGTCTTGATAACGCTATTAGTCATGCGGGCGCTCACGTATGTACATATTTGCTCTTGATTGCAGGGATGAACTGCGTAATGAAGTAATGAAAAATTTATTGGCAAAACTATTTCAAAGAGAGTTGGTAACATCACGGAAATGCGCTGAATTTGTATGGATTATTTTCTAAATAAAAAATGTGATTTTCAGTGAGTCCCGAAGTAAATCCCACATTTCGAAAATATTCAAAAAATAATAACTTTTAGCTTTTCAATAATGAATTGATATGATGGACTGGTTGTGGATGGAATTATCTCCATTCGAAATGTAAATGGATATAATGCAGTCAGTTATTTATAAAATATCATCAAAGATAGAATTAAATCTGAAAATCATATTACTGCTTACAATCTGCATGTATAATTCATTATCGTTGAGTCGAACTCGAAAATAATTCAATAGGGTGGTTCGCAAATTGAATAATGATTTTTATTCCTAGACATTCGGTCACATTAGCGGTGCACACGTCAACCCAGCGATCACTGTCGGAAGTGTCATACTTGGAACAAAAACCTTGGTACAGGCTGGAACTTATATCATAGCGCAGTACGTCGGGTCTATATTAGGATTTGGTCTCCTAAAGGTAGGTGATTCCCATTAATTATTTTTCGACGGGCTGATATTTTTCAGTCAAAATATTCTAGTCGAGAACCACTGGTAGAGTATCAGCACGATTAATTCATCTGAATTTCTAATTGAAGAATAAAAATGAAACCGTATCATACGAATGGCCTTTTGTTTACCGATAAAACAATTCATTCGTTGTTTCTTTATCAACGAAGCCATCGCAGGTCAAGGTAGTTCCACATGTAACCGATGTATACCGATTATCAATTCGTATCAATTTCAATTCGTAGCAACCTGTGCGCTTGATTATATAAGAGAATCTGAAATGTTTTTTTTCAGCTGGTTACACCAGCAAACATGTTGCGATATAGCCCAAAAGCACCAGAGGCAGATTTTTGCATAAATGCACTTTCCGATGGGGTGTCAGTAACCAGGGGATTGTTCTTGGAGTTCCTGGCAACGATGATCCTGTTGATTGTGGCTGGAGCATTCTGGGACCAGAGGAATCATAACAATACCGATTCAGTTCCCTTGAAATTTGGACTTTGTGTCTGCTGTTTGGCCTTTGTCTTCGGCCCCTGGACATCTTGTGGCATGAATCCAGCTAGATCATTTGCTCCAGCAGTCTGGAATGGAGTCTGGAAGGATCAGTGGCTCTTCTGGTTGGGACCTTATACTGGAGCTATTGCTGGAGCTTCACTTTATAGAGTAGTTTTTGGAGTCAAGAAGGAGATGACGTACGACATCCCGGAGGCAATTGCTCTCAATCATATTGATGGAGAAAAATCAGAGGTGTGAAGCGAGTTGATTAATTATTTAATCAAACTGGCAGAAGATATTATTGACTAAATTACGCGAGAAAATCGTTCACTTTCGATCTCCATTGGCAAAATCACCGAAAATTCGTCATAAAAATCCATTTCACATGAAAATAAATTCTCCGTCGAACAAAAGGAACGAGATAAAAGCAATATTTCATGATTCCCTCTCCTCCTGCAATTCACAGAAATTCACTGAATTTTCCCTCCGCGAAATTAATTCATAAGGTTTTCTATTCTCCCCTGCATTCACTAAAGGCGAAACGCCTGTGATAAATCGTAAATGCTGGTAGGAAATTCAGCGAAACTGGTTTTATACGGCAAAAGAGGAGCCAGTGTATAGGTGAAACGAAAGGGGGGGAATAGAGTTTAATGTCGCTGGCTTATCCAACGATATAAATCTTCAAGTGGAGAAGCAGAAGGACTGTGGGTCATATAACCTTAACGTATAACGATAACGATATCCCAACTCCTACATTGCGTTTCCGTATCATTTTATGCGGTAATTTGTATCTTGTGACGAGAGCATTTCATGAAAATTGAGTGTGAAAAATGCATTCAGAGAGTGTCGAGTGGACCGGGCTGTCTCGTTAATAATTATGTTTTTAATTACTCTCCGTTTTTTGTATTTCTTTCATCTGTCTGGTTCATTGCATCTTTAAAAATGATAGCAATAACTATGAGAGTCTCTTCATGTGGTGATTCTCGAAAATCATCAGTCTCAATTGCCTCTCACTCTCTCGCCCTCCTAAATCCGAAACAAATTTTTCCTACTATTGGTCCATGCACTCATTCAAATTTCATATTTTGCAGAATGTTTGATCAGCAAAAAATGGGCACCAAACGCTGTGGGTACCAAGCAATTCACTGTGCCATCACAGAAATCTAGATGTAGGCATGTGCACGACACGGATATCCTGAATGCTCGTCGTATCATCCTGAGCTGTGGTTATGCCATCCAGTGATATGGGCATGGGATGGGGATGAGAGGAACGGGGGCATCTCTGTATAAACCGCCCGGAGAGTTTACCAAACTGTGCTTCTCTCGACTTTCATATTTCCAGCGATATATAAACGTTCGCGTGTGTCATAACACAGGGTTGAGTGACTAACGTGAATGTCTCACCGGCGAGTTGAAATGAAAAGATGAAAATTTTGTAACTGGGGCTTGAGTTCTCAACCATCTCAAATGAAAAATGTACTCAGTCTTTTTTTTATGTTGACGGAGTGAGGATTACTTGGTTGGATACGAATGCTTCTGTATATTATGAAAGTGCTTTTCATCGAGAACTTTAACGTGACGTGATATGCATTTAAACAATTATGAACACATTCGACAGGGTAAATGTGTGATTGGTTAAGTTTCGATAAATAAATTGATGAACAAATTGTCAATACTCGTTCATAATTTGTTTATCAGGATGTTGTCTCCTTTCGTTTAAATTATATTATCTTATATTAGATTACTCCAATGGTGTATAATAAATATTATAATACATGCACATGAAAAAAATGTGCATGAATTGAAATTACTTGATTTCATGAAGTGGAAAAAGCACTTTTAACATTTTCCTCATTATATTTTTTTACTGCAAAGTGCTCGATTCTCATTTTTATATCGAGATAAAATTTATGGGGATATACTTTAACGGGGAGATGTAAATAAGCATATTTATTATGCCACAAAATAGTATGATTAACTCCTCGGGTGGAAATTTTCTCGCGTGACGAGACTTTTCATTTTTCACTCGAATGGTTATCGATCGATGAATGCACATCAGTAGTGCATCAAAATAGCAGTATATTCACCGAGGCATTTTCAAACTACTCACCGAAAGCATTAGGATGGAACCTATCGTTTCAAGAGGGCCATGTTTCAATCAACCCCTCACTCCCAAACTCACCGGATGCATTAACTAGAATGTATCCGCAATCTCTCCCACAATATCCGACTGAGTCCCTCAAAAGTTCCAAGTTCTTGATGACACGAACTTATTGTAATACCCCAAAGAAAGTTAGGGGATGATAATTTCCGTTATTTAATTCTCCCCGTCAAGCCACAAATTCGAGCCAGTGAAAAATATCTACCTCATTTTTGTGGCATACGTACAGACTCTTTCAATGTCATAATGTGTCTTCACAAATGGCACATATTCTCCATGGCTGTCCTTACAGTAGCATTCGCAAGCCGCATTTGTCACTGCCGCAGAAGATATTAGAAACGAACAGACGGTTTGTGCTCCCTACATTTTCATTCTGTCCCTTTATAACGTCAGAATCGTTGATGTCACCGAACAATTCACGCCAGAAATTGTCGAGAAATGTGGATTAAGATGTATTCTGCTATCTTTGTTGCTTCTCGGCACTTTCAGGAGAGAATAGACTAGAGTCCCAAGGAATTACCGAGGAAATCGTCGGTTTTTCAACCGCGACGGGATCATTTATTATCCCTCATTTCTTCAACAATTCTCATGCAACGGAATTAACAAATTCAGTCAGCAATAATTTACAAATCAATCGTGGAATATCTCCATGAGCTCTCACTGCCGCTCTTTCATTTTCAAAGAACGCCATTACTGAAAAACGCTTTAGTGCGCCTACGATCACTGAACACAGGAAAAAGTGTCGCGAGATTGAGAGGAAATGAAGAGACGAGAGTCGCAAATCGATATCCGTGCGAACCGCAAAAATCATTAAAATCGCCGACTAACACAGCCGGAAGTACCGGGGGAAGCGGATGTCAATGGTGAAAAAAAAGGTGTAGTAATAGGGCAGAGGATCGACGAAGGTGCAGACATAGAAAGGACAGTTGAAACCTCCCACAACTGAATTGGCAAAATGCTGGGTTGAGAACGGATAGTCACGTTTCCGCCTCGAGAAAAGTAATATTTCCGTATGATCTATATGCCGGACGGCGAGTCCCTCGTTAATAATTCAATTTTCAATCTGGTCTTAATGCTCAGCTCGACTTTTTCCAACCCTCAAACGCTCCACCCTCCTCTCTACACTTTTCTACCCATTTTTTTTTTCGTCTACAACCTAGAGAAGAACGGAAAACAACACGTTTCCCACTTCTACTGTCGAACAATTCCATTTTCTCGATTGAAACTTTACTCTCTTATTTATGGAAAACATGTCAAGATTTGTTTTATACTGAAGTTGGGAGGTAAATTTGTACTGGTGGTAAAAACGGATGAAGGGGGCATTCGTTTGAAAGGAGTGCATTGGAGAATATGTGGCTGACCGGAATTTCGCTGGGAGTTTGCTCGATTTATTCTACTTCGTTTTGCAAAGTTTTTGGGGTATCTGGGGAGCTCCAAGAAGTCGATAGTTCAATATAATCTCATTAGATTAAGCGTTCCCGGTAAAACAATACCCGGATGCCTTATTTTTAATCCTAACTCAATGATATTGAAGAGCTCGGGGATTTTAAGGACGTGGTTCAATTGAATTAACGTCAAAGATCTCGAAAATAGCGGAAATTGTGAATATGTGAAAATCCAAATGACATCACAATTGACGAACACTAATTGTAGCAACGATCAATTGTAGTAGAAAATATTAGAGATGTATTACATTATTTCTGCTGAGAAGAAAATTGTTCCCACGAATTAATCCGTTCGGAATACCGGAAATGTCAGAAATGAACGAATTCAATCAGAGAATTCAATTCAGAATCGAAGTATTTTGTTTTTCAGTATTTTGGTAGGAAAATCATGGAGAGAAAAGAAAATGAGCGTCAGGTTATCCTGAGGCCCCTTCCACCATTGGTGGTCTTCTGGCGATAAGGAGAGTTGTGCAAGGAGTTTCAGTAATTACCAAAATCATCTCAAAACCATGCACTTGCGACTGTTACATGTTGAGATGACGGGGACAATTGGTACTAATAGTTAATTGAAACAGTATGTGCCTCATACCGAAGGCATTAGGGATTACTTCAAATTAATTTGACGTACGAGTTTCAACGCTGTGTCGTGGTTAATTTGGGGGAAATAATCGTACCAGAGAGAAATGTTGGAAGATCGTCGACTGTGAGTGACAGGATGAAGCCATTGGCAATATTAATGAGGTTGGGACTCCAGAGTTCCGATTATTTTAAGAAAAATTGAGGATGGGAATTATTACTAAATCCGATGTACAAGTCACATGGCGGCGTGTAATAATGGATTTCAGAAGGGGGACACGATTTGTAAGATACGGGCTGTTGCATTCGATGAATAAAAAATAAATAAAATAAATGGGAATGATGCTACGTTCGTTGAACAAGAACATTATTAATAAAAGCTCACCGAGTGTTTTTGTCGATCTCCCAAGGTTCCACTCCAGATCCATTGTACTTATCCAAGGTTGCACTCACAACACTCACACACTCTTATTGCTATCACCAAACACTTTTTTTTTATCACTTTCCTTCTTTTCAAAACACACTCCCAATCACAACACTTATTTTCAATCTCTACCGCTTTATCTCAGAACTTATTCCATTCGGACAAAAACCTTCCAATCGTTGTCCATCCCTCTCCCTAATTCTGAGATATTAGACGAAAAATTAAAAATTTCACATTCCTTTGTCTGGATCATCTTCCCGCGTCCCTCGTCTGAGACAAATACTTCTCTTCAATTAATTCACAGTCTCCTTGTAAATTGACTGGGTATAACTAATTGTAGAAAAATATTTGAATTTTTTTAGGAGTTGGCAAAAAAATTCGACAAGAGGATTTTTTTGAGTGACCGACGTTAGCCCCATCGTCCTGACTGGTCCCCTCTCCCTGGGCGCCAAAATGTTAGTGGTGGGGAATGGCTCCCTCTATACGCAACGAATTTTTAATCTGAACTGATATACTTCCCGCCGAAATGCACACTTCATAGTTCCCACGATTCCCGTTCCC